GAGGTGGCAATACTCATACATGTCCCTCGGATCATCACTCACTCACGCGATCTGCAATCAGGCAAACTAGATGCTGCCATGTAGGCTCTTGGCAATCCAACCGTGATGTGATGTTAGCACATGCGTTCCTCCCACCCCGACTCGCTCTCCCGCACCCAGCGTCTTCCCCCATTACGCTTCACCGCCGTGCCCTCCGCACGCTCGACGCCAGCCGCAGCTTGGATACCCGGCTTCGCGCCTGGCGCCTCAGCAGGCGGGGCAGGGGTGCTACTCGGCGCTGCTGGGGCCGGACTGGCAGCAGCAGAGGCAGGTGGGCATGGATACGGCCTGCCAGGATGTGCAGGAGGGGCTCATCACAGGTGGGGAGCGCGCGGATGGAGGGTGGGGAACTAAGAAGGGAATGGGTTGAGATGGGAGCCAGGACAGCGAGTGTTTTTGTGTAGGTGCGTGCTTCATGGGCTGCTGTGCACGGGTAGACAAGGCCTGGCGGGAGTCTAGGTAGGGAGGACGCTGGAAGGGGGAGACGAAACGGCATTGCGTGGCGGTCGTCGGCAGGAGATGGACCCATGGGTCGGTGGGGATGCCGGCTGGTGCCATGACAGGGGAAAGGGATGTCTGGCACGCACGGCAGCTAGTCAGGGATTTGGGAGATCCAGAAGACGGCAATAGCGGCCATTGCAGGGAAAGGAGTGGCGGGTCGTCATGCATGTATGGGGGCTCCCTCCGCCCTCCTGCTCACCCTCCGCAACCCGCCTTCCTCCGCACCCTCCGCAACCCGCCCTCCTCCTCACCCTCAGGCCTCCTTACCCCTCCTCCCCACCTCCTCTCCCTCAACCAGACCACATCAACGAAGAAAGATGCCGATTCACTGGCGCGCAGCTGCGGCGCATGGAGGTGGCGAGGAGTGGCATGTATGTGAGGCTGGTGGGCGTCATCAGGATGACATGACACGGGGTTCCTGCCTTGAAGCCCTGCATGCATGCTTCCCACGACATGGAGGCGGCCCTTACGCATGGAGGAAGGCTTCTGACGCTTAGATTCCCGCGGAATCTCATGGGCTGTGCGGGCGCCGTACGAGTAACGGAGCCGGATCTAGGTAGTGTAGGCTGACAACAGCTGTGTGTGCATCAGGAGATGAAGCGCCTATCGTATAGTGGTTAGTACATCACGTTGTGGCCGTGAAGACCCCGGCTCGAACCCGGGTAGGCGCATTGCCTGTGCCGTACAGGCCTTTTGACGGGGCTTTTTGCACCTGCAAGGCGTCCCCCCTGTACGCTGCTTGATCTGGACGAGTGAAACGCTGCGAGGAGGTGGCAATACTCATACATGTCCCTCGGATCATCACTCACTCACGCGATCTGCAATCAGGCAAACTAGATGCTGCCATGTAGGCTCTTGGCAATCCAACCGTGATGTGATGTTAGCACATGCGTTCCTCCCACCCCGACTCGCTCTCCCGCACCCAGCGTCTTCCCCCATTACGCTTCACCGCCGTGCCCTCCGCACGCTCGACGCCAGCCGCAGCTTGGATACCCGGCTTCGCGCCTGGCGCCTCAGCAGGCGGGGCAGGGGTGCTACTCGGCGCTGCTGGGGCCGGACTGGCAGCAGCAGAGGCAGGTGGGCATGGATACGGCCTGCCAGGATGTGCAGGAGGGGCTCATCACAGGTGGGGAGCGCGTGGATGGAGGGTGGGGAATTAAGAAGGGAATGGGTTGAGATGGGAGCCAGGACAGCGAGTGTTTTTGTTTAGGTGCGTGCTTCATGGGCTGCTGTGCACGGGTAGACAAGGCCTGGCGGGAGTCTAGGTAGGGAGGACGCAGGAAGGGGGAGACGAAACGGCATTGCGTGGCGGTCGTCGGCAGGAGATGGACCCATGGGTCGGTGGGGATGCCGGCTGGTGCTATGACAGGGGAAAGGGATGTCTGGCACGCACGGCAGCTAGTCAGGGATTTTGGAGATCCAGAAGACGGCAATAGCGGCCATTGCAGGGAAAGGAGTGGCGGGTCGTCATGCATGTGTGGGGGCTCCCTCCGCCCTCCTGCTCACCCTCCGCAACCCGCCTTCCTCCGCACCCTCCGCAACCCGCCCTCCTCCTCACCCTCAGGCCTCCTTACCCCTCCTCCCCACCTCCTCTCCCTCAACCAGACCACATCAACGAAGAAAGATGCCGATTCACTGGCGCGCAGCTGCGGCGCATGGAGGTGGCGAGGAGTGGCATGTATGTGAGGCTGGTGGGCGTCATCAGGATGACATGACACGGGGTTCCTGCCTTGAAGCCCTGCATGCATGCTTCCCACGACATGGAGGCGGCCCTTACGCATGGAGGAAGGCTTCTGACGCTTAGATTCCCGCGGAATCTCATGGGCTGTGCGGGCGCCGTACGAGTAACGGAGCCGGATCTAGGTAGTGTAGGCTGACAACAGCTGTGTGTGCAACAGGAGATGAAGCGCCTATGCTGACACCCTCAGCCCTCGGCTGAGGGGGGCTGACGTCGACAGCTGACGTAGATGTGCAGCCGAGTTCGATTCCCGTCGGGAGCAGATTTCTTCTTCCAGCCCGCATGCGCCCGCCTTTTGCCGCTTTCCGGCCGCTTGCCGCCTTCTAGCACCTGCGCGCAGAGGGCTATCAGACGCAACCGCCCGCTCCCCAAGCCTTGCAGCCGGCGCCAAACGGGAGCAAGGCTAGGGGGGAAGGGCCTAGGCAGGAAGGCCCTACCTCTCGCGTGCTTTTGCATAGGAGGCGTTTAACCTACCGCCATTTAGGCAAATACCATTGCCATACAGCCTGCATTAATAAGCTGCAAACGGCGCCTGAAAATGCTGCGGCGCCAGGAAGATATTGGCTCCTGATGACAAGCCAAATTTTCAAACTTCTTCCCCAAAGTTCCTCACCAGGCCGCGCTTTGCAAATCTAATCATACCTGGGTTCATGCCTTTCAGCGCGGTACCGAAAAACAACATAACCTCACAAACGAAAAATGGCACCTCCCCCTAGCACCTTCCGAGCCGTGCAAGCCCCTAGCCCCTACCCCCCTAGCCCCCTTCCGAGCCGTGCAAGCCCCTAGCCCCTACCCCCCTAGCCCTGGCTTCCGAGCCGTGCAAGCCCCTAGCCCCTTTCCCGCTAACCCCCTTCCTAGCCATGCATGCAAGTCCCTACCTCGTACACCCCGGGTCTCCCTGAAGCCTGAAGCGCCGCTGCCGCTGCGCTGCTGCCTGCGAACCCATGCCTCAAACAAGGCCGGCCCAGCATGCAATCCCGCCGCACTTCGGGCCTTCCCACAACTCGCCAAGCCCTCCCACCGCCCGACGCAGCGCCCCCCTCACATGCAGCGGCAGCATGCCAGCAGCGCCCAAGTTGCCCTTTCACATCGCAAGCCCCTAGCCCCTGGGGTGGGGCCGCTGTGCTGCTGGCGGGCCAGCCGCCCGGCCGTGTTGTCCCTAGGCCTGCCGTCCATTCCAATAAGAGAAGCCTCAAGTGCCACTGCCGCTGCGAGAAGCCTCAAGTGCCACTGCCGCTGCGCTGCTGCCTGCGGACCCGTGGGTCACCCTGCCCGTAACTCAAACAAGGCCGGCCCAGCCTCGATTTCGCGTGCCCTCCCGCCGCACTTCGGCGCTTCCCGCAACTCGCCGCCCTCACATGCAGCGCCAGCATGCCAGCAGCGCCCGCGGCCGCCTGCGAGGCCCCCGACAGGGTGGGCCGAGACAAGGAGATCGCCGGCTGGTGGGCTCTGCCGCCGTGTGGCCAGGGGCCCCCTGGGGTGGGGCCGCTGTGCTGCTGGCGGGCCAGCCGCCGGGCCGACGAGGCTGATGACCCCCTGGTCGCCCTGTCAGCAGAGGAGGGCTGGGGGCGGGCCTTCGCGGCCTGGGGACCGCGCCACGTTCTAGCCCAGGAGGAGGCCCGGGCCGCCACCACCCCCCACTGCCCTCGCCCGAGCCCGGAGCCCCAGGGGGCCGGCGCGGCGCTGTGGGCGCCGGGCCTGCGGGCAGCGGCGGCGCATCGCGGCCGCCTGCTGCATGCACGACAGCAACATGTTCGAGCCCACCGAGCCACGGCAGGCGCGCCACTGCCTCGGAGTGCCAATGCTCTACGCCGGGGCTGGGGTGCAGGTGGCCGACGTGCTGACGTGCCAGGGGGCGGCGGAGGCTGGGAGCGCGGCGTGACCTGCCTGCCCGGCCACTGTAGCACCACCGTCAGCAACCCCAGCAACACTGGCAGCACCCTGCGCCACCCGAGCCAGCATCAATAACACCCACAAACCACAGCGACCCCTACCCGCAACACCCTCAATCCTCCCTTCCCCCTCGGCACCCTTTACTGCCTCCACGGATTGTACAACACCGACTGGACGCTCCACGCCATGCAAGCCTGGCGTGCGTGTCTGCCAGATGACCTCGCTCGCTCCTCAACTAGGTTCACATGTTGCGTCCATGCGTCATACAGGCTGCCGTACAACATCCCTGCTCCTGCCTCCTACACTACTTACAGCTGCATTACTGCACCCTCCTATTTACTTTCCAGCGGGCGGGGCAACACCACAACCGGAGCACCGCTGCCTTCCATAACTAACACCTTCCCACCAGGCACCGCTGAGTCCGCCCTGCCCCCTAGCCCCAAACCGCGCTACTCCCTTCCCCCTACCTTCTACCCCCGCCTTCCCCCCTACACCCTGTCCCCCCCCTACCCCCTACCCCTTGGCCCCCCCCTACCCCCTAGCCCTGGGCCCCCCCTACCCCCTGGCCCCTGCCCCTACCCCCTACCCTACCCCCCCACCACCACAGGGTGTCAGCGCCCTTCGGGCCGAAGGCCCAGCTTGTCGTATAGTGGTTAGTACATCACGTTGTGGCCGTGAAGACCCCGGCTCGAACCCGGGTAGGCGCATTGCCTGTGCCGTACAGGCCTTTTGACGGGGCTTTTTGCACCTGCAAGGCGTCCCCCCTGTACGCTGCTTGATCTGGACGAGTGAAACGCTGCGAGGAGGTGGCAATACTCATACATGTCCCTCGGATGTTTGAGAACCAAAGTTACAGCCTGTTTAGGGAACCATTGTAACGGTCATTCATCAAGTTACGGTTCGTATGTGCGCCCGCACAATCCAGGGCGAGCCAAGGACATTGTAAGAAACAATGCTGGTCTGGGCCATCAACAGGCGAGGTGGCCGCGGCTAGTCGTGAACACCTCACCACATGTTCGCCATATGCTGGCTTGCTAGCCACACACCTAAGCCGTTGCTTGGCCTTACTTGTAGCCGGCCCCCACCGGCGCCACTGTGTGCTGTGCCCTTGCACTTGCCAAGATTGGCATGCTTGCAACATCCCTGCACTCGCTCCTTTGTGACACACACGATACGGTAAAAGGGAGCCATCGGATCCCACCTTGCCTCCCAACGGGCCGGAAACGTCTGGTTGTGTACCTTCCGTACTGGGCTAAGCTATTACCGCCTAGAAGCAATACCGGTACACACGTTAGGACTTCTGCATTGCCGCTCGTAGCAACGTCTGAAGCTCCCCGGTTCCAAGCATCTGTTCTGCGATGTCCGCCCCCCCAACGAACTCGCCCTTGACGTACAGCTGCGGGATACAAGCAAAGCACAGCAATGAGGATGTGATCGATGTAGGCAGGGGTGAGTTTACCAGGGAATGTTTGCAGTAGCAGTAGACAACGCCCGGCATCTGCGTAGGCAATGCTACCGGTACAGTTCAATGGCATGCTGATGCTCAAGCTTTGTGCGGAGAGACGGGGGCCGTGCACCACCTGCTGCTGCGCCTCGAAACAGGGAAACAGGCGCACCTGCGGGATGGTGGGCCACTGGCTGTAGGTCTTGATCGCCTCCCGCAGGCCCGGGTTGTGGAAGTCATCCAGGACGTTGACAACCTCATAGTCCACCTGCGGAAATACGGGAGGGCGCGCTGCTCGAATGTGTTTGGGAAATGAAATCAGGGTGAGGGGATGGAGCTTAACGTGGCAAGCTCGTAACAAGGACCGGAAGAAGGCGTGCGCTCTACATTTACCGCCATGCAAGTGGGCCTCTGCTGCTAGCTCCGCATCGCAAAATGATGATGCACGAAAGAAGGAAACACACGAGCAAGGCAGACCCGTGGGTCAGCAGATCTACGAGGTCCAAGAGCCACGCAATGAAACAGATAGAGTCCTACGAAACGAGGCTGGACGCCTTTACTCCCTCGCAAGCTCCATGCCTACCTTGAGCGTGTTAAGCATGTTGAGCATCTTGAAGCTGAAGCCGCATTGGGGCTGCTGCCTGGTGCCCTTGACGAACACCACCACCTGGGCCATCGACGGTTACATTAACGGAAGAAAACCATACCAGTGGTTAGCGCGCAACGGAAGGGGCGGCCCACTGTAACCGAGAGGCTAGGAGGCCGGAATGTGATCACTGATACGAGAAATTGTCATCGTGTGAAGCAAGAACACGCCTGGGTGCCTAGATGCAATGTGTACTCGGCAACGTTTTTCAAGGCATCACTTCCATTCCTTACCGGGTTTTCCTTCACAATGCGGTCAATGAGGTCCGCGATGGTGATCCCCGTGATGGGCTTCCCCGCTGTAAGGCGGATCTCAGGCTTTGTGGCACGCGCAACTGAGCGAGACTGCCATTTGGTCTCGCCCGGTGCGTTGCCCGGCGGGATGTCGCCCGTCTCGGCCACTGTGGGTGAATAAGAGTTGCGCAAGAATGGAGTGGGAGAATAACGGCAACAGGAAACGGCGTTGTGAGGCCAAGGGGGCTGTGGGCAAGGGAAATTGGGTCAGGTCAAAGCTCATTCACTTGAAAAGTTGAGGTCATTACGAAGTTGATTCGGAAGGTGAGGTAGGTGAGGTGCTCACCCGCTTCCTCTACCCATGCCTTCCATGCGGATGTCAGCCCTTCACGCGTCGCATCGTCCACGATGGAATACTTCACCGCAGCTGTTAGGTCTGGAAGCTCTTGCATGTGAGCTGCTACACTGTTGGCCACCTTTAAAAGAGACGCAAGCACTCGCTTAATCCACGACCGCATACGGAACTTGGTTATCAAAGCGCAACCGTCGAAATCACTTACTTTCCGGGAAATGCCAATGAATTGCAGCGCACCAGCCTTGTCGTAAATGGCGTAGACTCCCGCAGAACCGGGAAACTGGTTAAGCTCGCCCTTCTCCATGACAGGTACAACTTTTGTGTCGCGCAATGAAGCCTTAGAGACAACACTAGATCGCGCCAGGAAAATCTTGGGTGCTGAAAAGGGCGCGACTACGCCCCTTGGCAGGCGCATCGGATGCGCCTGCATCGCAGGTAGCATATGTTTCCGTGTAAGAGTTTGCATTGTGTGCCTTATAGTTGTTCGTTTTCCAGAAGAATGGCTCACACTCTTTGGGTGAATGCGAAACGTCTGCAAGCCCGTACAATACGCTTGCGCTGCATGGGCTATCGTACGGTTTTACTGCTGTGCATGTCATGCAAAGACCAGCAAAGCATCCCAGACCTTACCTTCCACGTTCCACCATAAGCCACGGTCTTTAGTGGAAGCAGGTGCGTTAAGTTGGCCTATGGACACGACACTACGCCGGTAAAGCTGGCATTCATCATTTGGCGCTTGAAGCGGTCTCAGCCCTCTCAAGCAGAACCCAAGCCCCATCTGCTAAACCCCAAATGCTGCCCAGCCCAGCATCGCAAAGATTGCGTTAAACTCGAGTGCAGGTAGTAAAACATACTTTGCTCTTTAGCCCATACGTTGTTGCATTGTGCTACTGCCATGCAAGCGCATGCAGCTGCGGTAACGTGATCACTAACCTAAGTGATTAGTTACGTGCTTTCTAAGCTGGCGGTAAATGCTTCCTACATGCTTCGGTGCGGGGCATGTGTACGAGACCCAAGGCAAGCGAAAAGAGAATCCTGCGGACGTCACTTCCCGAGTTTTAATGCGTTACATGCCCAGCAGCTGCACAACACGCAGGGGAAGGAGGCAAGGCGCAGCTTTCCCTGCCTTAACCGCTGCCAACAGCCCGCACGCCACCCGCACCAGGCTAGACGCCAGCGCCCACACACGCCAGAACTGCGACCCGCACGATTGCTCCAAATCCGGCTGCTTAGAACATGGCCACGTTGGGGCGGTTGGCCTTGAACAGCGTCCGGAACTCGGGCTTCGAGGGGCGCGCCAGCTTCTGGGTGATGGGGAACTGGATCTTCTCGTTGTGGAACTGCTTGGTGTTGGCGCGCTTGCAGCTGTGGTAGTCCACAGTCGCCGTCTTAATGATCTGGATGTACGTCGGGCGCACACGGTGGCGCGAGGCCATCTCCTGGTACATCTGGGCAACCGCGCCGTTGAGGGTCACGTCACGGTACTCCTTGTACATGTTGTGCACACCCGTGCGCGACTGGTAGCGAACCCACACGCCGTAGTTCTTAGCCAGGGTGGGCTTGCGCTCGAAAATCTAGTGGCGGAGGGCAGGGGCGAGGGGAGGGTGTGTTTAGCTAAAGGCAGCTCATGCAAATGGAGCGACTGGGACAGATTGATACGCCACGTGCAGTGGGGACATGTCGAACGGCCCTGTCCAATGTGCGACCGCAGTCTTGGTAGCGCTGTGATTCCCCCGATTCCCTGAACTGCAGAGAAGCGGCTGATTCTGAGTACGGTGATTATTGCCTGCAGCTGCCTACATGCTTCCCTCTAACGCCAAAAGACACGCCCAGGGGTCCAACCCCGAATAGCTGCACTGATCGGCAGCACACTGGTGGAACTGACGCGCAGCGTAAAGAGCTACGGGAGGCAGGTATCACCAAACTGGGGGGCTGCGAGGATCCCCAGCGCAGCTAGAGGACGTCAATACTGCTGCAGAAGGTACGAATCCAGCTGTAAGTGCTGCTGGTAAGTGCTGCACTGCGACGCCTGTTCCAGCCAACAATGCGCTTTCCTCCAGCGGTCCTGACTGCCACAGCTGCTGACCAGGAATGCGCGACAGCTCCGCAGCTCATCCGGACCCGTTTCAACCCAACCGTTGCAAAGCGGCCATTGCTGCTTACCTCGTTGCAAGAGACAATCTGGCCGTTGGCCTTCTTCACACGCCTCAGCTTCCTGAGGAAGTACCTGCAGAGGTTGCAGCCATGCGATTGCAGCCGTCAACGCAACGCTCTGCCATAAATGCTAGTACTGAATCAATGCTAAAACACTTATTACAGGAAGGGCACTGCCGTCGGAGTTCACGATGATTGCGGCAGCCCCACCCAGCGCCGTCGCCGAGTCATTCACGCTAGGACACCCCCTAGCGCCGCCGGCAGCGGCTCTTAAATGCTTACCAGAACTTGCTCTTGGCCTTGACGTCATCCTCGGCCCACACCTTCATGCGGTAGACGGTCGGGTTGGCATCCGCGGCCGTGGGCAGGTGGCGGCCCACCACCTGATACTGGTGGAACTTGAAGTTCCCCTGCGGCAGAAGTCCAAAGCTATCACCTTAACGCTATAATCAAAAGCAAACTTCCTGCGCTGTGCATCCTTTCAGGGGCAAGAATGGCGCAAACAAGCTTTTGCTAAATATGTAGTTGTGGCGCACCTGCATAACCATTTTGCAGGCTCCTAGTAATACACCCAGGAAAAAGAGAGAGGACAAGCTGAGCAGGGAGCATTGAAGGTGTAGGAGTACATAAGGCCCATATAGTGCTGAGGGCCAGGAGCTAGGATTCCCCTACTAACGACAGGGTAATACTATTGTAGCTCCATTTATATAATAGAGTACTTAATAAGCGTTCAGCTGTCTATTGGAATTTCGCAGGTACGTTTAGTAGTAAAGTTGGCTGCACTTGCGTAACTATCATACGTATCAGATGCTGATCATTGAGCTGTACCTGGAAATGCTGATCCCTTAATACCAGTTGTGTGGGTATTTAAGGATCATCTTGAGCATCGGAGGTGGTTACTGCAACACGCGCACCCCTTGATTACTCGCCCATTGCTAGATAAAGCATCGCTACCAGCCGTACATCGACCCTGACGCGACGCGCTAAACATGTCAACGCAAGCGGATAGGAGCGGGATGTACCCTGTGCGGGTTCGCCTCTCTGGAACGTTCCGGCTAAGCCGGATCGAATGCTTTCTCCCATTTCCTCTTGTACCCTGCAGGTGCCGACAAGCTGCTTGCAGCAATCGGTCTAGATACACCGCTGCATTAGCAGCAGCAGCAATCAGCGGCCGGCCTGCATAGCCACACTACGCCACCATGCCTCTTCAAAAGCGTGATCCCGGCAACCCCGTCGTTTTCCTTGACATTACGCTAGGAAGCGAGGCCAGTAAGTGGCGTCTCCTTTAGCGCTGTACTTCGTCTTGCAGAATCTGAAATGAATACAGCATGGCCTTCGAGCCTGGGCGGGATTCAGCCCTATACACATTCCGATTGATTCTGGAATGACCCAAGGGTCAGGATGGATTCATATGCGCGGCCGTTAAAGCCAGCCGGTAATGTCCGGGCAGCAACAGCCCTTGGGAGGCCTTGCATTCGTCTTGACACCCGGCAAGAGTCGCGTGACATTGTCCCAATTCTCACTGGCACCCCACCGCGGATAGACCAACTGAAGATGTCCCATTTGGGCAATGGTGCTGGGCTTGTCACTGCGTGCCCTCACTACGACATGGACGTAATCCCAATCCGCTGCCGTACTCTGTGCAGTTGGCAGAATCCTGTTGGAGCTGTACAAGGATGTAGTACCCAAGGTACGGCAGAGCAGGGCCGGGAACTTCCGTAACTTGCGGGGACTTCTCGTGACATGATCATTTTTGTTGCAAGCACCGCATGTGGCGAACCTAAGGAACCAGCCGTACAACATCAAAATAAGGCGGTACTTGTTACTTTGTTAGCCCAATAAGCCACATATAGCTCTGTGGGTCGGCTGCAGCCAGTGCTGCTCTCTTCGCCCACTTCACCAGGACCTGTCAGCAGCAACAAACCCCTGCTATCACTACACACAACTGCTAGCCCATTCTTCTTCTGCTAGATCCTATCCACCCATAGCGACCCGCCGTGACATGTCCGTGACGTCCATTGCCCCGCTCGTCACCACGCGCCAATGCAGACGGCGGAGAACTTTCGGGCGCTGTGCACGGGCGAGAAGGGTGTGGGGCAGAAGGGCAAGCCGCTTCACTTCAAGGGCAGCGCCTTCCACCGCGTCATTCCAGGTGGGGGCAGAGGCGGAAGGAAGCGGAGGCGGCGGCGGCGGATTCGCCATCCGTGATTGTTGGGGTTGCCAGGGGCTATTTGTATGGATCATATGTGCAGTCCCTTAGCGTGTTAGGATCAAGAAGAAGGCTGCCGGGCATGGGCTTAGCACGGGCTGTGACTTTAGGGTATTTGCCAGGGTGTTAGGGCAACATGAGCCCGTTAGCATGAGCCCGTTAACCTGTTCGGTTTAACGGGAGACGGGAGCTGGCTGGGGAAATTACGCTTTAGATGCTGCCGCTGACTGGGTGTGTCGACCTGACCTGCAAAAGTGCCACGCGTGTCGTCTTCTCAGCACAGTCGTGACTAGCCGGGCACATCCAAACCATCACATGCTAACACGGGCACTGTTTTGCGTGGCTCTCGTGTGTGCAACTCCCTCGCAGACTTTATGATTCAGGGTGGAGACTTCACCGCCGGCAACGGAACAGGTGCGCAGAGGACACCCATCGGCATGGATGCCGTACACATCCTTCTCCTGCCTTCTCCAGTGCCGTACATCAGGCAACTAAACATGCCCGTACATGTCGCACCGTACACTGTTGGCACGTCCTTAGCCCGCATCCAGCTGCTTCGCCAAATCATATCACCCTGGCACTTCAACACACAACGGCATTTAAACATTTGAAACGCTGTTCACCGCTTCTTCACGAAGCCTGAAGTCTGCCTTCAACGTGCTCACTCGCGTGTTACGTCCCTCGCGTCTCTCCCGAACCCTCAGGCGGCGAATCCATCTACGGCGACCGGTTCGAGGACGAGGCCTTCACCCTGCAGCACGAGACGCCCGGACTGCTGTCCATGGCTAACGCAGGGCCCAACACCAACGGAAGCCAGTGAGTCGAGGGTTGCGGCGGGCGACGGGTAAAGAGTAGACCGAATGAATGGGAATGGCGCCTTTATGGGAATGGCGCCTTTATGGGCAGGTGACGGTTCGGATGATGATGAGGACGGAAGTGAAAGGCCTGGGTGAGAGTAGATGGTGAGCCCTAACCTCTAGCTACCGCTTGTATCTCACAGGTCCATAAGCTTGTGATCGCTGTCGCCCCGCTGTCGTACCCTATCGTACAGTCGCCCCGTTGTCGTACCCTATCGTACAGTCGCCCCGTTGTCGTACCCTGAGATACCCTGTCGTACCTTCACCCCGTTGTCGCCCCCTGTCGTACGCTGCTCCCGCCAGGTTCTTCATCACCACGGTGGCGACTCCGCACCTGGACGGCAAGCATGTGGTCTTCGGCCGCGTGCTGAAGGCAAGGCGGGGTGCGGGGTGCTTGAAGCGCTGCGGTTGACTACCCTAAGGGGGCTGCTGTCAGGAAGCGACTCACAGCGGTGTTGCAACACCTTGGGGTTATCTTCTAGGGAAGCTTTTAAGGGACGGGTGCTTTGTTAGGTCTCTTCCGCCTTGCTATGTGTTTTGCGCCTTGCTAGCCTAAGCATGTGTTAAGAAAGTTGGGGCCCTTGTCGCCATGCCTCCTCTACCACCCCGCAGGGCATGGGCGTGGTTCGGGAGATTGAGCAGACGGAGACGGGCGAGCAGGACCGGGTAAGACAAGATGCTGTGCACACGCCAAAGCCCCACGACGACGATGCCCCGCACACGCAACACACCTCACATGCAAACATGCAATAAGCTTGGGTAGTAATAATAAGTATTGATGTCCACCTTTTCCACATCCCGCTCGGCAGCCCGTCCAGCCAGTTGTCATTGCGGACTGCGGCGAGCTCACGGACGAGCAGGCGGAGGCGGCAGCGGTGGCGGCCGGCTCCGGCGGCTCCTTCCCGACCTATCCTGAAGACGCGGAGAAGCCTGAAGGTGGGGCAAGAGAAGAAGAAGAAGAAGAAGGGGAGAAGTACCGGATCTGTGCCGTGAACGATAGTGGTGGTAAAGAGGAAACAACTAACTGACTGAGGGATAAGGCGTCGACATGGGTGGTGGTGGAAGGGGGGAGGGGGGGGTGCTTAGGACGCGAGCTTAGCCCCGTGAGAAATTGTTCTTGACATCCGTGGTTTGCCGGTGCATGCTGGCCGCAGGCGAGACGGAAGCTGAGTTCCGGCTGCGTGCTGGCGAGGCCATTCGTTTGGAGGGAAATGAGCTCTTCAAGGTGAGTGGGGGCGAAGAATGAATGAAAAGTGAAGCAACTGGAGCGTAGGGCGGTTGCGGCATTGGCAGTGCAGGCCGTATTCCGCGTGACGCCCTCCCCGGCAGTGCGCACACCACATCTGACCGCATGCGCCTGCTTATCACGCATCACGGCTACGTCAAGCTTCGCTCTTTGTTGATACATACTCTTATTTCCATCGACGTGACACGCGCCACTACTCCCAGTGCTCATGTACCAAGCAGTGAAGCACCAAGCAACCCCACTGCCTACCCATCTCTGGTATGTACGACAACCTCTATACCTTCCTTGTACGGCGGTTTTCTCCCGCTCCCGCAGGCCGGCAACTACAGCGAGGCCGTACTGCGGTACAGCAGCGCTGCTCGCTACGTGGGCCAGGACTCCTTCAACGACCCGGCTGCGGTTTCGGAGCAGCAGGCGACGGCGCTGCAGCAGGCGGTCATTAGCTGCCTGCTCAACAGGTGCGCGTTCAAGCGAGGGCGGGGATCAGAACAAGGAAAACTGACGAACTGGATGACGCGGCGCGGGGGTGGGGGTTTTAAATTATCGTACCATACCGTAGGAAGCCACAGGTTAGGGCGAACCAAAGGGGATAGGAGACGCAGGGGGATGGTGGTGGTAAACAATCGCCTAGGGATAGCGAACGCGTGGGACAAAGCCCTGCGATCAAAGACTCATAGGGAGAGCGAGCGCTGGGCAAGACCCTGGCGAGCGCGCTATGATGCCTCCTCTCAGCCTACCGGTATTCCCAGCCCCCCCTTCACCATGACATGCTTGCCCGTTACCACGATTCCACCATCACCCATCACCGCCCATGCCACCCCTGATTCACCCACCCGCCCACCCGCCAGGGCTGCCTGCCGCCTAAAGCTCTCCAAGCCCGAAGCGGCTCTCACGGACGCGGTGGCGGTGCTGGACCAGGCGCCCGACAACGTGAAGGCGCTGTTCCGCTGCGGGCAGGCCAAGCTGGCGCTCAAGGTGGGAACAAATGGGGGGTTTCGATGAACTGAGCCGCGGAAACACTGACCCTGCCCGGGGGTGTGTGTGTGAAAAGATAAGTGATAAGTGCAGCAGCTGGTGGGATGGGGGACGAAGCATACCTAACCGTAGGAAACATCGAACTAGGGCACCGGTGAAGGGCGGGCAGCGGTGTTTGGTTGCTTGCTTGCTCTCCCCTGCGCATCTTGGGAGCAGTAAGGCGCCCATGTTGGGGGGTAGTTTCCGATGTGGTTGGCTCGTCTGCCCCCCTCCAGGACTTCTCGGGTGCTCTTGCGGATCTGAAGCGCGCCTCCGAGCTGGAGCCCTCCGACAAGGGCATCGCAGGTACGACGCAGGGGCTGCGTTGGGTTGGGCTGTCAGGGGAACAAATTGTCGCCCGTTAGGGTCTGGGTTGGGTAGAGTTGGGTTGCGTACTGGCGGTTGCTTGGCGGGTGTGGTTTAGAAAGGTGAGGGAAGCGGGGCGTTGCATGCTGTCTGGGTCTCCGTGATTCGCCCTCCAGCTTTGATACGTCCTGCTTTGCGGCACGTTTTTTTGCCTGTATTCATGACCTAAAAGGCTGTTTATTTACAACGGCTGCGCTACCAGTATGTCGGTTGTGGTGCCTGTGCAGCGTTGCGTCCCTCGCACTTAAGGCTCGCAAAGACGTGCGCCTCCCTCACGTACGCTTCCCTCCCCGTACGCTTACCTTCACATTATATCCTCACGTATGCTTCCCTCCCCGTACGCTTCCCTGCACCCCCCCTCGCAGCTGAGTTGGCCCGTTGCAAGGCGGCGGTGGAGGCGGAGCGCAAGAAGGAGCGTGCCACCTATGCACGCATGTTCGGTTAGGACCTTAGGAGAGGTCAGCCAGGGCACTGCATGACGGGTTGAGTTGGCGTGCGAGGGGCAGGACCCCGCAGGAGGCTACGTTACACGCGCATCCACGCGCTGACTAAACCCAGCTTACTGAACCCGGTTTGGGGCTCTGCTGTTGCGTTATCGGCCTCCTGGGACAGGGTTGCTCGGCACAGCAACAGGCGCAGCGTTGCAGCAGGATGGCGTTGAGCATCTACTAGAGTGCTGCTGGAGGGCGTGCATGAGTCATGTGACGGGGGGGTCGCTGCAAACAGCGCTTGAGGATGAGGAGGAGCGTGTGAGGAGGGGGGATGGTGCGCGGAGTTGGTGGGTGCTTGTGGCGTGTCTACGGGCGTGCCTGAACTGTGTAGCTGGCTGAAGAGTTGCAGGCGTTCTTGGGTAGCTTGGTAGCGAAGCCATGTCAAGTGAGCTGAGCAACAGAGCCATGTTGTTAAAATAGGTTGAAGCAGAGGTTCGCGAAGAGGTTACATTTAGCAGCATGCCAGTTAGATGCGCTAGGTAGGGACCGTGGAAAAGGTGAAGATGAGGAGACATGGAGGCGATGTACCCCAGGTGCCCGGCGGGTGTTGTGGGCCGGAGGTGTGAGATGAAGTGCTTGGCACGTCTGGATTAATCCCGTCTGACCAGGACTTCCTGTGATAGTGCTGTTTTGGAGTCATTATAGCCTCTCGCTCCCGCTGTTAATCTCGAATGTCTCGGGGGCATCCGGGATATAGAATGTTAGAATCGTTGGTAATGTCCATTTCGGCCATTTAGCAGTCCGGTCATGGGGCCACAACGCCTTCAACTCTCTAGCAAAACTACACTTCCTGCTGAGGCATGCACGCCTCATAACCTCTTCCCCAAGCACCCAAGCTAAGCACCATACACACCTCCGTACCACCCCCACGACGCCGACACGCACACTCGCCCCAACTTGCGGGTTGCGACCAGTTTTCTCAACACACCCGTTTCCTTAACACCTTCACCAGGACACCTTCTTGCTCCTGCGGGGTCCTGCCCCTATGCCGCCGCGCCCGCCGCGGCCCCGGACATTGGCACCAACAGGTCGTAGTGCGCGCCGCTCCACAGCAGGTTGATGGGCTGTACGGCAGGCAGGAGGTGATCGCCGTACGTCACAATGGGCTCCAGTGCGCCCCCTTGCACGTGGAAGACGGTGATGGGTCGTTGTACGACATGCACGGCCATGACCATCTCAGGTTCGCCTGGAGAGAGAGAGGAAGAAAAAGGAGAGCGGTAAACGTAAAAGGTAACAGGAGAGCGGTAAACGTACGCGACATTCGCGTCCGTGTAAAAGGGTGTAGGCATGCAGGAGGGCCGTCAGCCAAAGACCTGGCGAACTCGGCACCCGCTCGCGCTCGGAGGCTGGAACAAGGCGCTAACAGCTGCACAGTAGCCGCATCAGGACGCCACGTTCTCCCTCACGCAAAAGTCGCCCTCCTATACCATACATGGATTTGGGACTCCGTTGCTTCACTTTCCATCTATTTTCCCCACACCCAACGAGCCTTGTCATACAGCTCGTCAGTTTCCCTCCTTTCCACTCCACACACACCAAACGCACCTCCCCAGGCCATGGGATGTGACATGGTCCGGCAGTACTGATCAAAGTCCGCTGCAATGCCGGGCAGGAAGGGCTCCATCTCCCTAGCGGTGTGGGACGGGGACAGGAGGAGGGGCTGAATGGGTAATGCGCGCGCATGTGGCAGATTGAGAGGTACAACCATGCGCCTGTACCCAGCTGGCAGCTTGTAGCAGTTCCTTAACGTTAACCCGGAAGGACGGGCCATTGGGCAAGGGCACGGCATTTGAAAGCCAGGCGATGTGAGGCATGAGTGAAAGCACCGCCGAGGAACCAATGGCATGGCATGGCATGTCGTACAATTTGTCCGCGACTTACTCGCGTCGTTTCCGTAGTTCTTGGACGACCGCTAGCCGTAGGTTGTGTGCCGCAGCCTCCTCGGAACCCGGCGGCATGGGCTTGCCTGTACTGCCGTGCGATACGGCGGCGTGATGGGGGGTACGGCAACGCCGCCGTCAGCAGGAGTCAAAACGGTCAGTGCCACACACGAACATTTGGTTCAGTTGTCATGCAGCATCCCCGACGTTAGCAAGGTAAAATCCTGCCTCCAGTTCCTCCAGAGGTGACGACCCGGCCCCAAACAATGCCCTCCTTCCTTCCCCGTTTCATAACACAATCCGTTCCAAACACACCCTCCGCGCACGCACCTCTGCTGGCTATCTGTGCGCCTTGTACGATCGCGCGGAACATGCAGGCGCCGTCACCCGTGATTTGAAAGATGCCCAACTGCTGCTGCTGACTCTGTGGCGTTGCAGAGCCGCTGGGGCCGGTTGCATTCAAGCTGCCAGAGCTGACGGTACGTGCGAAGGGAGGTGATGCGAAGGAAGATGTAGTACAGCCGTTGTATGACACCTCACGTCGGTTGGCTATGGTTGCCGGAGGTATGTGGTGCCATGCTGGCCGGGTGGAAGGGTGAGACCGTTGTGGGCATTGGAAAGGATGTCCATGTCAGAATCCAGCCGACGCACAAGCCTTAGTCACTGGGAGCTGCTTGCTTTCCCCGGGAATTCCCACGGTTTATGTTCGAGGGGCATAGCATGTCTGAGTATCGGAATGCTAGAAGGACGTTCCGGTAGAGCTTACCCCCAATGCATTTGCCACACGTACCCGCAGAGTGAACTTGGACAGCAAAGGGGCGACGACGCCTGATGTAACATTCCCATCCTGTAGAAACCACTGTCCTCTGCAGCGCTAACATTGCTATGATAACGATGACAAAAAGTAGGAGGTAGGCGACGACGGACGTATTGTTCACGTTGTGTACGCAACGGACGCTCAGAATAAGTGGGTGTCCAAATGACAGCAAATGGTTCACCGTTCTTTGCAAAAGCGGCTGATACACTCTCAGTCGTTTGGCATTCCGTACGGCATCCTCAAGACAATCGCCTCTCCACCGTCATACTCTCATACAGCACGGTTTGCGGAACTGGCAATTTAAACCTGTTGTCAGTTGGGCCTCCGACAATAATCTTGGCTTGTACACAACGAACAATACCGGTGTGTGCGCGTCTTCATTCGAACTAGTCTTCCAGTTAGGAGCTAATTCCCTGTCTGAATAAATGGCACCAAAGAAGCGTCGTCGTGTGGCTCTGAGCGGGAAGGGCACCATCGAAAGCACATCCAGGTAAGCTGCGTGCGGTTGTTGTTATAGTCTAGACCAGTTACACTATGCTTATGTTCTCTATGTAAGGATCAGCATCCTCGTTAGCTACCTTTTACGTATAAGGCAAGGTTAAGATACGCTTGCATGGCTCACTTGCAAATTGCACTGCTTATTCACAACTTGTTGCAACTCTGGAACGCTGTACAAGGACGCATGACTATTAAGGGTAGACACGCCCTTCATCTAGCACCTTTACCGAACTGTCTCTTTCCTACATCCATCGCGTGAGTGCACCCTACCGACCCCTCCAACCCTGATCCCACTTCACCCATCCCCAACCAGATGGGGGGAGCTCCCCCGTGAAATAGTAGCCATGATTGCTAGCTACACCTGCACGCCCGTGGAGCCGCTGCCCTTCACCTGCCTAGCCCGCGCATCAGACTCAGAGTTCACCCCCTACCGCCGACAAGAGGACCGCGCCTCAGCGCTCTCAGCAGGCGGCCAGTTCGCTCTGGACGCGCCGGCGGCGCCGTCAGGGCCGCATTATGCCGCTTCTGCTGGTGCCACAGGTGCAGCTGGCGGCTCGACTGCAGCAGCTAGCAACGGTGCCAGCGGCGGCAGCGGCGGGGCTGCTGGGGGCACAGCAGCTGGCGTCAGCAGCATCAGTGTCGGTAACTTCATACCAGGCACCTTTCGTCCCGTACGGATGAGCGAAACGGCGCTAGCCATGCGCTGCGTTTGCCGCCTGTGGTGCGAGGTTCTCAGCGAGGGCGTACGTCGCATCGAGCTGCATGACACGCTTCCCGTCACGCTGTCCCTCTGCCGCTTCCCGCGGATCGGCGAGCTCTCATTGGGCAGTTGTACGGACTTCTGGGTACGGCAGGCGGAGCGCCTTGCCGCCGCGGCGGATGCTCCGGCCGGGGCAGGTGACGACGGCGGCGGGAGCCGCCGTCGCCGCCAGCAACCAAGCTGCGGCGCTTCGCGCCGCGGCAGCGGCTCCGCCGCCGCCGCTGCCGCCGCCTCCGGCGGCGGTGGCTCCGCCTCAGCCAGCCGCTCCCGCTCCCTGGCCGGCCTCACCTGCCTGCGGGATCTGCAGGTGATGGATTCCGCCATACATTTGGATCTCGCCGCCAGCTGCGGTCCCTCCCTGGAGGAGCTAGCGGTCGTGGCGCAGCAGCTGCAACTGGAGCGAGACGCGGTGGGCCTTACGGGCTCCGCCGGCGGCACAGGCCACCATTACCACCATTTCGCGACCTTCAGATCCGGATTACGCGGGTTTGGCGGCGGCGGCGGTGGCGTCGGCGGCCGTCGTTCCGACGGCGCCGTCACTCGCCGTTCCGCGCTCGATCGCACCCTCAGCAGCCTTCCTGGGCTGCGAAGACTGAGGTTGCATGGGCTGGATGCATCCGCTGCGAGGCTGGGGTCCGCGCTCATGGGGTTGCAGGAGCTCACAAGCCTCAGGCTGCTGGATTGCCAGCTGCCCACCTTTTTTGCGGGGTCGGCGGGAGGAGGGGGCGCTAGGAGGGGCGGTGGAGGAGGGCGAGGCGGCAGGGGAGGGCATGCGAGCTTCGCGATGGACCTTATGATGAACCTGGGGTCCAAGTTGCGGGTGAGTTGGGGGGTGGCAGCGGGGTGGCAGCGGGCCCAGAGTTACGTTAGGGCTGGGTTAGAGTAGCGGTGGGGACTGGGAAGGACCTTGGATAGAGGGACGGCTAGGGGTGGCTAGGGAAGGGGGCGGCCAGTGAACCTCCTTCTGCTACTTTCTTCCCTGTCCCTGACCTGCCGCCCTGCTGGCTGCGTTCCACCCATCCGACCGGTCTCTTCTGCTCTCCTCCATTCTCTCTTTCCCTCTCCCTCCCTCCCTCTCCCTCCCTCCTTCCCTCTCCCTCCCTCCCTCGCCCTCCCTCCCTCCCTCTCCCTCCCTCTCTCCAGGACCTCTCCCTGCAGGGCTGCTACGTCCGCGACATGCCTGACGCGGTTCTGGCCTGCCTCACCAACCTGCGCTGGCTGGATCTGTCGTACAACATGCTGTCCTCGCTGCCACCCACACTGACCCTGCTGGTGCAGCTGGAGGTGAGCAGGACGCACCGGTAGCTTGCCCTTCGCTGCACCCCCTCCCGCTCCCCATTATTCCTTCTCTCACCCTTCCTTCCATCATTCCTGCCTTCCATCACCCTTACCTCCCCCTTCCCTCCCTCCCCCACCCTCAACCCCCCCCCCCCGCAGTACCTGGACCTCCAGCACAACATCCTGGCCTCCCTGCCCGAGGGTGTAGCTGCGCTCAGCCGCCTGGCCGACCTGGACCTCTCGGAGAACCACCTGCACCGCCTGCCCGGGGACTTCAGCCAGCTCACAAGGTGGGGTGGGGTCCAACTCACAAGGTGGGGTGAAAGGAAGGGAACTGACGAGGCAACTGACGAGCTGGAGGTAGGGTGGGGTGTGTGGGGTTAGGACTGCCCTGAGCCGCGAGGATTACCCACCTCTTAGAGCCTGCCCTTCTGTGCCCCCTTGCCGGCCTTCTTGCACTGCGCCGCCTCCTTGTCTGAATCCCAGCGCTCACCCCCATCCTTCTCTTGAATCCCCTTTTCCTCCGCTACCTTTCCGCAACTCCTCTCCCTCCCCTCCACCTCCCTCCGCAACCCCAGCCTGACCTTCCTGCACCTGGGCGGCCTGCACAGTCTGGACATGGCCGCCTGCTGCCCCCTCATCACACCGCTCACCAACCTGCACTCGCTGGGTGAGCTGGGCGGGCGGGGTGTGTGTTGGGAAGGCGCGGGATGCGTTGGGAAGGCGCGGGATGCGCTCGGAATGCGGGGTAGCACACCTGAGCCGTGATGTTGTAAGACATACCGTTGGTACCCAGTTGGGTGTGGGGCGGTGCGTGGTGGGCTTCTGGTACAGGGATATAGCATGGCACAGCGTAACGGTTGCGGTGTACTGCATACATGTGTGTATTGCATGTACTACACGTGAGCCAGGGGAGCTAGTCGAATGAGAGAGCAATATGCCCCATGCGTGCTTTAGGCTTACGAACGAGAGCAAGGCTAGGGCAAGGCCGTCAACTTGCGTTCCTCTTCCTAGGTACCTCAAACATTCCCTGCTGCGCCTCGGCTTTCCTACCAACCCACCCCCGTAGGCCTGTACGACGTGGACCTCACAGACGACCCTCATGTCGTACCTCCAAACGGCGGCGGCAACCCACTCCTGGCCAACCCGCTAGCGCAGTTGGCGGCCGCGTTCGGACCCGTGGGTCGGCTGCGGGAGCTGGTGCTGGACGGCTGCGGACTGGACAGCCTGCCGCCCAACTTCTCTGATCTGACGTCGCTGAGCCACCTCTCCGTAACCGAGAACTTTGATGCCACGGTGAGACCCGGGTTGCGACGGTGGGATTGGATGTACTATTATTGAAAATTTCAAAGGACCCAGATGTGTACCCAGATGCCCCGTCCTTGAGATTCATTCTCAAGGACGGGGCATTCTCGCTAGACGCGTCCCTACCTGCAGCATCGCCCTGCCCCGTGCTGCCATAGGCCAACCCTGACAGCGCCTAACTTGCTCTGCTCGCTTGCCCCACTTTCCTTACCCCTTTCCTCCCACCGCCTCTGTCCATCACCACCCCTTTCCTCCCACCTCCCACGATTGATGCTACTAACTATACAACAACTACAATTATTTGCTATCCCAACTATCCAGCGTAATGCGGATTCTGTTTCCAAATTAACCTCCCACGTCCCACGTCCATGCCCTCAGACCGTCCCCGAGGGCGTCACCTCCCTCCGCGGCCTGGTCGTCCTCAAGCTGGGTTACCTAGACCTGTCCGTACCGCTGCCGGCCGGGCTGTTCGACCTGGGTCAGCTGCGGGAGCTGGACCTGGAGCAGAACTTCCTGCCCGGCCTGCAGCCAGACATCAGCAAGCTCACAGCGCTGCAGGTGGGTGGGTGGGTGGGGTTGTTTGTAGGGGCTCCGAAGGGATTGGTGGGGGAGGCTAAGAAAGGGGAAGACGTGAAACATCCAAATCTGTGGAGGAGGGGCTTTTGGAAGAGGATGCCTACAGAAGAGTGTCTGGTAGGAAATGGGTTGGGGAAAACGGAGATGGGGTGCCGCAGGACGGTCTGGATGGAGGCTGCGGAGGTAGGGGGCACCGCCGCCTTTCCCTCTTTTACCCTTCCCCTCCCACAACAAGTTTTGACTGTACGCAATCCTGAAATCCAGTCTAATGCGGAAAATATGTATCCCTATTACGGTACTCCCCTCCCACCCCGCCCTCCTTTCACCTCCCCGCCTGCCCCCCGCCAGGTCCTCAACCTGGTGGACTGCTTCGACCCGGATGTGGAGGGCGAGGTGCTTCCCTGGCCCCAGCTATACTCCCTCACCCGCCTGCGCAGGCTGGGCGTCAGCGGCCAGGAGGGCAGGCCGCAGCGCGTGAAGCCGGGCATTGGCGCACTCACAGGACTGGAGGTGGGTTACTGGATGCTGGGAGCTGGGTGCTGAGTGAATTGGAAATATCGGTTGGGTAGGAAAAGGATGTACACAGAAGGATGGACCGGCACCGCGGAAAGAAAGTTAGGGAGCTGTTTATCGTTTTGCATGGCGTACGGCAGTTGTTGTGTTACCGGTGTTATGGTTCAGTGCCGTACGGTATCCTGGCTGTCCTGCTGGCTATTAAACCCGTTCGCGACCCTTACTTGCTGTCCTCGGCATGCCCCTGAACTATCCTCTCCCACCTATCTCTGTCCCATACTTCCGGCTACGCATCGGTATATATTGATGTATATTTGCTGTGTCGGATTGTGTTTCAGGATCTGGACATGCGTCACGTGGATCTGCCGGTTGCCGTACTGGAGGAGCTCTGCCACCACGCGCGCGACCTCACCTCCCTGGACATCTCCTCATGCGGCCTGCGATCCCTGCCGCAAGCCATCACTCGGCTGACAAGACTGGAAGGTGTGTGAAGGGGCGGGCGGATGGGTTTGCTGCATAGGGGCATGCCATCACTGGGGGCCAGTAAGGCACCCGCCTGCTTGATGCTGTGATAGCTGGCACACATGAGGGCTGCATCAGCGCGGTGCACCTAGGTCCCTTGGCGATCCTAGACACACGCGCATAACGCGTGCGTCTTTAGGAGGTTAATACACCGGTAAGCTGTCAACTGCAGTCAGAGTACGGTAACATACTGTGCCATGCCATCTTGCCATGCCAAGAATCCTCATAGTGTACCTGGGTGACATGTTTTGCTGCACCCTTCTTTCACCCTTTCACATCCCTTCACAGCTTTCGAGTTGACGCGTAACAACCTGGCCCGGCTGCCCGCGGGTTTCGGAGCGTTTACTCGTCTGACGGACCTGGGGCTAAGGTGGGTGGGGCTGTGGGTCCTGCTGGGTACCCCTGGGCACTGGCATGGGGGTTTCGAAGGGCTAATGTCGTGGAGTGGAGTGGAGTGGAGCGGAGGTCAAAACAGAAACCAGCCCGAAGCAGGAAGGTTGGGGGAGGGTTGTAAGGACGCAGTGAGTAGGTAACGTATGTGTACCGGTAAGAAATAGGCTGTATTTCTTACAGGCACTGACGGACAGTCCACTGGCCGACATGCATGGATGAACGTGTCGATGATATGAATATCTCTTTGATTTAACATCTATGCTTACCTACCCGCTCTTCTGACGCGCCTGCTGACCCTCCTGCAACGTCCGCCGCCGTCCGCCTCCCTCCCCCATCCCCAGCTACAATACGCCGCTGTCGTCCCTACCACCCGACATCACCCGGCTAACCCGCCTGCGCTGCCTCAGCTGGAGTGTGGGCCCCGCCACTGCTGCCCCCTCCCGGGAGCAGCTGGGCTGGATGTCGGCCCTGCCTGAGCTAGTGCTGCATGGCAGGGCTAACTTCGCGGAACTAGCCAAGCAGCAGGGCATCGCTTGGACGAAGCGCTCGACGTATTACTGAGGCATACGGAGGGCCGTGTGTTGTTAGGACTTGGTTGGCTGGGGTTGTGGTTGCTGTAAGCTAGGGGCAGAAGATTGGGTGTTGAGGTTGGGCATAGTAGCAGGTTTGAAGCAGCGTGCTGCATTATACGGCGATTGTGGGCTGTAGAGGGGAAGGCAGGTGTGGTTTTGTCGCGGATTTCGCCGGGGTCCGAGTTTGTTGGTCCGCATGCATTGGAGCTAAGACTGTTTCGCGCCATCGCGCCTATGACCACACTACCGGTATATTGCATCAGTTGCCGAGCCCTGTCTTCCTGCGGCACAGCGAATTCGGGTCTTTTCGGGTCGTGGCATTCTGGATGACACCGTTACGAGGCTCTGCACATACTTGGTCAACTCCGTACTTCTGGTTGCAAAGTACAATGTGTAGCCAAAGGAACGCAACCGCCGGACCATGCCCTTCACGACACCTCTTGGCGAACATGGCGGCCCTGCTGGCACCAAAACTGCACTTAACGTACGTAAACCGTACGACGCCCAACCCGTTTGGGCTACGCCACCAGAAGCCTGGAGCGGGAAGGGATACCCCCGCGCACCAGATTCGCCCTCTTGCTCCCAGCACAGCACGAAGATGCTGCCGGGACAGTCTCCTTGGAGAAGAGGTACTTTGCTACCAAATGCAACCTCCAAACACGTCTCTCTCCTCATGTCGCAGTATACTGGTTTGTACTCATGCAATACGCGCACATCAAGACGCACACAAGCCTCACCCATGCAAATGCAGTAAACCAAAACTACGTCTATGAGCCCGCAAATCCCTCACCCAACATCCACACGGCAGCTGACTGGAGACACATATCATACCAGGTTCACGCATTCTTGGCCCCAAAAGGGATATAAACGGCCCCAGTCAAATTACTTTTGAAGTCCCATACCCCGTAGTCATCCCCAGTCATGCATGACCTTGCAACGGACAAGTATAATGTGTGGGCGTTGACGCTGCCAACCCTCGCGCCCTCTCAGGGGCCCTATGCTATCACTCTGCTGCCAGCCTCATAACGTCATAAGAAGCTCTCTATACCAGCACCCCTTAACCGCACAGCGTTCTGCACCAAGCCCAGGACGGTCATTTGGCAGTGAAGGCGCCCCACATTGCATGCCGTGGCTTTGTCCTGTGGCCTTAAGAGGCATCGTTGGAAGGCCAAGCTGCATGGCGTCGCATGCCGTAACCCGCTCTGGTTATCAAAGGACCAACGCCAATGCACACCGACAAGCTTGCTGAGGCAGAACACCGCTGCGAAAAGGCCCCCTCCAGGACCAGCGTTAGCATGAGCATGTAGACGGCGGCGGCTGCGGTTTGGCATCTAGCGTGACAGTGGAGGTGGTTAGCTTAACCTCCTCCATCTGCTCCTGCTTGTTTTGCGTTACGGACTCCATGCCCGGAAGGGCAGCCGCGATCTTGCGGAATAGGGCCTGCGGGTTCAAAGGATGGTTAGGCAGCCTCCTGATTATGGTATCTGCGGCTACACCACGGTATCCTGAGACCTGGCTAGTGTGGACTATGCTTTAACGGTAGCTTGCAGAGGATTTAATTATTCCAATGCGCCTCCATAGCCGCTCAGGAGGTTCCACGCCATGCCTGCAGGCCTACCTTGATGTTGAGGCCAGCCTTGGCGCTGGTCTCAATGAAGTTCACGTTCAGCTCCCGCGCCTTCGCATCCCCCTCCTCAATCGACACTTGCCTGCGGCGGCGTTTAGTAGAGAGGTGGCATGAGCCATGGAGCTGACATACACATGCGTGCCCAAACCCTCCGTTCCATCCATCCGACGGTTGGGCTACGAGCCCGTTCCACGGCACAAAGCACTCCCTTCCCACCTCTTGTCAATCAGGTCCGTCTTGTTGCCCACAAGGAAGATGATGACGTCGTTCCCCCGTTCTGTGCGGACCTCCTGAATCCATCGGGCTGTGTTGAGGAAGGACTGCCGGTCTGCGTGGTAGCAGGCCAATCCAATGTCATCACAAAGCCTTTGCACCCAGGTGGAGACTGAGGCACCTACTTGTGATGTCATAGACGACCACCGCAACCGACGAGTCGCGGATGTAGCTGGGTATCAAGCTGCGGAATCGCTCTTGCCCAGCCGTATCCCTACAGGGAAATAAAGCGTCAGGACCTTCCCAGATCAGCTACTAAGGGTAAATCACAGTATACGCACCATAGCTGGAGTCGCACGGTCCTGTCCTCGAGGTACATGGTCTTGGAAAGAAAGTCTATCCCAATAGTAGCCTGCAGTATGCAGGTAAAACTACTTCAAACTAGTCTTTGCATCATACTATTAACAGAGGGCATACCTGGTAGGTGTTGTCAAACTTGTCATACATAAACCGGGTAATAATCGAGGTCTTTCCGACCGACTGGTCCCCCAAGAAAACCTGCATAGGAGAATCCAAGCTGAAACAATTTCCAAGTCCTCAGAAGTGCTCCGCTATCTGCTGCTCCTGCTGCTACGCACCAGCTTGTACTTGGCGAGCGGGCTCGTGGTAGCTCCGCTCATTTTGGCCCCGGCTGCTTCTGGATGCAAGCTACTTTAAGAAAGATGCCCTAACGGGCCCGTGTACAAGCTTACTTCAGTAAGTTAGAAACCTAGCAAGCTGTTGTCAGGAACGATCTGCTGGACGCTAATCCGGAGCAAGCGTATGCATAGCAAGCTGTTATGCAATTATACTATTGTGCATGTTCAGGGTAGCCCAAGAATACTGCCTGCCAAAAAGGGCGGAAGAACCGAAGCCGATGCAAGCTGTACGACGGCGACGAGCCACAACTATTAATCCTAGAAGTAGGAAAGATTTCCTACGTGTTTTAGGGGAACGCCTCATCAACGTTTGCGATGTACAGTACATTTTCATGCGCGGAACATGCACAAATTACATAGCACCGGCAACTGTAGGACTGCCGTCTCCCGGCCTTCCAGTTGGCCGCCCCTGTTGGAATTACTCTCGGAGAGCAGCCGCAAGCAGCACGCGACCATTCCCCGGAACCCAGCTATGCACAGCGGGCAATCACCTTCACACGCACAAGACCTGCATAGCTTCCCCACATAGCACCGCCTCACGGCGTACCTCTACGGTTACATTACAGCCTAGCTCCGCCCAGCCATGAGCACGACTGCCGCCAGAGAGTCCCTCACGGATAGTGCATCCTGGCTGTGACGCCGCCATCACAAACGAAATGCTGTCCGGTAATGAAGCCCGACAGCCGCTCGTCAGCAAGGAAAGCCACCAGTTCAGCAACATCGGAGGGAGCGCCCACACGACCTGAGGTACGGCAGCACACATGGCCGCAGCTGACGTGGTTAGGTACGGTACGGCACGAAGGGAACCAGAGGAATGGGGACGTACGGTATTTAGGAAAGCTACTGCGCACCCCCTGTCATCCTTTGATACGCGTGGGCTTGCTTGCCAAGTCCCACCCAGGGTAAGCATGCATGCAAAGCATACTGCCCACCCAGATGGACAGCACGCGCCTTACCAGAACCGTAGCACCCTTCCCTCGGTCCCCTACACCCGGCTACAACCCGCGCGTATCACTTTTGTAATTTTCCCCCTCTCTCCCACCTGCCCAGTGCCAGCTCTGCTGCTCCTGCGTGACGCCCTCCCGCCCGCCCGTCACGTCCACCCAGCCCGGGAGCACTGCGTTTACCCTCGTGCGTCCCGCCATGCTGGCGGCCTGCGCGTGCGTGAGGCCCAGCAACCCCGCCTTGGCGGCGGCGTAGCCCTGCAGTGCGGCGGGGACGGTGGGAAGTGGGTGCCGGGGGGTGGGTAACGGTACTGCCGCAGCAGGGGCGAATTGGGGTTGATCGGCACCAGAGGCAGTTCAGTGGGCTCGGCGCCTAGAGGCCCTTGTATCCTAGTTGCTGCCGGGCTGCTGGGCAGCGCTGTAGCGTCAAGATGAATTCGTCAGGGCACGTCAGGGTGGTGGCGGTGGGGGAGTCAAAAAGGAGCGGTGTCAGGGCGCGTTAGGACGTCGTACCGGGGCTCAGGGTACTGGGGCTCAGGGTGTCGTACCTCACAGCCGGGCTCGGACTGCAGCGCTCGGGTGCTGGAGATGTGGATGATGGCGGAGGACCCCGGTTGCAGCAGCGGCTGGAGCGCGTGGGACATCAGGAAGGCGCCTGGGCTGAGGTGGGGGCGGGAAGTGGATGAGGAGGAGAAGGTGAGGAAAGCGGCGGGAGGAAGGGACCCGACGCTAGGTAAGGGATGCAAAAGGGCAGTGGGTAGTTGTGCGAGGTCCGGTAATACAGGAAGTTGTTTTGAATCAGGGTGAGGCGAGAGGTAAAGAAGCAGAACCGTCGCGGGTGCAACAGCTCGTACCCGTCAAGTTTGTGTCGATGAAGGAGTGCCAGCTGCCGACTGGATCCGCGGAATCCAGATTTGGCGTCGCGATGCCCGCGTTGTTTACGAGGACGTTGAGGTGCGGGCCGTCTGCCACCCGTTCGACATTATCACGCAACGCATGTACATCCTCAAGTCGCCGCACGTCAACCTTGACGAAGGAATACGCTGGAGACTGTGGGACATCTGGGGATTCTTCGGGAGCAATGTCACAACCCACGACCTTGTAGCCCTTATTCAGAAGGGTACGTGCTATCTGGCGACCGATGCCAGTGGGCCGGGCCACTCCGGAAACAACGGCTGTGCGCATGATCCTATCGATTCAAGTGTTTCATTCAATGCTGTTCAGTAGTATGCCGCTGCGTCTTAGCGAGTCTTGCCGTTTCCTTGCCGTAGGCCGTACGCCCCAAAGACTTGATCAACGGCAAAGCCATGTACAGGGATCCGCAAGATAACTATTTACACAACATAGTCGGTTGCAAACAATGAGCGACTTTGGGGGACTATCATAGGCTTCTCTGTTAAGTTCCGGCAAGGACGGTGAACGAGGGCTCTTCCGAACCACTTGTATTGGGACATTTACTGTGTGCACTTCATCCCACTACTTGTTCTTTACCCATAAGGGTCACGGGCTCCCATGGCGGCTCCTAATAGCGATGAACCCCTTCCGGACCTCTTGACGACGCTCCCATGGCCCTGTCAAGTTCGAATCCTACAGCAGCTGCCACTTCGCAGCTGCTTAATTATGTCTTTGGTTTGCAAGGATCTAAACTCCCTCGTTCGGAATGACATCCTTCGTAACCTGCATGGCATGGACCTCAATAACCTACCGGGCGCGTGCGTCAGCGACGCGCTTTCCTGGGCGTTTCGCACGAACCTCCCATGTCTCCGAAGCATCTCAGCTGCAGGCCACGCTTGCCTGCAGCCGCTGCTCACGGCATGCCAGCTCCCGTCCGGCCAATCGACGCTACATCAGCTGACATGCCTGAACTTGGACACCGTGAAGCAGCTGCAGGACAACCACTTAAGCCTCCTGCTGCCAGAATGCCCACGTAAGTCATGTTGGCCAGTATTGTCTAATGATAACAATCATCATCTTCGTTCCCCTTCTACGCTTCCTTTAGCTTACCACAGTCCAACTCCTTTCCGTCCTACCTTTCCTTCGTCCTTTCCTTTCCCTTCACTAGACCTGGAGCAACTGGTCCTGCCCCGCTGCTCCAAGCTAACAAACGCCGCCGCGCTGGCTGTCTCGCTGCACCTGCCGCGGCTGCGGGTGGCAGTGCTCTCCGACTGGTCGTCGCTCACCGATGCGGGAGTATGCGCGCTGGCGAGGGGCTGCCCGGAGCTGGAGGAGGTGGTACTGGAGGGGTGCCTGCGGGTGAGGAGAGGTCACAGCCGGGGGAGGAGGTTACAGCCGGGTGCGGTAGGAGGTTTTAGGAGGGGAGAGGAGGGAGCTGTTGGAGGCTAGAGGACACCGAGTTAGGACCTCAGTCACACGGCTCATACCCGGGTGTGTACGCGGTTACAGCAGTGCAGCTTATCATGCGGAATTGCGGATGCCGCCGGAAGTTGTCCGGCTAGGTTCACCCGTCCAACTGATGTACCAATCAACGAACTAACTAACTAACAACGGCGCAGGTTGGCTCCGAGGGCTTGTCCGCCCTGGCTCGCAACTGTCCCCGTCTGCGGCGGTTGTCCATTGCCAAATCATACGGCGTCACGGACAGGGCCCTCGCGGCGCTTGCACAGTACGGCAGCAGCAGCGGCGGCAGCGGCACCGTCGACACTGTGTTGGGCGGCGGAGGCGGTGGTGACACCGGCGGCAGTAGCAGCAGCAGCACTGGCGGTGGCGGCGGTGGCGGTGGCGGCTGTCTGCGGGAGTTATGTGTACGGCAGTGCCCCCGAGTGGTGGCTGTGGGGCTGCTGGGCGCGTGCAGGGGCCTAACCTCAGTGGACCTCACTGGCTGCCCCAAGGTGGGTGAGCGGTCGGGTTGGGGTAGGGGCTGGGTTTCCTTGGCTCCTGCACGGGGATTAGAGGACTCTTCACGGGTGCGTCCTCTAAGAGCTGTTGCGAGCGAACTGCGGGGATGAGGTAGCCCAAGCGCGTGCATGTTACGTCATTTACACTGACCTTGGCATGAGCATACTGTACTGACACAGTAGTGGTGCTTGTAGGTAGCCTAAGCATCATGTGCCCCATCGCATACCGTCCTGCGCCGCCGCCGCATGTCCACACGTCCTTCTCTCGCTCGCACCGGCACCGGCACCCGGCTGCTTCTCCCTCTCTCCCTGCACCCAACCGGGGGCCTTCCGGTCTCCCTTCCCAACCCCCTTCCCATCCTCTCCCTCTTCCCCGCTTGCTTTCGCACTGCGCGCAGATCGACGCCCCCGCCCTGCATGCTCTGCTGGTCGGCTGCGGCGCCTCGCTGCGGCTGCTCTCCCTGGGCGGCTGCGTGGGCATCGCGGGCGAGGCGTTGGCGTCGGTGGGGCGCCTGTGTCCGCACCTGCAGGGCCTGCATGTGCGCGGGCTGCCGCTGGAAGACCACCACATGGAGCAGCTGGCGGCGGCGGTGGCAGCAGCGGCGGGGGCGGGGGCAGCGGGGACAGGGGCAGCGGGGGCAGCAGCAGCAGCGGCGGTGGTGGAGGTGGTTGGGGAGGAGGTGAATGCCGTGTTGGGTGCGAGGAGGGCGGAGAGGGGTGTGGGGTGGTGCGGCTGGGGGTTGCGGTCGCTGACGTTGGCTGGCTGCACGCGGCTGAGCGATGCGGGGCTGGCGGCGGTGCTGGAGGCCTGTCCGGAACTGAGGGTGAGGGGCTGCTTGAGGGCTGGGGAGAGGAGGGCTGTGTGCAACAGCACCCGTGTTTTCCTGACATCTGCAGGTTGTCATGCCTACCAAAAGCTTATTACAGGGATGGCGACGGACGCGAACAAGCAAAAGTGGCGGCTGGGCCCCCACATCCACAGTTCCACAGTACCACACCCACCCGTGCCGCCGTATAGCTCGTTAGTTGCCTCGTTAGTTGCCTCGTCAGTTTCCTTACCAGTATTTCCACCCGTGCAGGAGCTGGATCTGGAGGCGGTGTTCCTGCTGAGCGACGCCACGCTGGAGCTGCTGGGCGCCCGCTGCCGCCGCCTGCGCCGCCTGTGCGTGCGCATGTGCTCACGACTGAGTGCGAGCGCGCTGCAGCAGCTGGTGGCGGACACGGATGTGCGGGACCTGATGGTAGGGGGCCGGGGGTGACGGTGACGGTGACGGTGGTGGTGATGGTGCTGGGTGGTAGCTAAGGGGAAGAAGTGATTGGGGAGGAGCTTCCCTTCCGTGCTGGGTATGTACTGAGCATGGCCTCTGCGCCTTTGCGCCATCGCTCACCGGTCACCCACATCCCTACCATTACTGTACACGCGCACAGACTATAACGGCAGCGCTAACAGTAATTGTAACCACCGTTACCCATTTGGTCAGTAACCGCTTCGGTTCTTCCCTGCATCATCCGGTTTACCGGTATCCCCCATGCATCCCCATTAGGTGAGCGGCATCCTGGACGACGCGGGCACATGCGACCTAGTGGCGCGAGTGCGCAGCGTGCGAGCTGAGTGCCGCATGCACTGGTAGCAGCATGCAGGAAGCAGCATGGGAGCAGCATGTACTGCATAGTTGCATATTGCAGAAAGAAGGGAAAAGTGAAATTGAGTACCGGTACCGCGTTGGGTGCTTGGAGGGGCGGTGCTGGTGGGTGGTAACTGCACACGCGGGAGGCTAGCGATGTAGAGTTTTTACTTGTGTGAATTTGTATATTATATGCATGCCTTGCCAGCAGTTGCTGCATGAACTGGTAAGGGCATGGGCGCGTTGTCCAAGAGGGTCAAGCAACTCCAGAAGGAGAGGAACAAGCATGGATGTAACCCATGTAAGCCAGGTGCCCGATGTATATGCGGCTAAAGGTGTTGCGTGGTTGCTGCTGACGGTAGTCCTTGCGCAATAACCGTATAGCATGTTAACGGCGATGTGTGGGTCTCGGGTTGTTGGTGTTGGGCGTGCATGGCTTGACGTAAAGCGCCGCGTGCTTAGTGTGAGCTGCACGTACGGCCCAGAAGCGTGCTTGGCCCACGGGTCCTGGTGTATAACTACAGAATGCAGAATGGAACATGTTAAGAGCAGCGCCTCGAAGCTTAGAGGGAAATACTTGTTTGCGCTGGCAGGCAACAACGTGCATGTCGCAGCCAACTTGCTGGAAGCTGAATGCCGGCCGGGCGGTCCTCTCGTAATTACGGCAACGGTTAGCAGTAAGAGCACAGCCGAAGATGGCCATGACAGCTTCACATTTTTTTGTTGTTACTACTATGCATGCTATAAAATTGCTATAAACTGCACATTCTTAGCATCAGCTGTATCGCGTCTCGTTAGTGCTCAGCGCGAACCACACAAGTAGGAGCCGAGGCCACATCGCCTTACCATCTGTTGCAGCTACAGCTATTATCTTAACCTATATCGCATGGCTTTACACCTCGGGAACCGCCCGGGATGTTGCAATTCGTGTTACAGCAGCGCTTCTGCAACGGCAGGCCAACCTATCGTCCGAGTCCTAGGTACCAAACCCGACAGAGCCTCCAAGAATAAACCGCGTTTTGCGCCTTGCAACCTTGCTGCAGCTTCCCGACCGCACCAGCTTGCGCCTTTAACCAGCCAGGCAGCTGCAGCCTCGGCTTCTACTCCTTTTGGCCGGGAGACTGATTATCAAGCGAGGTGTGCAATTCAATTCCAGTCGTCAAATTGTGGGGCCGCGTCCCAACCGCAACACACTTTCCGAAGCCATGGCAAAGCCTCCGACTACGACTATTCGAAGAACTCTTCTTTAAGCGTCCTCTCCGCAACTACCCTAAGTCGTAAACAACCAGAAGCCAGCGAACAAGAAGACGGGGAAGAACTCGAGGCCGGAAGGTTACTGGTTGCAAGCGAGCGGACTCAGGAAGACGCTCCTGCGTCTGTTTCCAGCGGCAGCCGTATCGGCAGCAGAGGTGGAGACGGCGGTGGAGGCGGAGACAACGGTGACGATGGGGGCGGGTACGGCAGCTATGTGCTCAACTTCGGGACGGCTATCCGTGTACTCCGAGAGGACCTACCGCAGGTGGGGAAGCGCTGATGGCTGTGATGCTAGGGCCACTGGCAACTCCGAAACCGGGGAAGTCGTAAAGCTGAGGACCATGCGCGCCATGCACCTTGCACCGAGGCGTGTGCTTAAGACGAATGCTGGCGGCGAATGCCCTCGACCAACACCGCCCTGGCCTCCTCCTCAACCTCCGCGTTGCTGACGTCCCATCTCACCGCATACCTCGCCCCACGCATGCCTCCTCCCAGCTCCTGGTTTTCCAACTTGCTCCGCCCATGACACCTCAACCCTTTTCTAGCTTTTCCTCCCTTCTTTCCCCTTTCCTCCTCCTCCTCCCCAGCTCCTGCAGCGGCCGCTCCAGTGGGACATCTACCGGCCCGACATTGCCTTCCACAACCCCTGGACCCCGCCCCTGCATGGCTTGAAGCAGTATCAGCTGCTGCACAGGTGGGACGCGCGCCCTTGAACTCCCTTGCTTGCAACTGCTGACTCACTAAATCCGTACGACAGGGAGCAAGACGTACTGCCGTACCAGACGTCGGGTATCCCTTCCGGGATTACGGCTCTCTCTTACGTCTTACCACACTCGCCTTGTACCGGTATCCCTTCGTGCCTTCACCGTATCACACGGCCTATCACAACCCTCCAAATTCGCCTTTACTCTTCCACGTCTCTTCCACTTCTCCTCACAGCTTCATACGAGCTCTGGCCCGACTGCTCTACCGTGAAGCCACTGTGGAACTCATTCGGATGTGGACACCTGTGGCTGGCGGCGGCGTTGGAGGAGGAGGAGGAGCCGGAGGAACTGAGAGCGAACGAGGTAGTGGCGGCGGCAGCGGAGGCGGAGGCGGCTCTCAGTCACGCGACGGCGGCAGCGGCGCAGGCAGCAGCAGTGGCGGCGGCGCTGGCGGCAGCAGGTTTGGTGGCGGGCAGCTGCGGGTGCGGTGGCGGGCGAGGGCGCAGCCGTGGCTTCCCTGGAGTGAGGAGCAGCGGCTGGAGGTGGTTGCAATCTACCGGTAAGGCTGGCCTGGGGAGAATGGGGACTGAAGTACGGGTAGCAGGACTGTGCGTGAAGGTGGTTGGCTGGATTACCGCTAGCAAGACGACTAACGACGGTTTCTATCCTCAAACAGCCCGTGAGCCCTTCTGTTGAAAGCGACTTACTCGATTCTTGGCCTTTACCTTTTCTGGATCTTATGCCTGCGCTCAACCGCAATCGGGGCGCATGCGAAACACCTCTCATGCCGTCATACGTCACCCCTTCGTGCCCTTACATGCACTCCTCGCCAGGTTTGATCCGCGGGGCATCATTGCCAGCCATGAGCTGAGCTCCGTCATCCCACCAGAGCCGCCGTTACTGTTGTGGCCGCTGCTTGCGGTGATGCAGCTGATGCAGCGGGCGAGGTCGCTGGGGCGGGACGTCGGCGGCAGCAGGGGCGGCATGCCGATTCCAGGAGCAGGAATGGGGGCGAGCGTGGAGGGGCCTGGGACGGGGCTGGGTGCAGGAGCGGGAATGGGAATGGGAGTGGGTGCGGTGGTGAGTTGTTGTGAGGGCGAGTGCAGCGATGGAGGTAGCGAGGTGGTTTGGATGTGAACGGGTGTGGCGGGTGTGTGGAAAGCGTGGGAGATGGGAGGCGGGAGTTGGTTGGGTTTGCTTAACCTTTCGTGCCGGCAACCGCTTCATGACGGTTGAGGTGTGGCTGACTGCCTGCGCGCCAACAATAAGCATACCTACTGGTGTGCCGCCTGATAGTCTTTGCCACGCTGTATCCTGGATAGGGGTAATGGTGGTTGCGTCGTACAGTTATGGAGCATCTGACGATTGACGATGACCGAGAGATTGACCCGCGATTAAAAGCTAATCGTCGCTGCATATACGCACCCTCCCAGCATAGTAAGTGTCGCCCGGCCCTATGTGCCTACAAGTAAACTGCTAACGCATGCGGTGGTGCCATCGTGCCAACCAAGATGAGCGAACCAGCTATTGCAAGACTTATAGGAGAGGGTGTAGAGAGGCCTGAAGCGTCATTGCCATTAGACATTAACTACGCAAAGCTTGCGGAATGGCTGGTGAGTTAGAGCATGGACCCCCTATACAGTAGTTATTAGGGTATTCACAGACTCCTGAAGTCGATCTTTATCAGTATTAATCCTTGGCAAACTGGTCTCTGGCAGGTGACGCGACAAAAGATCCCGAAGGATTGGCACAAGCGACTGCAAGTTATCCAAGCTAAATCAGCGGAGGCAATTAAGGAAGTCCCAGCTAGCGTCTTGAGCAATCTCGCTGACGGGCACGATGCGCCTCTGGATTACCTGCGAGCGGTTGAGATTAGGGATGCCCTGGCGAGCACGGCAGAGCGGACCATGTTTGGCGGCCTGTCTGGCCCCGCTGCCACGTGGGATAAGATCGTCAAGGCCTACGAGAAGCAATGTAGGCAGCGTTGACCAGGGCGAACCTTTTTGGTGTTGGTGTGTCCTTGGTCGATAAGTGGATAGGTCTTGAATCTGGGCCGTAACACTAGGACCCTAACAACCCATTCTCGCTCCATTACATCCGGCCAGTCCTCTTATTCCCATGCCCATTCCTCTCCCTCACAACACATCCGCTTCCATGTGTTCCGCCCATCCAATCGTGACCACAGACGTCTACCTAGGCGAGTGCGCACAGACGCTGGTGCAGAACGTGGACTACGAGATCCCCTACCTGCGCCGCCAGGCTGCCAAGCTGGGGCAGCAGATGCAGGACTGCGAGCGCAAGCACGCGGAGTACCTGCGCAATGCCACTGGCTGCGCTGCAAAGTATAAGGAGGTACGGCGTGTTGTTGAGTAGGACAAGAGCAAGCAACGGTGTGTTGTCAGGAGCGGAGGACGGGCATGAAGGCATGGTAGGGCCGAAGGATTGGGAGGGTGTGACGGGGTCGCAGGGAAGCCTACCTAACTTCTGGGTTGCAGAAGGCTGTGTCAACGGGTGGACTGCTAATGTCGAACCCTTTTTTCCGCTGTACAGCTGTTGTGTTTGCCTTGCCCATGCTCGGCCTCTAGGACTCCTGTCATCGCGTGTTTGTTACCACAAAGCCTGTCTGCACCCCGCTAACCCACGACACCCAGGAGTGCAAGAAGCTGGGCATCCAGGGGGTAGCTGTACGGCAGGAGGTGCGCTCGCTGGCTTCGGAGCTGCCGGGCCTTATGCGGGGCGTGGTGGAGGCGCTACACGACCCGCAGCTGCAGGTGAGGGCGGCAGATGGAAGTGACGGAGAAGGAGGATAGGAAGGCTAAGGGAGGGAGACCGTCAGACGGGGCCTATGCCGCTTAGTAGAGCGCCAAACGTGAAGCGGGGCCAAACATGATGGGCTAAGAAGCCCTCTTTTGGACCCATCGCGCGAACACCTGTGCCCAACGCAGGCAGCAGCGGAGTACTACGCTGCCTTCGCGCGCTTCGCACACGCAGCGCGGGGATCACGCGGAGCTGCTGCCACCCCCGCCAACGCGGCCGCTTCGTCCGATGCGGACGCGTCGTATGAGCCGTCCAACATGCTGTCAACGTTGTTTGAGGTTCGGGAGGGGCGAACGCAGCCGCCCGAGCCGAGTGCCGCTTCCACGGCGGCGCGCGAAGCGGAGGGGGCCTCGGCTGAGGCAGCGGAGGCGGGTGATGCGGAGGAGGGGGCGGCGGCGACAAGCGTCGGGATAGACTGGGATCTGGATCTCGGTACGGCAGGGGCAGGCGACGGCGCCAATGGAAGCGGCGGCGGTGGTGGTGGTAACGGCGGTACTGTGGAAATCAACTGGGATTTCGACCTTGGTGGAACGGAGGAGGGGGCGGATGCTGGGGGCGCAGCGACGCCCGGCGAGGGTGGCGGTGACAGTGCCGGTGACGGCGGGGGTGGCATTAACTGGGACATAGACATGGCAGGAACGGGTGCCCGGCCTGACGGCGGCGACGCTGCCGAAGCGAATGCGGCTGGAGGGATAGAGATCAACTGGGATATCGAGGTGGATGCGGCGGGAGAGGCGAGCGCTGCGGAGGCTGCTGATGCGGCTGCGAACAACGCCTTTGGGACCGACGCTGCGGCTGGGCCAAGCGGTGTCGTCGCCGGTGAGGGGTGCGGCGGCGGCGGCGGGGCAGCGGCGATGGAGCCGGATGCGGTGGCGGCGGCGCGGCTGGAGGCTGACGGGGACTACCGTTCGCGTCTGATGGATGACCTGCTGGAGTTGAGGGCCTTCTTGTTGCAGGTGGGGCAAAGGAAAAGGAAAGGAGAAGACTACATGTGGGGTGGCGGATAGGTGAAGGGAGGAGCTTTAGCGTGCGGAATGGTGGCTGGCATGGCAGTCATTAGGTTATTCCGGTGCTCACACAAATCCTCTGCCTCTTATGTTCAGCGTGTCCACACGTGACCCATGGGTCACACCTGCGCTTTCCCCAACCCTCCCCAACACCCCTGGATGCCGTGCAGCGCAAGGCGGAGCTAAGCAGCGCAGGTGGCGGCGTCGAGCTGCTGTCGACCGCACTGCCGTACAACAGCGCGCTGCTGAGCTCCGTAGACGCGAGCTCGGTGGGCCTTATGGCGGCTGCCGTACAGGGGGTGCTGTCGCAGCTCACCTCGCCTCGCTTCCGACAGTTGCTGCTCATCGCCACGTCGCAGAGGTGGGTGGTATGGAAGCTGAGCCGAGAAGTGGGAGGGTGAGCGGAAGGGCGGCCTAACGGTAAAGGACCGAACGGTCTAACGGTTCCGTACGAAGCAACGAGTAGGATACACCTTTACTGCTCTCCCTCTCTCCTTCCCATCACTCACCCGCACTTCCTCACCAACACACTGCCGCCGCACAGGTACCTGGACCGTCTTGAGGCCAGCTTGCAGCGCCAGGCGGGTGCGGAGGCGAAACTGCAGCGCGCCGCCGCCGACGTGACGGCTCGGCAGCAGGAGGCGCGGCAGCAGCTGGCGGGGCAGGTGGCGCCGCGGGTGGCTGCGCTGGTGACGCGCACGAGGCGGCTCAAGACGCTGGCGGAGAAGGGGGTGGCGGCGGCGCTGGGCGGCAGGCGCAGCATTAACGTGTTGGGGGAGATCAACAACGTGTTGGCGACAACGGCCGCGCAGTAGGGTGGTGTGGACGGAGGAGGAAGAGGAGAGCAGCAGTGGGAAGCAGCAGGAGAGAGTGTGCTTGGAGCGATTGGGGCGCGGTGGGAGGCGATTGGGTAGGGTTGTGGCAGGTCGAGTGGTAGGTGGGAAAGCTGGGCGGATGGGTGGAGGATGGAGAGGCAGGGGAGTTGTGAGGGTGTCATGGGGTGTGGCTAGCTTGACTGGGGTCCAGGGAGGCGATGCTGGACTGCGAAGTCTTACAGCTGTGACCGCCGCTGCACCCATGCACTGTTAGGATTCCTGTATTCCTCCTTTTTTGTCTAGGGAGTGCATGCACCAGTAGCATGCCGTGTTTTGCCCTGCCCGGGCCCTAGTGAGATTGGTCTGCAGGCGCCCAGGGCAAGACACCGGACACATGAGTAAACAGTGTTGCATGTTTCTGCACAACAATCTCGCAGCTCAGAGGGGTAAACACCATGCACCCCTGCGTCTCAACGGTACACCATCTACGGGCTGCGCGGCTGTCGTCTCTCACAAACCTCAGCAGTCAGCACCAGCAGGGCAGCACGGCTCACCGGCGCCTGACAGGGAAGCAGCCGCAGCACACGCCCGGTCGGGGTGGTGTTCCCCCCGCCGACGATGGCGGTGCCCCCGGGGCAGCAGCGGTAGGCCGGGAAGGCGCCTGGGTAGAGTACGCATGGGCAAGACCAGGATACATGCTCGCGTAGCCTGCCCCTGCGGCCTCGCTGACGGGCCGGCCACTTGCGGTCGCCTCGGGAAGGGAGTCCACGAGCCGCTGGATGCGGGTGAACTCCTGCTCGATATCGTCCATGTCGGCTGTGGGCGCGAGTTGCATGGATTGGGAAGTCGTGGAAGGGGGGGACACGTGTCATTCCGAGGCGCGCAACGTGCACCGGGTGTACGATTTGAGCCCAGAAATGCGCTTCTCTTGCGCACGGATAAAAGACGAGAGCCGCATGGACACCACGGCTAGTTGCAAACGGGTTAACACCCGGAATAGCTAATAAAGCCCAGGAGCAGCTATAGTCCTAGGGCTTCCACATCCAGTCCGTTGTCCCCGTAAGCGACCCGACCACCCCCAGCACCGCACCTAGCGCCTGTCGGTAGCCTGCCAGCGCGCTCTTGGTGGCTGCCGCATGCCGCTCGTACAGCATGCTGAACTGGTCCGCCTCCTGCGAGGAAGATAGACATTTACTGATGTACGGCATGCACGTCACATGTGCATAGGTACCTTGAAGCGGCTGTTTCAGTAAGACAAACAGAGTCCCGGGCAGCAAGGCAACGGGCAAGGGGCTGATTAACGCGAGCCACCCGGTCACACCAGACCCGCCCCAGCGCCTGTAGGCTCCTCCCTTCCCCGGTTCCAGCCGCGAGGTGTCACACTCGCCCGAGGCCGCAAATACATCGTGCAAACACACAGCCGTGTACCCCACGCACTCCACGCAGCACGCATGCACGCACCCTCTCCACGAGGCCGCACAGTCAAGGCATTCCGAGCAAGCAACACCCCAAACAAGCCCCCCAAACGCGCAACCCATGCACGCACCCGCTCCAGCTCCTCCACCTCCGCTCGCAGTCGCCGGAACTCTCCGTTCTCGTTGGGCAGCATCATCTCCAGCTTCACCGCCCTCTCCTCGCTTGCCGCTAGCCGACTGCGCAGCTGCCGTACCGTACCGTGCCGTACACATGGTGGAAAGAGGGAGGCACAACATGGTGACACAATATATTAGCTGCTGCTGCCGCTGCTAGGACTCTACCAGGCCAGACTTGTCTACACGCGGCGACATGAGGGCACATGGGGGCTCCTCATGTGTTGCACCGCCGGTCCTACACCTGCCTGCGCTTTTCATGCAGTTGCCAGGGCATGCGAGTTGCTGCCTTGCAAGTTCTCCTTGCATCAGCCCGTTCCCCTAAAATCCAGCCTAATGCGGAATATGTATCCCTGTTAATCCCCTGCGATACCCAGGTCAGGAGCGAGGTAGGGCCCACAGGCCACACACCCCAGCCGCTTACGTGTGCAATCTCCGCCTGCAGCGCGGCTCGCTCCAGCTCAAAGGCGCGCTGCTCCCTCTTGCTGGCGTGCTCGTCCACGTGGCGACGCAGGGAATCCACGTCCTGCCGTACCTCAGACTGGGGCTCGACGGGAAGGCATGGGCGTCGGGGTGCGGGTTGAGGTGAGGGATGTGGGTTGAGGCAGGTGGCAGGCGGCTGCTAGGGGACACAGGCCCCGCGACAGGAGAGCTTAGGAAGGTAGTCAAGGCGTGCATATGAAGCTAACGGTAGTAGGGCGGTTGCTGTGTGGTGCTAACCAGCATGCATAAGCTTTTATTCGCTGTCACCGCTTGCCTGCAACCAGTCCTTGGAAGCGAAGCCGCTGTAAGGTCCGCTGCGGGTGCCTGGGCCCTGCAGAGGTGGTGGCTGCGACTGCTGAGGTTGCTGCTGCTGCTGGGGGGAATGATGGGATTGAGGCGGATGTGGCCGTGACGCCTGCGGGGATAGCGGCTGGCGGGCCCTGTTGGGTGCGGGGAATTGCAAGAAGTGACGCGGGTTGGTGGGGCGTTTGACAGTGTTGGGAGTATAAACAACAGCCCCAGAATGCTAGGCAGCACACGGCTATGTAACGGCAGTCGTTAGGTGAACATCACCTACCCTCCGTGCGGGCCATGGGGATATCCTACGCCAGGTGCGGGCAGGGAAGGATTCTGCGCTTACAAGCGAGATACGGCTGTGGACACGATGGAGGCTGGGGTGGTTGTGGCTGTGGGGACGCTAACTCGACCTATGCTGTAAGTACCTGTTGGATGTCATGTCTCCGAAGCGGCTGCGCTAGCTGATACCGGAGGCTATGTGATAGCTTAAGGAGTCGATGGGGATCATTGTCAGGGTTGTATGTGTCCGTTGCCGGTTGAGCTGAAGGCGTGTTTCCACGCAGGTTAGACATGAGTCAGGTCCTGGTCATATGCAAGGGGCAAGACTGACGACTGAAGGGTGTCACATAAACGACTCTATGTCGTCCATAACTAACGTGCTGTAAAACAAAAGAAGCTGCTGCGTAGGGATTGCTGGAAAGCACAAGGAGCTGTCATACCCGCAAAATCCGGATCTTGGCAATCGCGAGACATATCTTCCACCCACGAGCATATAGCACTTTCATAAAAAGTATTGAACATAGCCAATTTAGAAAACACTTAGAAGCTACGAGCTACCGACTGTTAAAGCAGCGATATTGAAGTCTTAAATGTCGAGATGGGAAGGAAGTAGGCCCCATGCGAAACGTGTTCGAGGTTCTCACTTCTAGAGCTAAAGGCAGCAGCACGGGCAGAGGAAACTCGAAGACGACTCCAGTCGCCAGCAAGGTTAGGGCGACAAGGATGGGATTTTGCCAAACGCCATCGCCTCAAGGGGCCACGTCAACATCCCAATCCACCATCCCGCCCCGCTAAATGCAGGGCGCTTACACTACCTGCCCCATATGCCAGCGCACAATACCCTTAAACTTCGCCGACGCACATGTCAGCGTCTGCCTGGCTTCACCGCCACCGCCACAACCGCCAACCACGCAGCAGCCGCATCCAAAGCAGCAGCAGCGCGGCCCAGCAGCTTCACCTGCGCACAAAGTACCCTCGCCTTCGCCATCGCACACGCCTCAGACCCACGCACAGCCACAGCCACATGACGCACCAACCGCATCCAAGCCTCCCGCTCGGCCACAGTCTCAGCCACAGGCGGAGGCACCAAAGGAGACGCCTCAAGCATACCAGCCTGCACCTCATCCCATTCAGCCGGCAAGCAGACCCAAGGAGGGTATCGCAGGGGCCTCCACAGCCCTAGCTGCGGAGCGCCCCACGCCCCAGGTGGCCCCCGTGCACCTAGAGGCGTGCGAGACACAGACGCGCCGCCTCCAACCAGCCCCAAGCCTCCAGCCGGCCGCAAGCCAGGGCCCCACATGCAGCCAAACAGCAGGGCGCTGTGCCTTTGACCTCATGCGCCAGGTAAGGTGCTTCGCGGCCCTACCATGGTGCATGTAGCCTAGGGATTTCGCTTCGACCTCTGGGTCCGCTTCTGGGCCTCCTGCGGGCCTCGCTCCCTCAAGCCCAACGTCCCTTTCCTCATCCCTCCACCCCTGCACTCCGCAGAGCCAGCTGCGAGCCGCCGCCCGCTGCCAAACCTTCTTCCTGGAGCGAACACCGGAGGGCTGCTGGCGGGGGCACTGCTGGGCCAAGGGTGCGTGCGTGCCCGGTAGTTGCCGCACTTGTATCGCAATGGCGGGAGGGAAGGGCATGATAGGGGCGATGACGGGAGGCGGTATGGAAGCGGGCGAAGCATGATTACGACTGGACCCCACCTGGCACTCCCTAGCCCAATGACGTTTGGCTCCTCTTCCGTAACTCTTGTGCCAGTTGCAACATTCCCAGCCCGCTGCTCGTCCATTTTACACCCTCCCCGCTTCGCTGCAGGTTGTGCCACCCCTGCGCAGCAGCAGCTGGCCAGCAGCAGCTGCTGGACAGCCACGGTGACGGTGGGCGGAAGGGGAGGCGGCGGTGGTGGTGGTGCTGGTGGTGGTGGTGCTGGTGGTGCGGGACTGCTGGGAGAGGGCGGCGGCAAGGAGACGCTGTGCCTCATGACCAATGTGCCGCCGGGGGACGGTGGAGAGGTCAGCTGGTCCGCAGGTGGGAGGTGTGCGAAACGGGTTGTGTGGAAAAGCCGGCGCAATGGGTTGGGAAAGCACACGGGCGCGTCAAAGGACAACCCCATGCGCTGCCGATTCCCATGCTCCCAGGGTTCCATCATGGAAGGATAGAGGTAATCTGCGCCCCTCCACCCTCTTCCCATCCGCCTCTTCCTCAGCCCGCCTGCCCAGCAACTCCCTGCCCCCCGAGGGTCGCTGGCGCGGCGGCCCCTCCGCGCTCAAGTCCGGGCTCCAGAAGGCGGTACGGCTGGGGCGCGGCGGCTGTGCGGTACGGGCGGCGCTGCACCTTGCCAAGGAGGAAGGCGGCAGCGGAGGAGGAGGCAGTGGAGGTGGTGGAGCAGGCCGTGGCGGCGGCGGCGGTGGTGGTGGAGGAGCAGGGCGTGGCGGTGGCGGCGGCGGAGGAGGAGGAGCCGGGGGTTCGGGCGCGAGTCAGTTGCTGCGGCGGCTGTCGGTGGTGTGTGTGGAGGACGCGATACTGCACCCCGGGCTGCCGCTGGTGGTGTGGCTGATGGCAGCGGAGGTGGGCGGGGTTACTGGGAAGCAAGGAAGGGGGGTCAAAGACCACACAGTACCAAATGAAGCCCCAGGTTAGGGCATAGTAAAGGGGAGGGGAAGGGGGTTACTGTGGTAGCAGCGTGCCCTGCTTTCTCTTGTCCTCCTCCTTCTTGACATGTCGGTATGTGGGTCCATGCAACCTATGGCGTTGATGACGCACCCCTCCCAAAGTCCCAACATGCCACCTCTTGCCGCCCTACAGCCCAAGGGCTACAACCTGGGCGCCTCTCACGTCAGCGCGCTGCTGCGTGTCGTTTACCAGCTGGCCATGGTGCAAGTGCGGGACGGCCTGCCCGACCCATGGGACGGCGGTGGTGCCGCGGAGGGCGCTGGCGCTCCTGCTGCTGCCGCTTCTGGGCCTGCCACGTTGGCTGAGGTGGACGAGCTGGGTTTGCCCCCGGCTGAGGGCTGCCTGGTGAAGTGCCTGGTGATGCGGGCGGGGTATGGCGGCATGGCATGCGACGTGCGCATGTTGCGGGGCTTCGCGGGCTACTGGGCGGCTAGGTTTAGAGGAGCAGCCGGTGAGTTGGATCTGGGGGGTGACCTGGTGAGGGTTATAGTGGGTTGCATGGACAGGGCCCGGGATGGGATGGAAAAGGAACCCAGACCGGGCGACGGGAGCCTCTGCCAGCAGGAAGGGTCTTTGCTAGGGACGTAGCTGGTGAGGAGCAGCCTGACATGCCTGTCAAGGTCTCAGGGCGCGCTTCCGCGCTCCTCGGTCACAAGCTACAAGCCGCACCCCATGCACTTGGCCCTCCCGCCCTCTCGCAGCTGCCCCGCCACCACTGCACGGGTTGCCGTCCGCCCAATCGCCTGCGGAGGGCCGCGCCGGGGGAATCGCCTCACCTCGCAAGCCCCCTGTGGGTTCCGACGGCAACCCCATTCCGGCCTCCTCCAGGCCGCCCGCTGGCTCCCCAGCAGGGCAGCGTCATACGGTTACCGAGGCCTCAGGGGGGCAAGTAGACACGGGCAAGGGTCACGGCAAGGAGAATCTCGTCAAGGCGGGACAAGCGGGCGCTGAGGCGGCCCAGGGGGGAGACGCGGTTGGTCTCGGCAGGGAAATGCCTGGGGCAATGGATCTCAGGGCGCCTGCTTGCGCTCCTGACAGGGGCGTTGAAGGTGGTTCGGGCGCTGCGGTCGGTTGCGATTTCAGTTGGTACGGCGCCGACGAAACCGCAGCCGCAGCGACAGCCGCAAGGGCTGGTGTTGGAACGGTCACGTGTGCTGCGACGGCAGCAAGCAGCGAGCCGTCACAGCGGGACCGGTCACAGCACGCCTCGGATGCGTACTTTGCTGTTCGCCTGCAGGTACGACAACAAACCTAAACCGCCATGCAACCTCGAATAACACCTCGAGTAACAAAGACTAACAGTTTCCTCCGAGAAGCTTGTCAAGCTAATGACGTACGCCCATTCCCGAAAACTTAAAGTCAAGCAAAGCGCCCTCACCTGTCGCCTGCCCCTGCAGGCTGAGGACGCCCCTGCCAGCTGCGCTGCCTTCATGCCGGCCTCACAGCTGCTAGCGGAGCAGCAGGGGGAGCAGCGGGCGCTGGCCCGGCTGGCAGCTGCAGCGACAACCGGGGGCTCTTCGTGGACGCGGCCGACGCAGGCGCCACAGCAGCCAACACAGCTGTACGGTAGCCACACTGCAGCATCAGCAGGGGGAGGAGGAGGGAGAAAAGGAGGCGTAGCATGGGGGCTAGGAGGTGTTGCAAGCTCTGGTGCTCATGACGGGAGTGGGGCGACGTCTGCAAAGGGGGGTGCGGACTGGCCTGGGCATTCTCAGTGGCAGCGGCCGCATGATGAGGCTTCGGGGGTGGTGACGCCCGTGTGGTTTATTGCGAATGGGCTGACGGCTAACGCAGCGGGTGCGGTTGAGAGGAGCGGGTATGGTGGCGGCTATGGGGGCGGGGAGGAAGGACTCAGTCCCTGGCTGGCCTACCTTTGCGACCTGTACGAGCAAGGTACGGCACCCGTACGCAAAACCCTTTCCTAGCTAGTACTCCAAGCCGTCCTCAAGCAACTCCTCCTTCTCACCGTTTCGTCTATACCCGCCTTCGCCTCGCCTCCCTCCCTTCCTTCATCCCCCATCCCTCACTCCCTGCTTCCAATATCCTCACCCCACCCACCACCCGCCCCATGCCACATATGCCACGTCCCGCCCACCCCAGTTCCCGTCCCGCTGCAACTGAGCGAGGCAGGCCGCGTGGGGCCGCTGCGCCGCTCCGACGTGCCTCTGTCCGCAGTGGATTTCCACGTGTCTGACGTCATCTCGCAGCTAACAGGTCGGCCCGAGGTGCAGGCGGCGCTGCAGGCGGCCGGGGTGGACGTGTCGGCTTCGGCGGCGCCGGAGGACGCGGAGGACATGCTGCGGTCCGCCATGTGGGTTGGGTTGGGGTGGGGGTGACTAGCAGTTTACCGTACTGGGGTTTTACTTGCAACGAGCTGTATGTGTTCTGGAGTTAGATGGCCACGAAAGTTCAGTTGGGTTGGGGGGAAGAGGGGGGGCGCTGTTGTTGGGAGCGGAGAAGGAAAGCAGGGTTTAGGAAGCTTGCAATGCCGCAACAATACCGGTAGTCTTTCCCCTTCATCAACAAGGGTTTTCCCCCTACACTGCCTGTTGTGCTCCACCAGGTGGCACTTCCGCAGCAGCAAGAACCCCAAGGCCTGGGTGCACAGCCTGTCCGCCTGCTGCCTCTCCTCGCCCTCGGGCGCATGCAGCGAGCACCGCAGCCTGGTGTCGCAGCTGCAGGCGGATGCAACGGTGCGGGAGCGGCTGGGGCCGGTGTGGGCCGCGGCGGCTCCCTGGGCGGACCGCTTCTCCGTGAACTACCTCGCGAGGCGGTTTGGGCCGCCGTAGGAGTGGCAGCCCCACAGCAGGGTAGTACAGCAAGGGGGGGTTCGAATGGCGTGCATAAGCGCATGGGCAGGCAGGTGGCAGGCACTTTATTACAGTGGGTGCATGTAAACAGAGTAAGGGATGAGCGCAGGGATGCAGGTTGTAGGATGAGCGGCTGCAGCACGGGTTGTGGCGCATTGGAGTGCAGGTGTTTGCTGCGTTGAAGTTACCAAGAGTGCTAAAGAACGCCCCTGTAGCCGCCTGGTGTTGGTTGGCTTGCTGCTGACCGGTTGTGAGTTTGCATTGACGTGCATATTGGTGTGGTCATGGTGTGGCCCGAAACCTGCAACGCTGATGCCCTTACACGATACCGCCAGCCAGGGCATGCTCCCAGCCCTGAAGATTGGTCCTCCTTGCACGGTCTACTTCTTGTCCTCGTCGCAACATGCAGTCACAGAAATATGTGTGGTGTACGCGTGTACCTAAGGTATTAAGTATGCGACGCTATCTAGCCGCAGATCACGTGTTGACATGTCACACATGATAGCCTAAATCATCACCATACGCTGCCCTCACAGCAGCCCGGACCTCTATTATTGAGTTCATATGGGTTCATCGGTGCTTGAAGCACTGGCTTCAGACCAACAGTGAAGATCACGCGCGTGAACTACACGAGGATTGGGTTTCGTCTAATGTGCCGACCCTTGGGTCACTAGCTCACACATTTGCCAACCGTGCGTCCAGGGCCGCTTGCGCCTCCTCCGCCAGTTCATCCCGGCCGAATTGCCGCAGGAGCTGCGAGAAAACAGGTAAAACGGACACAGGTATGGGCCAGGAGCGGGTGGATTAGCTTTTGCCCATGCTATATTTAGCATGCGCTCAGTAAACCAGGCTGCCGTGTTGTTCACAGGTGTTGCCTGCAAGCTATGCTTATCCCGTTCGCACCATGCCCTATGTTGCAGCTCCCTCACGACAGGTTCAATTGCTCAACAGACCTAAACCGACCCAATCCACCACGGACCTGTACCAGCGACTGCAGCTTGAGCGTGTTGCTGATCTTGTGGATGCGCTTTTGCATGGCCTCGTCCGACATCGTCCGCAGCCTGTGCGTCGTGCATACCGGTTAGAGCCAGTTCCTCATTTACGGGTTCAACGTGCAAGGACGGGCCGCATAGTGCCGTACTTCCATACATGGTGAGAGGCATGATGGAAAACACGAGTGTTAACATGAGCTGTTAAGGAAACCCTGCATGTTGCATGTCTATGAACAGGGCCCACCTGTGCAGGTTATGAGAGTCAAACTTGGAGGCGTCTCCTTCACCCGGAGCCGGCTGAGGGCGGGGCTTTGACGGCCGTGTTGTCGTGCCGGGCTCGCCGTACGGCTGCTCGGCTCCGGGCCTGCAATAGAGTAGTTAGTGTTGTGAAGTCTCATTGGATGTGGGCGGGCATTTCCAAGGGACCAGCATTTTAGGAACCAACTTGTTTATACATCCAGTCTCACATCGGTAGAAGGTCGTAACCTACGCAGTTTGATGAAGCAAAGGGATACCTTTTGAAAAGGGGTACGAGAAGAGCAGGGAGGTCTGGGTCCTGGCCTTTTGTACGCAAGGACCGTCGAAGCACGCGTTCCTCGCCATCCGCGGTTCGGTTCTCCTCCTCATTCAACCGCCGCTTCTTGGAAGCGGCCTGTTTGGCCTCAGCATTAGATGCTGCACACGCGCGTAATGACTCAAGAGCTGGCAACAGGCCCAACTCCATAAGTCTTTGCTGGTTGCGTCGCATGCATTCTTCACGCTCGCGGTCCAGGTCAACTATTTGCTCGCTATTGCCAGCATCAGGTGTTTTCCTTCCACGCTCGCTCCGTTTCCGCTGTGCTGCACCGCCGTCTGTGCGCTCGGCACTCATGCTTATGCGTTCCTCCAAAAGCCCTAAACTCGCTTTCAGCTCTCGCTGTTGCTTCCAGCTAAAATGTGTGTGTTGTTACTGGTACTATCGGCTGGTCTGATGTGGTAAGGAATTGACCAAGAACAAGATTGTGGATTCTATGTGGATTCAAAGTTACAACTACAATTCCTGCAGCTCGTCCCTCGACAGCATGCAATATGCTCAACTACGCAGAAACAACAACATCTGCATTGCATTATAAACTGCGTCCATTCTCATGAATGCCTCCAGGTACGACCAAAGGCCCGAAGCCTAAGCAACTACCCGCGTGGAACCAGTTAATTCCAGCTGCACCACAACAGCTGACACCTCGTTCAGCCTCAGCTTCTTAGTTTCCGCTCTATGCCTGGGATCCAGGAGTCTGCTGCGAGCCGGCGGTCGCTCCCGCCTCCTGCTGCGAGCCACCGCCTCCGGCTCCCTCGGTGCCGCTGGCGGGCACGTTGCCCGTCTCAGACTCGGTGCTCAGCTCGGGCGGCGGGCCCTGGCTGGGAATCTTCTCACCTGTGGAGCCGTACATAACCAGGATAGTGGCATGGAAGACGAGCAGTCAACATAGAAGCCGCGAATGCAAGCTTGCATTCAATACCGGTATGCTTAAACGCAGGAAGTCGCTTTTCATCAAACCTTGGCTTCCCGCGAGTTCGCGCAACTAAGCTTCAGCTCGCAGTTATAGTACGGCACCGGCACGACACTCCCACGAACAACTGGATGTGCGTAAAATGCAAACAACGGAGTACACAAGCAGGCACAACCGCATCACACCCACATGCATGCAGCCAACCCTTCCAGCCCTCCGCACACAACTAAGTCCGCCCAGCCCAGCCCGTCCGCCCGGATAAGCACATTTCCCAAGGCAGTCCAGCGGCCACTTACCCATCTCCTGCGCCTTGCTCTCCGCCTCCGGGTTCTCCAGTCCCGCCATGGGGTTGGTGGGGTCCATGTTGCCGCCACCCAGCACCTTGGGAAGGTCCGTGGGCTGGGACTGGGGCAGGCAGGAAAGAGAAGAGGAAGGTTTGCGTAAAAGGGGGCAGCAGGCAGGAGAGGGAAGGTTAGCGTGGTTAGAGGGTGAAAGAGCGAGGAAGCAAGTAACTTTTCGGGCGCTCGTATCGATCGCCTGGGCGAGCATCTCAAGCAAGCAGTGTCATTAGTTCCGACGAGGAGATTGTAACAGCCTTGCAGTAATGCCCAAGTCAAGGCTTGAACGTGTGCGGGAGAGGCTAGGAGCCTCGTCAGCCTTGGACGGCTCCCCGACACGCCCGACTGCTCCTTGCCTAATCCTCCGAGACACCTAGTCACAACCCATATAACGATAATTAAAAGATACGAAAGCAACAGGAGGTTCACGAGCCAGGTGCAGCACCCGAGAGGCCAACAGCCGCGATGCGTCAGCAGGGCGTCGCGAGCAAGCAGCCAGCGGACATGGGCATTCTAGTGGCTGAGCGCGTAAGCATATGCAGCACAAGACGGCAGATCAAGATCAGGGTCGCTTACCAAATGCTCCTGCTGCTGCGAGGCAGTGGGCTCCTGAGCCTGCGACATTGTGTTGCTACTGAGAAGGGTGCTTAAGAAGGGATAGCAGAATACAGTTCGAGCTATGTATGGAGTGTACTAACGAAATGTTCAGGCGAGGGTTGCGCGGAATGCGCACGTTGGCGAGCTTTCGGGATTTGAGTGTCGGCGAGGCTGGCCTGTCCCTGGAGCGGGAGCTTCTAGGCCGTTGGCTGCAGGAGTCATTACATCGGCAACTCCTCCTTCATCCCTGGTTCCGCAAAACAATTGTTACCGCGCACATACTCGTTATCAAAGCACAGGCAAAGAGTAGTCCTCTATTGCAGCAACCCAAGCAAGGAAGTAAGTCAGCAGCCATGACGACAGACGAGGAGCGTAACGAGATGGCCCAGGTGGGTTGGAGATCTTTTGACGCTTGACCTTTGGACATCCGCGCTTCACCGAAAGGATGTCGCGAACTACACGAGCAGCGCGCGCGTGCGAGTCGGAGCTAGTGACCCGTGGGTCCGAACTTGGTTTTGCTCGTCGCTCTCAATCTTCCACTGTTGCGCAGCATCCTTTTCCTGTTGTAAGCTGCCCCAAGCACATATTCTCTTCCCTTAATGCAGAAGCTGTTTAGCAAGAACTTCAATGAGTGCGATTCCATGGAGGTAAGGTCTTGTCAGGCCTTGCAGGCGTCGCACTTGCCAGCGCTCGTTGCATCGCTGCTGCTTTCTCGCTTGTAATCCGTGACTTACAATTATTGTTTCGTTGCTTGCAAACAACTGCGCGGCGAACCGCTGTCTTAACCTTGTTAACAGCGCGTCAAGGTGAGTAAGCGATGAGTCACAAGCCGCAGGCCGCCGCGGGCCCAAGCGCGAGCTTACAGGGCTTAGCACTTCTCTTGGCGGGAAACGATTTAGCAGCTTAAATCAGAGATTTAAGGGTCGAGTCGATTGATGGATTGCAATTAGAGGTTGCGCTGGTGAAGCGTTCTTGCCCGAGTCATGTCGTGCATGCACGAACGCGCACTTTGCACTCCCCTGCACTCCGTCTGCCTGTTACCTCTGCTGCCTCAACGTCGTCCTAATCCTATCCGCTCCAAGCCCAGCAGCCCCTAGGAACCCCGCATCAATAATGCAAACGGCCTCTCCCCTGCCCCAATAACCCCAACACGCATCTCCACATCCTCAGGTGGGACAGCACCTGGGCGGAGGGCGCATTGCGGAGATGGCGGGCAAGATAGACGAGGCGGCGCACAAGGCGGTGGGAGGGGAGAAGCAAACGTGAGGAGGAGGAGGAGCTGCTGCTGCCGCCGCTGCTGGTTGGGGCGCAAGACCCGAGCTGCTGGTTGGAGCGCGAGAAGTACCGTAATGGGGGCGCCCGATGATGGAAGAGTCGTCCGCAGCTTTGGTACCTTACTTACAAGGGGCGGGGAAGGGCTGGGCGCCTGCAAGCAAACAGTATACCGGTAGGCTGCCTGGTGAGCGAGGCTGGGCCGTTGTGGTTTCGGGGCTAGCTAGCTGGCTGCAGGGGGGTAAATAAGAACAACAGCTTTGTGGCATGAGAGGGGCAGGGTGAGTTGCAGGACATGCGTTGTTGATGAGGTTGCTCAGGTTGCTTACTTGCCTGGAGGTCGGCTGGCGTGGGGCATGGGGTAGTTGTCGACGCGGGATATGATGTGATGAGTGACTGTTGACGGTTGACTGTTTCGATCAACAGTTGCAACCGGGAAATTGAATAACGTTCGGGTTATACTTGCGTGTTTTCCATTGTTTGCGGCGTGTTGACTTGAACTGATGATACCAATTACTGAGCGCAGATGTTGCGACTTGTTGTTTCCCGTCACCTGGTGGATGGGACACGTACCTGCATATAGACGGCTTGGGACCCGTTGGACGTTCCTGATCTGCATTGCGCTAGCATGCAAGGGGCAAAGTATACAAATCAGGAAAGGACCGCAGCGATAATAAGACCTGTTTGATGACCAGATCTGCTGATCCAGATTCCATGTTGTAAACTGTCTTCTGTGTAATGAAGCTCAAGCGCATACCGGTAGATTCCCGTCTTACGTTCCGTTGCCAAAGCTGCGGACGGAGCAGCAGGCGATCGAGCAGATCCGGAATCCTACGCTGCTGCAGAGCAATCGGGTTAAATGGGCATGCCAGCTATGTACCAGTACGCACGCAGCGACTGTCTGTCTGCTATCTATCTAAGCGTAGTTAACCGCTGCACTGTCCTGATTGCGATCAGAGGACAGCGTGCTAAGCGGGTTGCAGAATGCAAAATGGCAAGGGCATGCGGGTTTGGAATGTGATGCTGTACCCCAACCGGCAAGGGATGCTAATCATCAAGCCTGCGCCTATGACTGAGTCGTATTGGCAATAGGTAGGGAGATATGTAAGTAAACATAGCAATAAGCAGGTATGCCTAAAACAGCGTGCGATAACCGCCTCAGGTTGTAGGCTTTCGTGGTTACGTCAACGGTTACGTCGACCAAGCCAGCCAGTCACTCCCCTGGAGCGAGTTAGGGCTTCACGGCATTGTGGGTACAAAGAGTCAACATCCTGTCACAATCCCAATACGTGCACCGCACACAACCGATACGAGAGGACGTTACATTAAAGGCTTATTGCTACCTTTCCTACCAGTTCAGCGAAAAAGCTAGACAGACAGCAACCATGCCGACCGACGAGGAGCGTAACGAAATGGCACAGGTGGGGTCACGAAACTGATAAATAGCGTCCGCTGGCAATCACTGCAATTTTGATCTGCATCCTAGTTAGCCAAAAAAAGGCTGTGCGCTAATTTGCGGGCAGCTGTAATGAGCGCGGCCCGGTATTAAAGCTGTTGACCCATGGGTCTCACCGTTGTTTGTCGCTGCTGCGCACTCTCGCAAGCGCCGGCTCTCTTTACGGAGCCAAATCAAGGCATTCTGCTTCCTGGTTTACATCCGCTGCCCGTCCTTGTTCCTCGCTCCTCCAATGCAGAAGCTGTTTGGCAAGAACTTTAACGAGTGCGATTCCATGGAGGTGAGGTCGTCGGGCCGAACCTGCTGGCTCCGTCGCTCCGTCCTACGCACCAACAACTTGAGATCCTTGTCCTCGTTTGTGGCTAACTTCCATCTTTCACCTTGCCCTGCTGCCACTGAATAACGCCTTGGCGAACGCTATCGGCTCGCACCTCATGCACTCCAACAGCGCGTCAGGGTGAGTAAATGATGACGTGCGAGTATCCACGAAGTGTTCACGGATGTTCGGCTTAGCGCCGGGTCTAAACGTCATAGTCATGGGTGTGCTTGTTGACGCACGCAGTAATGGCGGTTGTCACGCCGTCGCGTTGCGGCGATAGCCTCGAACGGGGCACAACTCAGTCGGCTGCAGCGGCACCAGATATTGCAGATGTTGTTGTTGCAGATGTATTGCAGATACATGACTGTTAACCACGGCCGCTCATTGACATGCATTTACACGCTCACATACATCGCTCCAAGCAGAGCACTATCCTTGCGCTTGTCGTAAACAGCTGCAGCCGGGCTTCCGAACCGTCATAACCCGTCACATAGTGAAGGATTTGCAGAGCGAATCCGAGGTCACCATGATAACCTCATAACATCCACAATTTTCCCCTGCATACATACAGACATACACCCCTATCTATCCTTCCCGTCGCAGGTGGGTGGCCACCTGGGCGGCGGCCGGATCCAGGAGATGGCGGGCAAGGTGGACGAGAAGGCACACAAGGCGGTGGGAGGAGAGGAGGGGTCGTGAGGGAGGAGGTGTTGTTGATGCGAACGGATGCGGCGGGAGGGGAGGGTGAAGGCAGAGGGGAGTCCGGTGACCCGGGGGCCTGAGGGCGAGGTAGTTGGGGGCGGCAAGCAAACGCAGCAGCAGGTATTAGTACGCGTCATAGGGTTAGATGCCTTACTGGGCAGCCGTGTGGCTGGATGTCGGGTATTGTTAAGAGTTGTGGATGGGAAAGCCTGTTGTAGTGGCAGGAGTTGACGAATCAGTTGTTGGCTGCGTGTTGGGACTTCTAGCGCTGAGCTTTGACCCGTGGGACGTCGTCTTGCTGTTGAACAGCAGGTCGCTAAGGACCATCCAGAACACGCGCCATGTAAAGTTGGAGTGGAACGTCGTTGTCAAACAGCGTCATTTACCAGTTGGGTACATCTCCTTGCGCAAGTTTAGTCTTGTACAACAATAGTTGCACGGCTTCCTCCGAAGTGCACCCTTATTTTCAGCCATACGCGCAACTACGAGTACCCGCTTACACCGTTGGATGTATTTCAATAGCTAAATGGTCGCTTGGACTTGACATTAGCAGGAACGTTAAGCAGCGGAACCCGGAATTTACGGATCTGTCAGGTTTCTTTTAGTTTTTGCAGGGTTACATTGGAAGTGCATTAAGGTTTGAGGCGAAGAATGCAGAGGGGCATTAGGAGAGCCTCGACGGCCTTGAGTAGCCGAGCGTCAATAGCTTCGGAAGCGCCGGTAACCCAGCCCGCTTGGGATAGCGATTGGGCGCAGTCAGAACTGTCAAGTTACTTTAAGCAGCACCCAGAGAAATTAACCCACCAACTCGACCGCATTGTGGCATCTTTGAGGCGGAGCCAAGGGAGTGACATGCAGGCATTTATTATGGAGCTTGACGGTATTGTGAGTTTAATGGAGACGTTGTTGCACTTGGTAGATCGGAATATGCATTTCTTAGTTACACGGTCGTTGCATGTCATTAGCTTCTTGTGTTCTGTATACCATTTGCTCCTTACTTTCATTGCATTACATACGGAGACGGCAGTAAGAGCCTTTGAGCACACTTCTATGCTTCATCGTTACCTGTTTGTCGCTGCCAAACACATGATTAGGCGCAATTGGCCCACGCGACAAACCCCCAACACAACGTCCGGCTACCATTACTGCAAACTGTAACCCTCTCCTCCCCGCCTTTCCTGTCTCCAGATCGAGGAGCTCAACGCGACTATCGACCATGACCGTCGTCATGTCGAGGGGCGCAACCGGCTGATGCGTGATTACCCCGAAGTCACGAACGAGTTCCTGCATTTCTTCCTGGACAGCGTTATGGAAGAGCTGGAGCGAGAGCAAGCGGCTGGCATCAGCGCACCGCATGCTATCGGCAGCGGCCCCTCAGTAGTTCGAGGCGGGTCCCTATCAGCCGGGGGAGCAGGCGGGGCTTTGCGGCCGGGCAGCGGCAGCAGTAGCAGCAGCAGCGCGGGGGGCAAGGAGCGCTTTGCTTCCATTCCGAGGCGCCGACATATTTAACGATGGGCGGCGGGACAACGCCAGCTGCTACAGGGAATGCGGCGGGCGGTATGAGGCAAGGTGGAACAAGGAAGAGGAGCGGCAGCGTTAAGGGGACCTTCTAGTGGCGTGGCGGAAGGGTGATGTGTGACGGTTAGGTGGTTTACAAGTGGGCCTGTTGGGAGCAGGCGTGGGTGGGGTGTCGTACGATTACTTGTACGGTGCAACGCCTCGCTTTCGGGTTAAGAGTGCGGGATCGGGGGATGAGTAAATACATGAACACAACTGAATGAGAACTCAAGAAGAGCCATCCGAAGGAAGCCATGCGGAGGAGTGTCAGGAAAGATGTGCAGTGCGTGTGTGCGTGTGTGTGTTTTGCCAATGTGTCAGTTGACCATGTCTCCATGTGCTTTTGAAGCTTTCAGAAGTCATAACGCGACTCGTAGCCGTACTTTGATTTGCGTATGCTGCTTTGAGCTTGCGGGGTGAGAGCATTGAGGGGCATGCAAAGCAAAGCATGGAGTATAACTGCTGCTTTGGGGGTGCCTGTAGAAGGAGCATGCGGTGGTATGCAGTGCGTCAGTTGCATGGTTAGTTCCCGGCTGTACGGTATATGGTTAGTTCCCATCGTACAGTTAACGCATGAGGATCAATTTATACATGCGTTCTAAGGAGGGTCGTACGGCTTTCCTCCTTCCTGGCCCCCGCAACGTAGGAAGACGGTGCGTCATTTGATGCCGTGCGCAGCTAAGGAAGCTAATGCTACGTTGAGATTTGTTGGCTTGTTGTAGCCGGAATCTGATATTGATGCGTGTTAGTTGTAACTTTAAACCGCTTACCGGTATGTCCTTATGCGGAGACTGCATTGCATGGTCACGGTTATGAAAGCCGAACATGGAAAGGGCTCTGCCCGCGCTCTGTTGTTGGGTGATCGCTGCTGCTTACGTTGGCTATCGTATTGTTGCTTGGCTACGTCAGGCTACTTGCGCCGCATGTGATATGCTTGTTGTACGGCATTCCTAAATGATTACTGCTAATACCCCTGTGAGCTGTGGCCATGGTGACTTGCAGTTATATCCAATCATACAGTGGGATGTACGGCAATGGCTGTTGAGGAGAAGGTGTACCGCTTTTGTACGACGCCGCGGGTGTGCACGTTAGGGCGAGTAGAAGGAAGTTGATGGGGAGGAGCCTGTTGACTGGGGTGCGTGTGTGGGGGCGCACTTTTCGGTACCCGGGGCCCCCGGTGTCTCGCATTGCAAAAACCCATCCCGTGCATGTGCGTGTCGTACTGCTTCATTGTGTACAGCAGTGGCTGCAAGATGTACTTTATGTTCCGTACATTGATGTATATCGGATTATGTTGCAGAATCCGATATCCATGGAACATGCACATCGGATTCACTCCACCATGATTGGATATTAGCGCAGGGTTAGCGCCGCATACAATAGATGAATAGAACCCAAGCGCACCTTCTCTCCACACAGCCTCATCTCATGAGCTCAACCCCAGCATTAACCCAGCATCGTCTTATAGCACCATACCATCCAGCATACACCGGCAATACCCGGGCATATCCAGAACGTCCTTGCTCGCGGCATAAACATGCTCGGGCGCGGACCAGCTCGCCTTCCTCCGCACGCACCCTGAATCCCCCCACACGCCCTCTCATACGCCCGCCCTCATCACTCCGATCCCGTACCAGCTCCCGCGCACCCACTCGCGCGCACCCCATTCGCCACCAGGGGGATCATCCAACCTTCCGACGTTCCACGAACTTCCTACTCGCGGCCAGCCTTCTTAACCCACTCATCCACCCATCACCTCCGCCCCCCCGCCAACTCCTACCCCCATTGCTTTGCCCTAACTTGTAGTCTCCTATGGTTTGGTATGGTCTTTGATCCCCCCCCCGCAATCCCCGCAGCAGCAGCCGCCGTCTCCCTCTGCTGCTGCCCCCGCTACCCCCCGCGATCCACTCTACCACAAGCAGCATACGCAGACGCAGGCTGCTACCCCCATGTCACCGGCGACCCCCGCCCCTCCTCCAGAGCCCGGTGAGGTGGTGTGGCGAACCGAGGAGGCAGCGGCAACCGCCAACCGTCTCCCCCCCCTGCTGCTGCTGCCCCCGCTGCTGCCTCCCGGGCTGAACCCACCAGCTCCTCCACCTCGGGGATGGTCACAGGCGCCTGAGGAGTGGGGGGAGGAGTAGGGTACAGCAGAGGGGTATACGTCTATGGCAGGGGCATGCACGGGTTTGGCGGATGGGGCAAGGTGTCCGACAGCGCTGGACTGAGGCGGCGGTGTGTTTGGCGGTGCCGCTGCTCCTGCTGCTGCTGCCGCTGTAATGCGGTTCAATAGGGTTCACATGGTAATGGGCCGCAGCGGCTGCGACGTTATGGGTGTGCGGGAACAGCATGTAGGCGGTGGTGCAGTCGAGGGTGGCCCAGGTGGAGGCCTTGCTGCAGCAGTTCTCAGAGCCCCTCTTTAAACCACCAACCAACCGCCCCACCCAACCGCCCCACCCTACCTGGTCGCTGAGCACCCGGCAGCCACTCGCGGTCACCAACACATCGTCCTCGATGCGCACCCCGATACCTCGGAAGGCGCCGAACCGCGGGTGGTCCGGGATGTACAGCCCTGGTGGGGTGGTGGGGGAAAAAATTATATAAGTGAAACACCGAATCCCAATCCCATATCCCGACTCATGCAGTGAGCGGGGGGGCGAACAAGAGAGTGAGCAGGAGCATGGAGCAACGAGAACGCGGTGGAGGCGGAGGTGGGGAGAACCAAGAGTGTACCAGTATGAGCAGGAGCATGGGGCAGCAGCAGCAGAGAGAGGGGGGGGGGAGAGTGCAGGAGGAGTAGGTGGCGGGAGAAGAGATGAGGGTGGTTCCTTGTGATCTACTCCCCCCCCTTTCAACCCCCCCCTTACCTGGTTCCACGGTGATGACCGCCCCCTGCTGCAGCTGCCGGTCGTGTCCGATGAGCGCCGTGTCGTGGGTATCGCAGCCAAGGTAGTGGCCCAGACTGTGCCAGAAGAACTCACTGGGGAGGCGGGGGGCGGTTTAAAGCGTGGCGGGTGGGGTGTCAAGCGGTGTTCATGCTTGGTGTTTCAGCGAGGGGCGAGGGGAAAAAGGGGAAAGGAGTGCGGTGTAGGGGGCGAGGGGGTAGCTTTGGGTTGACGCGCCGTACTCGCCACACTTTAGCCCGCCCCCACCTCACCCTCTCCTTCCGTGATGTCAACCCTTGCCAAGTACCGAAGTAGAACCGTTACAGCACAGCGCTGTGTGTATGAAAATGACCTACCGAGGTATTTGTTGCCACACCATGCCCCCGCTCCCTCACAACCTTCCCTCCCTCCCTCAACCTCCCTCAACCTCCCTGACACCCCCCTCACCGGTACAGGTTGCGCTGTATCTCCCCCCGTGACGCCCCCGGCAGCACCCGCAGCTCGTACAGACCCTCACTCAACACCTCCACTGCCAGCTGGTGCAACAGGCGGATGGAGGAGCCGGGGCGGCAAGCGGCCAGGCAGCTGCGGAAGGGTGGGGGGGTTGCGTTGGGGGTGGGTGTTTGAGAGGGGGGTATTGCATCTTTGCATGGTTAGGCAAGGCTGGAGTGGGAACACCGGTAATACGAGGAAGACAGGGCGTCAGGAAGAACCCCTCGGTAGGAGCCAGCTGCGCGGAGGAAGGAACATTAACGCGATATGCGTAGTGGCGCCACAGCCCTCCTTGCCCAGCTACCGGCAAGCACGTTTCCCCCCACCCGCCCAACCCCAACCTCCTCCCCCTCCCCCCCCCTCACCGCTGGTGTGCCTCCAGCACCACGGCGTACACATCCCGCTGCGGCCCACTGAAGCGCCCCCCCACCGGCCAGGTGCGGCTCACATCGCTCACATAGCCCCAGTACTCCGCACCCGCGTCCATCAGAAGCAGATCGGAACCCGAGGGCAGCGACTTGTCGGCGCGGAGGTAGTGGATGGTGCAGGCGTCGGAGCCGCCTGCCACCACGGAGGGATAGGCCAGCCGCTGCGCCCCCGCCGCCTTAACGCAAAACTCAAACGTCGCCCCCAACCCGTACTCCGTTACCCCCGGCGCCGAAACCGCCATGCATTGCCGTACGGCGGCGGAGGCAACCGCCGCTGACGTCCGCATGAGTGCTGCCTCCGCCTGACTCTTGATCAGCCTCAGGCTGTGCATGAGCGGACGCAGGGGCTGAATCGCGCCGGGTTTTGAAAGCGCGGGTTTCAGCGCGGCGGCGATGGCTGTGGCGTGGTGGGCGTTGGTACGATCGGTGTCGTACAGGATCGGGGCGTATACGGCAGGGGAGGAGGCGGAGGCGGCGGCGAGGGAGGAGGCGAGATCATGGAGACGTCGGGGCATCTGCGGTAGGGGATGAAAGTGTACAGGTGCATAAGGGGGGATGAGGGAGTATGAGGATGGGAGGAAGAGGATGGGAGGAAGGGAAGCAGGGAATATGTTGACATGGACTGATGTCCCCCAGAGCTTCACCCAGGCACACCCACCTGGTGCATGTAGAGCACTTCGTCCGCTCCAAACACCTCTAGGGCGACCTCACGACTCAGACCCGCACCATCCCACTTGGCTTGCTGGGGAGAGGAAGGGGATGGGGCAGGGGCAGGGGCAGGAGAAGGGAAGGGGACGGGGCAGCAATGTTGGTCGGAGACGCGGCAGCGCGGATGCATGAGCCGCAGGTGTGTTAAAATAACTGGCCGCGAGGCGAAACGTACTGTGATTGCCGAAAGATGAAGTCCTCCCACCGAAAACGCCACAGGTGAAGTCCGTTGGCTATGTTGTGTGTGTGTGTGTGTGTGTTTACCGGTAGCCGACACATCATGCCTAACCTCCCCCCCGACCCGGAGACTCACGCTGGGGCTGGGCGGGTCGATGAAAAGCGTGTAGGTGGCTTCCTGGGAGGAAGAGCCTGTGGAAGGGGGCGTGGCGGACGGTGAGGGGCGGAAAGGGGGGAAGGGGGGAGCAAGGTGGAGGTTACCCTGCTGGGGGAAGGCCGGTAGTTTCCTCTCTTTCCCCCTCCTACCACACGCGCCGCCAGTTCGGCCTGCCCCCCCCTACGCACCCTGCTTGGGTGCCGTAATGAGCGCCAGGCCATGCTGCATGACTCCCGTGAGGTAGAAGAAGTCGGGGTCCTGGCGGTAGGGCCAGGGGATGACGCCCGACATGTAGGCTGTGGCTGCGGCGGGCAGGATGGCGGCGCCGCCCGGGGGCAGCAGCGCGGCGAGCCGCTGCCGCCTCGCGCGGTACTCGGAGGCGGGGATGCCGGGCGTTAACTCATGGGGGGCAATGAGCTGCGGGGGAGGGGGGCAGGGTGGTGTTGGATGGGTGGTGAGAAGGAGGGAGTGGGATTGGGTAGGGGTGCTGGAAGGAGTGGCTTTTTGGGTAGCAAGGGAGAAGTGGGTGAGGAGTTTGTAGAAATGATGGCGGTGCCGTAAGAAGGGAGGAGAGTTTGGACATGAGGAAAATGGTGGACGCAACGGAAGGCGAAAGTCCAAGCAACCTGGACCGCTGCATAGAACAATCATTGAAGCGCGAAAGCCTGCCGACAGGCTCGGATGGCGTAATTACCTCAGGATGCGTTGCGTGTATCGGCTGACCAGCGGGGTATGCGGGTCCTCTTGAAGAATATTGTCGATTGCATATAAGCGAGATAGAGTTTTCCACGGACTCAAGAATAGTTCCGCGAAGTCCCGCAATCGATGACAGCGTCGTTGCCGACGCAGCTAGTTCTCGGTGGCCGACCCGAAGGCCGGCCACCATTCCCAAGAACATCTGTAACTAGTTCTTATTAATATGAATAAAGTTGCGGTACCAGTGCAGCTCCTACCCAGCGCCCTTGCTTAGACAGCGGCGACAGCAAGAAAACGCGCTAATCCTTATACGCAAAGGAGCGAGGATATCGGTAGTTGGCAAAGCAAAGCATCGACGACGCGACACCGTCGTAATGCAAGGGCAATTGGTTCCAGTTCCTAGGGTTACGCCGTACGGTTTTGAATCCCGTACGTTACCTTCGGCTATGGACCTCTACAGTGCCGTAATTTGCTCAATGGCGTAGTCTGAAACCATCGATAATGGTAGTGGATCATATCAGGACTGTGGGGATTTTGTTACAGGGGATAATGGATACCCGTTGCACAGGCAACCATGTCTAGGAGCGAGCCAGAACCTAGAAAAGAATAGTTCAGGACACGGAAGGTCACAGGTGGCAAATGAATACCCGGGTACTGGTATTTCTAGTTTTGTCCAGTCCAATTCACCGTTGGGTCTATTAGGGTCACATGAGGGTAATGGGTCCCCTACATGATCTACAACGTAATCATTGGTCCTACCCTACTCTGCAAAAGGTATAGCTACAGTCAGCTACAATTTATACTAAGCAGGGCACGCAAAGCCTGTTCATTTGCGGCTTCGGGCTTGATCCGGCCAACTGCAACCACAGTGTCAAGCACATTGGCCCCCAATCCCTGATCACGGGATACGCACCATAACCAAGGCGGCTATCACCATCAATGTAGCAGCAGCAACAGCAACAACATTTGCAGCGCTGTGCTTCTATAAACTTCCCGTTGCAGAACACACGCATACACGGGATACGGTTACTGCCCGTTGTAAATCACATACGCACAAACGGGACACGGTTCCTGTTGCAGCCTTCTACGTTTCGGCAATGTCACACCCATTGTCGCACGCAATTCGGCTCACAACATCCATTCACCAGTGACCCTGCGCTGCGCTAGACATCCGCGCGTCCTCTAATCTGGTCAAGTAACAGTGGTTGATTCTTGACCTATACCTAACCTATTGCAAAAGGTAATGGCTACAATCGCGTCCCGCATCTCGGCAGGGACGCCTCCTACAAAACAGGCCAGTAAACCTCAAGAACGAAGCGTTTCTTTCCACCCGGACATCCACAGAAGGCAATAAAAGCCGGGCATCCTTCCATTAGCCATATTAGTCGTCGTGTTGTCAGGAACACCAATGCAAGGTACAGTAAAGTCCAGTCAACAGCTCCATGTCGCATACTATAAGAAGCCCAAGGGCGGGTCAAGACCAGAGTCACGTATCATGGACTTGCGGGGTCATAATAGAGTCACGGGACCATGCTGTGCAGGCAGGACGACCGTACGAAACGGCCTCCCACCTACCCCCCCTTCCGCACAGCTGCGTGCTAGCAACCAGGGCACACTAAATCTTCAAACCCCCAGACAACATGGCAACTAGGTAAATCCTAAACAGCGATGGCTATCGCAGGAATACAAGGCATTCCCAACACCGACATCAGCCTTGGGAATTCAAGATAAGGGAGGGCCGCACAGAGCACCTGGCAGCAGTGCACTCTGTGTTGAAGCCAGTCTTTCAGCAAAATCCCTGGCAACACTCACACAGACCATGCCCTGGGATATTGAAAAGGATATACGGACGGAGGTCACACCGTCGCCTCCAAGTCGTCGTACGTACATAATCTTATGCACTTTGGACAGATATTCACACAGAAGGCACATCAACTAGGTTGTGAAGATGAGGTTTTGCTCATATAACCCATGAGACATGCTGGGATGTGTCAGGTTAGATGCTGGGAGTCACGTGAACCTCGTCGGGGGAGAGTGATGAGCCGCAGGGCGACACAAGTCCTATAGCCCACGCGTTCTGACATGCTCTAATGATAAGATAGTCAACGTTAACTTAGCGAGTCCTAGTCAAAATGTTCAACAAGTCAAATGACCAACGCACAACACAACAAACAATGAATCTTCATATAGGACTCAACTAAACCACACTCTAAATTTCATCGTACCCATCCCTTCTATTTCCCCCTCCTTCGTTATCCTCCCTTTCTTGCTCTCCCTCCCTTCCAAACCATTAGCACAGCCCAGCCAACGCAGCCCGCGTCGACTCAATCCGCTCCCGGATCCGCTCCAAGGACGGTCGCTTCGCAGGATCACGCGCCAGAATCCACTCCACCAGGCTTACCAGCAGCGGCAGGTTGCCCAGCCGCGCCCGCTCCACCTCCGTTAGCGTCAGATGGTCTCCGGAACCAAAGGCAACACGGTGCGTCACAGAGGCATAGTCGCCGCCAAACAGCACCGTCCCTGACAGCAGCTCGTAAGCCAGGCAACCCAGGGACCAGACGTCCGATGCCAGACCTGCACCCGCCAGGGACTGCTGCGGCGGATGCTGGGGGTGATCATGCCTGCTGCCGGCGCCAACAGAAGGGCCCGAGGGACGCACCGGCGAGCGGCCGGTGGAGGGCGGGGCAGGCGGTTTCGGGGCGTAGGTGAGGGCCTGCCGGCCAGAGGAGGGAGCTGGCGGCGGCAGCGGTGGAGGCGGATGGGGCGGCAGGCCAGAGGATCCAGAGCCGTTACTGGTGCGGCTTGTTGCGTTGAGCAGCAGCATCTCAGGGCTCTTGAAGACCTCGGTACCGCGGTTGCGAGCCGTGAAGGCCTCCGCAGCGCTCCGGTAGGCGCGAGCCTCACCGAAATCTGCGAGCACGCAACGGAAGGGAGCCACGTGCGCGCTGGCGCTGGCCTTCCCTGCACCGGACGCAGACGTGGCGGAGTCGGCCGTGCTGGCAGCGGCGTTGCTGCTGCTGTTGCCGGTGGTGACGCTGGAGGCGTTGGTGTTGCCCACAGGGGCCCAGAGCTCGCCGTCTCGGACTCCAGACAGCGGCTCGATGAGGACGTTGGAGCACTTGAGGTCAAAGTGCACCACGTTGTGGGAGGCCAGCAGCCGCAGCGCGTCGACGACTTGGGAGAGAGCCGACAGGAAGACGCGGGCCGCGGCGGCGGTGGCAGCGACGGCGGCGGCCTGGCCGGCGGTGGCGGGGTTGAGGGGGCGCTGGCGAGCACGCCACTCCGCGAGGGAGCAGCGGTAGCGGCGCATGACGATCCAGTAGGCGTCGTCATGCATGCCGTAATCCAGCAACTGGCAGATGCAGTCATGGCCTGTGGAAAAATACAACGACGATAGGGGTTAGAACATTTCGGGGAGCATGCTTATTAATCACCTCACCCAAATTCAACCCAAAGAGAGGACAGCATGTTACAGGCATGGATGATATAAGTCGGTATAGCGGAACCCGCAGGCTTCCTCTTACCTGAGAAGCGCTCCATGATCGTCACCTCTCCAAACACATCCGCCAGGACGCAACCGTCAAACGAGGACCCAGGCAGCTGGATGGTCTTGATCACCACCTGCACCGAGGTTGCTCCGCCGGGTGCCACAGGGGGAGCCGCGGTGACAGAAGAGGAAGAGCCACTCGACGTGGCCCGAGTCCCCGAGGCATTGCCCGGCAGCGCAGGGCCCTTCAGCAGGTCCATACGCGCCCGGTAGATGCCGCCGAATGCGCCGCGCGACATGAACTGGAGGTTGCTGTAGCGGCTCGCGTTGAAGAGCGGGCGGCTGAGGAGCTGCAGGGTACGGGTGATGGCGCAGGGGCGGCTAGCTGGTGGAGAGGCTGCAATGGCGGCCATCTGCTGGCTGCCGTTGCTGCTGCCGCGGCCGCCGGCAGTTACACCCGCCACGCCTTGGTACTCCCGTGCAGAGTCGTTGGGCGGCACAGATCCACCGTTGGGCGAGCGATTGGCCGGATTGTTAGCGGCGGACGCCGAGGAAAAGGACAGCCGCCTGTTGGTGCTCTGCTTTGCAGCCGCCGCTGCGGCCGCCTGCTTGGCTCGGCGCTGCGCGCCACGGCACAGGTCGTGCACCACACCGCCGTTACGCGGCGCGTTCAGGTGCCACAACAACACGTGCTCGGCGTGAAGCGTGCCAGCCTCCGTGGGGTGCTGCGGCACGTACATGGGGTCCAAGGCCCCCGCAGGCGTCACGAGCAAGTCCAGCAGGACCTTGAGCATCAGGATGTGCGTCACGGGGTCCTGGTAAAGCAGCCTTTGAGCCGCTAGCTGTTGGTACTCTGCCGCAGGCAGCCTAACGGGCTCCGAGGGCCGCTGCAGCGACTCGCCAGGGGCTGCGAGCACGTCGCCGCCACGGTAGGGAGTAGTGTGTGGGGCAGGTCGGTGTTCCGTGCCTGCGCCGGAGTCCATGGCACCGCCGTTGGGCAGGGCGCTGGAGGTGCTGGCCCGAAGCAGGGCGCTGAGGGGAGCGGTGCGGCCGGTGTCGGTGTTGGGGATGTGGCTGTCGCGGCGGCGCAGCGACTGGAGGTTGAGGGCGGGGATAAGCGGCGGTGAGGGACGGATTGCTGTTCCTGGAGACGTGGAGGCAGAGTGCTCGCCGGGCCGGGCAGGGGAGGCAAGGGGCTGTTGGAAGGACAAGCGAACGTTGTCCTTTGAAGGAGAGGATCCTGCGGTTGCCGGGAATTGGAGGGATGGAGATGGGGACAGCTGCCGGTGGCTGCTGAGAGCTGAGGGAGTCGTCCAGACACCGCCATTCGCGCGGTTAGATGCGGAGAGCAGGACCATGGCACGGGAGCTGCTTGGAGGGGGCCCGCGTGCCGACGACGCAGCAGAGGACGTCCCGGGCGGCCCATCCGCGGATGCAGCTACGGATGCGGGAATGGCAGAGCCTGTGGAGGCCATCCGCAGGGGCGGAACTAGGGCAGCCCTGTACGGAAGCGGCGGACGGCCGGAGCCCTGTCCCGATCCGGACGAGCGGTTTGTCAGGCGTGCCGAGTTGGAGCTAGGAGCCATGAGGTGCAGTTCTCCCTGGGGCCCGGAATGGAGGGGAGACGCGACAGTCAGCTCGCGTGCCCCAGGTGACAGGGGAGCCGGCGTGTCTTCGCCACTGCTGCCCTCCATTTGTACGACACGCAGGGAGCGCTGCGGCATGATCTTGGACGCCAGTGGTGCAGCTGCAACAGCTGGGGGAGCTCCCGGCGCATCGCTTGCAGCCGGTTCGATGTTGCTGGAGGCCGAGGTTCCGGAGGAGGCACTGCCGCGGCCGTCACAGTCGCTGGCAGTACTGCCGGGGGGTGCATCGGCCGCTGCGGCGCCGCCGCAACCGGGCCGACTGCATGACTGCAGCGATGGCAGGTAGCCGTTACGGCAGCCGCTGCTACCCGCGGGCGCTGCGCCTCCCGAGTTGGTGTCAACAATGGCACTAACGCTTGGCTCCGGCAAGTTCATGGACCAGCGTGCAACCCGCTCGGCGGCAACGGTCTTCTCCACTGCCCGCCCTGAGCCATCGTCCGGAAGCGACATTCCCTCCTCCGCGTCCTCATTCTCGTCGGCCATGTCTGAGCCCTCCTCCTCGCAAAACGTTGATGCCCCCCATGCGCTGTTAGCGGCGCTTACGCGGCGATGATGCCGCGGTCCTGGGGACTGTACGGAGCTCCCGGCGGCCATGGAGCTAATGGACGCAGCCCTTAGCCCCACCAGCGCTAACCTGGGCACACCGCTCGAGCGCCGACTGACGCTGCTGCCGGCAGGTGTACTCGTCTTGCAAGCGTCGACCTCACCGCCCCAGCTGCAGTGCTTGCCGGAATCCAGGTCGCCGCTGCCAGTAGCCCCGAGGCACAGCTGCGGGAGCTGCGGAGGCGTCTGTACTCGGCTGCAGCCCTTCTCCGGAGTTGTAGCTGCCGCTACCGCTGCAGCTTCAGCAGCCTCCGCCTGCCTCGCTTCGCTCTGCGCCTTGAGCCGCTTCCCCTCCTCATCGTACTCAAAGCCTTCAAGCTCCAAGTCATGTCCCAGCTCGTCTTCTAGGGCTATCAACCGTTCAACGTCCTCGTTAAGATCATACGTGAACTCAAAGCCCTTGCCGCCGTTGCCTCCATCAGCTGCTGCCCCGCTCGCAGCCGCAGCCGCTCCGCTGCCCTCACAAGCAGCCGACCCGCTAGCATTGACAGCGTTTGGCGCTGCCTCTACCGCATCCCTGCGAGCCGTGGTGCTCTCTTGGCCGACGCTCTTGGCAACATCCTTCTCCGACGCCTCCCGGGCTCCCTCATGGCCCTTGTGCTCATGCCCATCCTCGACGTCGCTGTCGCTCTCAACCTCGGAGCTCTCATCCAGGGCCCCCTCACCAGAGTGGTGCGCGGCGGGCAGCAACTGGCTCTCGAGCGACATCTCCGCCAGGAGCCACTCCACGGTCCGCATGCGAGCAAAGGCTGCGCGCACGGGCGGGCCGGGGTGGCGCGCCAGGCTACGCAGCAACGTGGCGTGGATGCGACAGAGCTCCGCAGAGGCAGACTTTGGGTCCGCACCGGAAGACTGCGCGGGACAAGAAAGAGGACACCGAGGTAAGGATGGGCGGTGTGACGAGGAGGGAACGCGACACAGAGCCCAAAAGATATGATGGATGGGCAAGATCCAGCTAAATACCCCATGCTTGAAGCCCCGACACACCTCATAGCTCAGAATCATGGAGTTGTGGTGCAGCGCGACATAATAGTCCGCCAAGATGGGCGAGTAAAGCACCTTGGCATCGGGCATGTCGTACAGCACCTGCAACGCAAAAATGAGGGGAAGACACGGTTAGGAGTTAGCATAACAAAGACCACAAAGCAGACCGCTACTTGCCGCAACCCGATCGGCACATTCTCAACCACAGCCTCACCTGCAACAACCATAGCGCGTGCAGCTGGGCTACCAACGTATCCTCTCGAAGCGGCAGCTCTAGAAGCCGCGCCACGGCACCTGACGGCGGCGAAAGCAACGCGGCCAGACGCTGCAAGCATGCACCCATACCTGCAAGTACAGCGGCAAACCAGGATACGTTATTACGAACCACATATTGTTATGGATCCTTTTAGACCACATGCACGCATGTAGCCACAGCCCTCTACACAATCGCGGCAGCATAGGCATCAACAAAGAAAGCCTTACGTTGCACGCTCTCGGCATGGGCGGCTGCAAACTTGACCAGCTGCGTCAGGAAGCCCCACAGCTGCAGCGCCGCAGCCACTGCCTCCTGCGGTGCTCTGCCCGCCCGAGCCGCAGCCGCGCTGTAATCCTCATTGAAATGCAGCAGCTCCAACACCTCCGACAGCATGTCCAACCAATCCGGCCGCAGCAGCAGCGCCGCAGCAGCAAACACTAGCGGCGGCTGCTGTGGCTGTTGCAGCTGCTGTTGCGTTGGTTGCTGCGGTGCGGATGGGCGGCCCTGGTCAAACACCTCCGAGTCCGGCTTGGAGTTGGATGAGAGGTTGGAATCTTGGGTGCTTGGGGTGTGCTGCAGTGAGGACGCTGGCGTTTGGCGTTTTTTGTCCTCAGAAGGCACGTCGTCTCCACCCGTGCGCTGCTGCTGCACATGAGGATGTGGGTGCAAACCAGCCTCCTCACGCTTCTGCTGATGCTGTTGCTGATTCTGCAGTCTTTGCTGCTGCGCAGCACGACCCGCCTGCAGAAGCACGTCATGGTAGACATGCAGCAACGCCAGGAAAGCCGCCACGGTATCTGGCTGCCAAAAGCGTACTTGCCCTGCGGACCGTACAATGTGCTCCGCATGCGCCAAGCCATCGCCAATAGCGTACAAGACCGCAGTCGCTGAGGCGGGGCTCGAAGAGCTGCCCATCCACTGCCGAACCTCGCCTAGTACAGACTCAATGCGGAGGAAGACTGGGCCATCTGCGTGTGGCAACGTGAGATTGGGTTGAGTGGAAGGCCTTGAACGACAATAGATAGAAGACCTAGCAGAAGTAATCCTTGCAGTAGACCCCACTAGAGTCCAGCCCCCTTCAAAGCACGAAACGGAATTGCGTTTTCTCTCACCAGGCCGTGGAGTGCTGCACATCTCCAGCAGCTGCGTGTTCAGCCGCTGAAGAAGCGGGTCGGCAAGGAAAACGCCGGTGCTGCTACTGCCAAGGAGTGATTCTGCCGGCTGCGGCTGCTGCAACAGCTGACTTTGCTGAGCAAGCATGATTTTTGCTTGCTGCAGCAGTGCCCGAAGCGTCCGCTCATGGTGTAGCATATCGACAGCCTGGACTGAGTAGGCGCCGTTGGAAGGCTTGACGTCGGCAGTCGGGCCGCAGGCATCGAAAGCCTGTCCGTAAGGCTTCGCATCGCCGTCAATAACGACCTTCTGTAGAGACGCCGAATCCCGGTCAAGCCTCGCCTTGAAGGACCTGCCGAAGGATGCAAGACTCTTGACTATTCGAACCGTGACGAAGTACGGGCCGAGTAACGTCTATACAAATGACTCACCCCTGTTTCACTAAGTCATGCGCCTTGAACTCCGCCTTGCCGTCTTCAAACTCAAGGCCATCCTTCCCATGACCGGACGAGCTGGACTCGCGGGCCTCGACGTCAACGGTGCCTGTGGAAGCTGGCGCTAGGCTGTCAGGTTGCAAGCACTCAAAAGCTAGGAACAGGGTCGGAAATTCGTCAGCGCTTACCCGCACCAAGGCAGCGCAGGAACGAGCAGAAAGCCCTCATTTCCGCAGCTGGCCACTTCAAGTTGTCAACTACTGGTTTATCAACATTGCTCTATGCCTGTTCTGCTATGAATAACAGGAATGCTTAAAGCGTCTTCAGCTTCCGATGCTGACCGGAAGGCCGAGCTCCCAGTGGAAAGGTGTGATGATATTCTATGTTATAAATGAATAAAAATGAGCTCCTGTGAAACGCAGCTAGGCAGATTTGACGACAATAGTCCAATAGGGTGCCAAAATTCTCAAGAATGTATACCGCCTTGCCTCATAAGCATCCTAAAGGTTCAAGCTAAGAAAGTAAGTTATTGCCCAGCAACTGGAGTATGCCTGTGCGTGGCCTAGCGACGGTTACGGACAAATGCGGTGTACGACAGTTCAAAAGTGCGAACTGTCAAGCAGTCGCCCATCCCCTCAAGAGTTGCGGAACATAACTACGCTTTGATGTTACAATGGGAATGTATAGGTCACAAATATCTGGTTGCCAATTATGGATTACGACAAGCCGCACCAACGCATCTCGAGTCGCGTTGTGCAAGCCCGTACTTTGCTTGTATCTTCTGGATTAATTTTATACTGCAGGTTCCTGACCTTACTCTTCCTTGCAGCGCTTTACAGATATGGTACCTGAGCTCCTTCGCTCTCAGCAGAAGGTAGCCTCCGTAAAGCCTTACCCGTTTTTAACAGCTGACAGCAACGTAGCTGATAAAACGAAACCGTCCAAGCGCGTACGGTGCACTATGCAGCCGCCCCATGGCTCACGTGTCGCCTGGCCTAAAACGGGTGTATCCGCATGCCAGAATGACATGGGCACCCAACCGTCGCACCATGGGTATTACATGCTGGTCCTAGGTCCCGTGGGGTCGTGTCCCGTCACCTGCCAGTGTCTTAGCTCCAGAAGCACACCCAAAGCCTCAAATAGTTTTTGTCTCAGCAACAACCGCAAGACGCCACCATTGCTCGCCAAGCATGTCCAGTTAGCGAAAAGGCCACGTTTACGTCTCTGCTCCATCGACATTTAGGATCACCACGTATGTACAGGGTGAGTGGGTGACACGAACAAACCCAACCGTCACACAGAGCTCAAAAGCCGCCGTGTTGTGCGAAAGCTACAACTAACGGTATCTGAAACCTGGCCTCGTTCACTCTTAGCAGCAGCAGAGAAGCATTCGCCTAGCACCTCATGCATTATCTTGTTATGCAAGTTCAACAGTTTGTTCACGCACCACTCGCCTAATGCTCCAAGCAAGTTTCATGTACTACTACTGCCTACAACACAACACACACAACACGCTGTCTAAGCCACCCCAATTCCTCCCCCTTCACAACCCCAAACCCTCTCCCGTACGCACCCCTCCCTCACCCGCCACCCAAATCCCTTAACCCGCCTACTCCTCCTCCGCCGCCTCAGCCCCCATCAGCCCCATCTTCCGTGCCAGCCGCCGCACCCGCCGCCGCCCCTCCGCATCGCCCACCGGCTCGTTCCCCACGCGCGCATGCAGCTCGTGACGCCGCCGCAGCGCCGCCATCACCTGCTCGTCCAGTGGGGCAGAAAGAAATCCAACCGTCAGGGAGAATTCCAACCGTCAGGGAGAAGCCCAACCGTGTGAGGAGGGCATAAGGCAGTAGGGAGAGGAGGCGGAAGGGTGCCATAAGGCAAGCTAGCGGGATGGTACCGGTAAGCAGCCCCCAGCGCCCCCACCTGCTCGGGGGAGGCCGCCTCCGCCAGCAGCAGCAGACAGCGGCGCCATGCAGCCCCGGCAGCCTGGGCGCAACAAGGGGCGCAAGAAGGGGGGAAGCAGGGGGGAAGCAGAGTCAGGGCATGAGGGCGGGCAGCAGGAGGCATGAGGAGCGTGTGAGGTAGAGGAGGCAGTGAGGAGAGGATGAGGGGACAGGGTCCAATGAGTGCAGGGTGCAGGACGTACGGCAGCCCATGCTGCCATACAGCCTGCAACCCCCGCCCCACCCCAACCAAGCCCAATCCAACCCCCAGGAGCGCGCCCCCGCCCCCGCCCCACCCCCGTTCCCCCCACCCGCACCTACACACCCATACACACACCTTTGGCGACCGCTTCCAAGCCTCCTGCGGCTCCTCCTCCGCCATCCGATCCCCCAGCGGCAACATCACCACCGCCCCCGCCTGCGCCTGCGCCCCTCCCCCTCCTGCCGCCTCTTTCTTCGCCCTTCCTGCCGCACAAGCGCCACCACTGCCGCCACTGCCGCCACCACCAGCCGCATCCCCGCCGCACGATATACACCCGGCCGCCGCCACCGCCACCACCTTCATGTCACCCGCCTCCTCCCTCAGCTCCTGAAGGATAAACTCCGGGAGCCAGGAGGACCAAAGCGCCAGCCGTCGGCCTTCCTCTGCATCCCCCATGACACCCTCTTCCTGCACATCCTCCCCCACACTAGCCGGGTACCTGCCGGGCTGGGCGCTTCCCGCAGCCTTAGCAGCCTCAGCCCTTGCAACGCTAACACCAGCATTGCCAATGGAGGCAGCGGCGGTGCCAGCACCAGCAGCAGGAAGGGCTGCATGTGCGATGGCGGCGGCTGCGCAGGCGAAGGAGGAGGTAGCAGCAGCAGCAGCGCCGCCGACGCCGCTGCCGTCCGTTGCCGCCTCAGCAGCAGCAGCGGCAGGTGATGTGGGTCGAGGGAGCGTCAGGGGCTGGCCCCTCAGCGCCACCTGGCAGCCCGAAGGGGAAGCCAGAGGACCGCCGCCCGCATCTGGGCTGATGCTGATGCTGCCGATGGTCGGGAGGGGGTCGGGGCTGCTGCTCACATGGCAGGTGCCCTCCGCCACCGGCCCCGCAGTGGCAGCAGCGCGGGTGTCTATAACCTTGGCAGCGGTGGCGGAAGCAGTGTTGGTGTCCTTCACAGTGGCAGCGGTGGCGGAAGCAGTGTTGGTGCCCGTCACAGTGGCAGCGGTGGCGGAAGCAGTGTTGGTGCCCGTCACAGTGGCAGCGGTGGCGGAAGCAGTGTTGGTGCCCGTCACAGTCTTGGTAAGGCTAGTAGTCACACAGTTAGCAGCGGTGGGGTCCGCTGCTGAGGGGGCTTCCGCCGGAGGAGGCAGCAGCGGGGGTGCATGGTGGGACAGGATGCTGGGGAGGGGTGCAAGCAGCTTGGCACTGTTCCTTTTCACAAGCAGGGCCGGCAGCAGGTGATGCTGTGGCGGTGGTGGCGGTTGAAGCGACAGCGGCGGCAGCCGTGGTAGCGCAGTAGCAGCAGCAGTAGCAGCCGGCACGGAAGCCTGGCCACTTCCCGCTAGATGGGATGGCGCCTGCAATGGAGCTCCAGCAGCAGCAGCCGCTGAGGCGGCGGCGGTGGTGGTGGTGGTTGTTATCTGAGCATCCAGCGCGCTTTCCTGTGTTGATCTGTTGCGATGCGAGTGAGTTCCTACCACGAAGCTGCTTTTGAAGCCGCTGCCTTCCTCGCCACCGTCACCACCATCTCCTCCCTCACGACTTGGCTCTTCTGCTGCTGCCGCTGCTGCTGCCGTAGCTGCCGCTGCTGCTGCTACGGCACTACTACTAGCAGCAGTAGCGGAGGTAGTTAAGCTCCTTCTACCGCCGCCGCTGCTGCGGCAGTCGCCGCCACTGTCGCTGCCAAGGACGCGTGAGGACGGCTCCTCCTCCTCCTCCCTCGCCGCCATCCTGCCAGCCACCCTTGCCGCCAGCTCTTCTCCCGCAGCAACCTCCTCTTCCGTCTGCAGCAATCCCTCGTCCGCCCTCCCCACCTCATTGTCCTCCTCCTCCTCCGCCGCCGCCCTCTCCTCCCTCTTCTTCCCTCCCGCCTCCCTCGCCCTTTCCACCAGCTGCTCCAATGTGTCAGCTGACACATGTAGCAGAGCCGCCCGCACCAACACCTCCCTCACCCACCCGACCACTGCACGGACCATTTCAATCGGCACCTGCACACGCACACGCCCGACCATCTGCGGCTCTTGCTGCTGTTGTTGCTGCTGCTGCTGCTTTTGTCGTTGCTGTTGTTGTTTCCACTGTTGCTGTTTCCGCTGCTCCTCTGCACTACCCAGCACTCGTACTACGTGTACGGGCTGGCAGATCAGGAAGGCTGTAGCAGACAAGTGTACGACATCCCCCACGAACTCCCGTATCATGTGGGCTGAGGGGCAACACTGCAGGTAGCGGTGGGCCAGGCAGGACAGCGACTCCTGAAGCACCTGAGGAGGGGGGAGAGTAGGGTGGAAGAGGAGGGGATACAAGTTGCGCATTAGGAAGAGGAGGAGATGAGAACACGTGGAGAGAGGTGGAAAAGAGGCAAGGGAAGGCTAGATGGGCGGGAAAGGAAGCGCGTGAGCATGAGGAAAGAGGAGCATGAGTGAGAAGCAACAGCAACGAGGCGGAGCCCCGCAGTGACGAGGCATCAGGGCCACAGGACTGCTCCCAGCGCTCACACCGTCCCCTGCCAGCCTACCTGCCCCACAATGCTCCCCGCCGCAGCTGGAGACGCATGCGCTGCCGCCGCCTGCAGCAGCCGCAACAGCAGCACCTGCCATTGCCGTACGGCAGGACCCGCGGCGGCGCCTCGACACACGCCGGGGCGGTAGGTGCACCAGTGGGTGCGATCCAGGGAGGACAGTACGACATCTTGGATCAGGTGCATGTACGACAGTACGATGTGGCGTTGGAGGGAGGACGCGAGGTCGTCGACCTGTGCGTGTGTAAGGGAGTTAGGTGGAGCCGTGTAGCGGTTAGGAGGAGTGGGTTTAGAGGGGAAAGGTACAAGGGGTCGAGGATGGAAAGGAGGAATGCAGGTGGGGCAAAGAGGAAACAACTAACCGTGTGATAATGCGTCGTCATGGTATGCAACATGTGAGCCAGCCCGACCCGCCCAGCCCGAATTAGCCAAGCCTAATCAAGAGGGCGGTGGCTTCCCATGTGCTTCGATGACGTTCGTAGTTTCCCTACGTTTTCCTGGATTACTCCCGACCTGCAGAAGGCACTTCGCATGTAGTTGCACAAAGCCCTGAAGCAACTCCAGCTCCTGCTGTTGCCGCTGCTGCTGCTGCTGCTCCTCATCTTCAACCCCTGTTAGCGGAATCGAGCTTGGCGAAGAGAACTGCCCCTGCTCCTCCCGCTGCTGCTGCTGCTGTACCATAAGCTCCTCCGGCAGCAACAGCAACAACAGCGATGACGGCTCCAAAACCCTGGTTCCGAAGCTGACTAGCCGCTGCCGAACACAACACGCAGCCGAGTAGACATGGAGCGACTCAGATAACCACGATAAGCCGCTGTCACTGCTGCTAGCGCCGCTGCCACTGCTGCTAGCGCCGCTGCTAGTGCTGCTGCTTCCGGCATTGCTGCTAGTGCTACTGCTGCTACCGACGTCACCGCATTGACTTCTGTTATAGTAGGGACAGGCGGCGGCGGATAGCGTTGATAAGGACTGGGGTGGTGGTTGAGACGGCGGAGGTGGCGGCATGTCATAACCTGCCGTACATGCAACCAGTGCCGTACAAGCCTTTCCTTGCAGGTGAGTCATCAGGAGGGATAGTGACTCCATCGCTGCAGTGGCAAGGGACGCCTGGGTTGGATGAGGGGGACCCGGGAAGAGGACGCGGTTAAGAGTGGTTATCTGCTCTGAAGGAGAGGAAAGGCTGCCCCGTCTTGCCACGCAAACACGTCTGGGAAGAAGGAAAGCAGCCGGTTGCACTCTTGTCGTACCTCTCCTGACCTCTCCGTACATTCCGCCACGCCCTCAACCCCCCTCACATCCCCGCACGAATCCCCAGCCCCCGTACCACCCACCACCTACCTGCAACACCCCCAGCCTGTCGCCCTCCACTCGACTCTGCAGCCACCCCACAAGGCCCAACACCCGGTGTGCCGCCGTATGCAAGCAGGGCGGCTTCCTCCGGCTTGAGTCTGATGAGTCGTCTGGACAGGAGCGAGGTAGGGGTGATGGTTGTGACGCCCCAAGAGACGGCGGTTGCGAGGCGGTTGGATCGGAACTGTACGGCACCGAGGTACGGCAGTTGTACGGCAACAGCGTGTCGTACGGCGAGGGTGCGGGCGAGGATGGCGGCCAGGCGGCGAACTCTCCCACCTCCGTGAGCACCTCGATCGCCACCGAAGCGGTGTTGCCATCAGAAGCCAGGTAGTCCTGGAGGTTCGGGAATCAAGGAGGAGTGACGAGGGTTAGACACATACCGGTACTGACATATACCGGTATATTCATTTGTGGCGTTTCTGTGGGGACTTCATCTTCCGGCAATCACATTACGTCCCAACTCGCATCCAGTTACCTTCACCCACACGCACCCTTACCTTGACCGCTGCCAGCACGCAGCCACGGATGCGGCTCCGCACCTCCGGCAGCAGCTGCAGTACGGCACGCCACACCTCCCCTCGCACCCCCTCCAGCAGGGCGAGTGAGGAGGCGGAGTCTGCTGAGGAGGAGAAGGAGGCGCAGCTGGCTTCCACCGTCGGGGGAGCTTCCCGAGACTGGCCGTCATGGAGGCTGTCATGGTGGTAATGATGGGAGCAGTGGTGATTGTGGTGGAGAGAGTGGCGGTTGGAATCGGTTGGATCGCATCGTCCTCGCGTCATCAACAGGATGGTACTGAAACCCTCCAGGAATTCGGATACGTCCCGAAACACCCGATCCAACCGGGCCACCCAGCCCCGCAACCTCCTGGTCACACACGGGGAGGTGGCAGCCGAGGAGGGGTCAGCAGCATTGAAACACGCCGGCGGTTGGGCGCCAGGAGCTGAGGCAGCAGCAGCAGCAGCGGTGGCGGTGGTGGTAGTTTTCCCGGTTCCGACTGACCCACGGGTCACCGCGCCGCTACCGCCGCCGGCAGTGTTGCTGCCGTTGCAGCAGCGTGCGGAGGCTTGGGAGGCAACGACGCGGTCCGATGGAGCTGAGGCCAGAGCGGCTTGAATGGCCTGCAGCCGGGATAGGAGTGTACTTCAAGATATGCTCAGAATATCATAAATGCCAGATAGCTAAGATATCAGCTTCAGTTAACCCAGCTGGAACGTGGGTACACCAGCAATGTGGAGCAGCATCACCGCCACAGCCCAGCCCCCACACACGCAGCTACCCACCCACCCGCTTCACGGCCTCCCCAAAGGGCCTGCCGTACAGATCCCGCAGTACGGACGCGGGCGGCCGCTCCGGCAGACCCAACACGCAGGGGAGCTGAGGGCGAGGAGCGGGGTGCGGGGCAGGGTTGAGTTGCGTGGGCGGAAGAGGGCGGGAGAAAGAGAGGTGACTTGGTGATGGGAGGGCGCGGATAGTAGGACAGACCCCAACCCTGTCATCCAGATTGCAGTTGAAACCCTATGGTATTACCGAGGCCCCTGCCCTGCCAGGTTACTCACAACATGGTTCCTAACTTCCCGCTCTCCGCCCCCCTCACACATTCCCCCCCTCACACCTGCACGACCGCCAGACACAGCAGCTGCTGCCCCACCATCTGCGGGAGGGGTCAGGCAGTGGGCCGGCGGTGAGGACCAGAAGCTCGTCCCAAAAGCTGTGCAGCTCTCATATATTCCGCAACACTTATCAACACTAGGCACCATGTCGTTTCGGTGGGACGACTCTTCATCTTTCGGCAATCCCAGTACGTTTCGCCTCGCGGCCAGTTTTCTTAACACACACACACGCACCTGCAGGTAGGTCTTCGGAAGCGCCCGCCGCAGGTACAGCTGCAAATCCGGTCGCCTGGAGAGTCCGACAGTCCGCCTCTTCCGCCACCCTTCTGCTGCTGCCTTCCCGATATCATCCAGGATCATTTCAAACATACTTGGCGCCGCTGCCGCTGAATCCAAGGCTCGGCCCTTCCCCGCCGGCCGCCGAGTGACCCATGGGTCGTCCAGCAGCCGCGGCTTTGGCGGCTGTTGCTCTTCTTGCCCCCGCATGTGTCTAGGGTGCTGCGGGGCATCCTTGGTCCCACGCAGCTGGCTTTGTAGCCAGGACTGTACGGCTTGCCTAAGTTCGGAAGGCCGTTTCGGAAAGTGTTGCGAAAGCTGGTTGGAGAAGTTGTTACTGTTGTTGTTACCGTTTTTGCTGTTGCTGTCACTGCTCGTGCTGCTGTTGTGGAGGTTGTTACGCTTGAGTATGGCCAGCAGCCAAGAGGTGGAGGGGCTACTGAGGTGGGTGGGAGGCAGGAGGAAAACGGAGAAGTGGAGAGAGGGAATGAAAGGGAGCGAGGAGGAAGAAGGAGCAACAAACGCAACTCCCCTCAAAAACGTACAACCCCTCTTAGAGCAGACGTCAGACAGGAGCAACCGCCCTCACGCCATGTCGCCACTTACGGGTCGAGTAGGCTTTCAAACACACGAGCCGCCTCCTTGAGCTCCGGCGGCTCCCCTTCCTCCTCCTCGTGCTCCTTCTCCTCCTCCTCGCTGTACACGCCCTCCTCCGCAGCCGCCGCCACCTCCCAATTCCTTTCCTCCTCCTCCTCCAGCTGCTCCTCCTCCGGAGCGGGGTTTCCCAAGGCTCCGGGCCGCATGAGCGGGTGAGCCAGGCCCTCTGACACCCGCGCCCATGCATCTGAGGAGCAGCTGGCAGTGTGGAAGAGCGCCGCTAGGAGCAGTGCGGTACGGGACTGCGGATGGGTTGGGAAGGGGCGGCGGGAGGGGCGGGTGGGGGGGTCAGGAAGCGGCGGGAGGCGCGGGTGAGGGGCAAAAGCATTGCCGTGGAGCCAGGCAACTGAGCCGCCTGAGGCACACGGGAGGGAGGTGCTGGTGCGACGCAAGAGGGCGACGTAAACAACAAGATAAGGGTTCCAGGTTTTGCCTTGCATTACCTCGTTGTCTGTTGTCTCAGGCATGGAACTCACCACGAGGTCATCGCCCTCTTCCTCCTGTTGTTGGTGCTCTGCAGCTGAGTGGCACGGCAAGCGGTACCAGGTCGCATCGCTGACGGCGATACTCGCTGGAGGCGTCGCCGCCGCCCCAGGAGGAGGCGTCAGCATCACCCCCTTGCCACCCAGGACCAGCGCCAACTGCCGCTTGTGTACGGCGAACAAATCCATCACTGCCACCGACGGTCGTGCTGCGTCATCGTCAAGATCCGCTGCAGCAGCAGCACTAGCAGCACCAGCGCTTCCATGGCTGCCTCCGTAGAGGCAACGCAGCTCCTGAAGCACGGCTCGCTGCAGCCTGGCGCGATCCTCCTGCTGAGAACAGGCGGGATGGCGGGAAGGCGGCATGAAGGACACAAAAGAACCAAATAGGACACATACCTAGAGTGGGATGTGTGGAGGATAATGCAAAGTAAGGAGGCCTGGGGTTGCAAACACAATGAGCGCGTGAGGTCTGGAACAGTCTCGATATGGAACAGTGGGGACCTGTGAACTAGCCAATGCGCGCAACATCCGCACACTCCCTCTCCTTTCCTCCCCACACCACACCGCACGGCCGCACCCTCCAACCCCAACCCATCCCTCTCACCCTCTGCTCCTCCTCCTCCTTCCGCTGCCGCTGCTTCCCCGCGGCAACGGGGTACCCCTCCAGGGGCCTTATGTCCAGGGCTGTCGGGCGTCGAGGCCCTAGACCCTGACCCATGGGTCCGGGCGCGGGCCCGCAGCCCAGCTGCCCCAGCCCTGCTCCCTGGCTGGCACCCCGCTGGCCGCTGTGTCTGTCCGGGACGACCGCAGCTGCTGCTGCTGCATGCTGCTGTCGGGAGGGCGCCTGCTGGCCAGCTGCTAGAGGGTCCGGGTCGGCAGGAGCATGGGTTGTGCTGGTAGCAGCAGCAGCAGTAGATATGGTTGCGGGCGCGGTGGTGGCCACCGGAGCAGCGGCAGCAGCAGCAGTAGTCGCGTTGGGCCAGGTGAGGGAGGGCACGTCCGCCTGTGGAGTGGTTCAAAGGCGGGGTTTAGGAGGGTGGATTGTGGGGAGGAGGCAGCAGGTAGCAGCAGGGACGCGGCTTTGGTCCATTAGCTGTCTGCTGCCAGTACCCAACGCAGCTCTCTTCCTTGTAAGCTTTTGGCTTTCCGCGTACCTTGAGGAAGGTCTGCGCGGCAGACAGCAATCCGAGGCCCTCGCTGGCTCCGTTGGGTAACGCGCCCAAGTCGTTGGGGAAGCCTTTGGGCGTGAAGATGGCGCCTGGAGCCGCTGTGGATGTCATCCCATCGGCAACAACGTTTGTGTTGTGCTGCTGGGGCTGGTCGCAAAGCCGGTCAAGGAGCTGGGCTGCCTGGACCGCCGCCTGTACCGCAGCAGTGGCTGCGTTGGCGCTGTCTGAGCCGGGCATGCAGCCCGAGCCATCCGCATCGCTTTCCGCATACTCCCCGAGGAGCTCCTACAGACACATAACACGCAGAGCGTCAAGACGAGGGTATGTACATAGATGTCATTAGGACAACAAAGTATTCGTTCAGCGATGCAGCGGCTACAGCTTGCAGGATACAGAGGGCCGCGGGGTTGAAAAGCTCAGCCACCAAGTCCGCTCGCCTTTACGTGTTTTTGTAGCTCGACTGCTGCTGCATTTAGCCTCTCGAAGCTGAGTCTGGCAGCCTCCGCGCTAGCGTCCAAGTCGCCCTCAGCGACGCTTGCTAAAGTCCGCCACATTTCCCGTGCAATTTATTTTTAAGCATATGCACATAACAAAATGCATAAAGCCGAGCACTGCATGGCATAAAGAATTACTACGTGTCCGACGACAGATAGCTCATCCTAATTCCAGTTCGATATTTTTAGGTGGCATACATCCAGAGGCCATAACTGCAGCAAACACACTTTGTATATGTACGTTCGGCGCAAATAAGCAACTGTCCGGGCGTTGATGCGATATGCTGGACCGCTGATATCGTGTACGGGATGTGTCAACTTGGCACACAGGCGAATGCACACCCTTTTTACAACTGAAAATGTCAAGATACGTTTACCAGATGCTTTTGCAGCAGGTCGACTGGCTGTAACCAACAAATGCTCTGTCGACGCGACCCGACAGACAAGATAACGTTGCCTATAGCAATAATGTTGCAATTGTGAAACACTAGGAGAAATAAACCGCCATGGACGACAGGTCAGTGTCGGCCACTGGCCCACTTTCGTATGTTTCTGGCCTCATCGGTGAAGTCAGTCGGCCCAAGCCTAACGCGTATGCTGCATTTTCTGTTGAGCACGACTGTAGGCTGCAAGATGTGGTCCGGGCGATGCAGCTTGCTCGTGCTGGCTTGCTCCCGGAAGCCCCAAACCATTTACATTCGCGGATGGCTGTACCGCAGCAAGCCGCCGACAAGGTAGGATGTGCCTTGCAACTGTCACCGGACTGCAACACAATGTTGCGGCCGTTCCTCACTCGCTGTCCCCGCATCCTCCGCCTCTCAACCTCTCACTCCATTCCTTACGAAACGAATCTGTCCCTCCCTTCTGCCGTCCCCCCGCTGCCTCCGGGTTCCCTGCACCAGCCCCAACACCCGCCCCAGCCCCTCATACCATCGCTACTTCAGCCGCTGCTGCGCTCACCTGCTGCTGCTGCTGCCGGCCCCAGCTTTCAACAACATCCACAAACCCTGGGCAGCAGCAGTGGCACCCTGGGCAGCAGCCATGGACTCGGACTCGCCGCCGCTTCCTCGCAGGGCGGCTTCGGTGGCTTCGGCGCTGAGCCCACCAAAGCCCTGGAAGGCTCCTGGCCGCAATCCCTCTTGCAACTGCGGCCACCGATGCCACCACCACCACCGCAGCAGCAGCAGCAGCCACAGCCACAGCCGACACAGCAGCTGCAGCAGGGGCTACCCCCACACCAGCAGCACCAGCAGCCACAGCTGCCAGCATGCAGCAGCGGAGATCCCAGCCGACTGGAGCACCCAGAGGCTGCCCTTGGACGGCAAGGCACGCTACAGCACATGCAGCAGCAGCAGCAACAACAGCCACACCAGCATCGGCAAATGGGCTGGCAGCTGTCACTGCAGCAGCAGCAGCCCCTGTCGTGGCTGCAGCAGCAACAGCAACAGCAGCAGCAGCAACAACAAGGGATGTCGTTTCCCCAGGACCTAGCTCCTGTGAGTCCATTTCTGGGGCGTGGGGATGGCGGTCAGGGCGGCATTCCTTTCTTGAGTGGAAGGGAAGGCCGGTCTGAGGACCTGTCGTACCGGTCACCGGCGCCCTTGCTGCTGCTGCAGCCTCATCAGCAGCAGCAACAACAGCAGCAACAGGTGGCGGCAGGCGCGGGGACAACAGCTGCCGGCAGTGATGGTGGCATGGCATGTCTGGTGGCTGCGTTGCTGCAGAGCAGACACCAACACCAACACCAACAGGGTCAACAGCAGCAAGTGATGCAGCAACAACAAGAGAGACAGCTGCAGCAACAACAGCAGCAGCAGCAGCAGCAACAACAACAACAGCAACAGCAGCAGGATGGCTTGCAGTGGCAGCTAGAGCAGCAGCAGGGGCGGCAACAACAAGAGGAGCAGGACTTGAGGCAGCGGCTTCAACAACAGCAGCAGCAGCATTATCAGCAGCAACTCACGGGGCTGGAACAGCAACAACAACACCAACAACAGCTGCAACAACAACAAGACCAGAAGCAACTTAACCAGCAGCAGCAGCAAGAAGAAGGTCACCACCAGCAGCAGCAGCAGCAGCTGTGGCAGCAGCAGCAGCAACTCCAGCAGCTGCAACGCCAACAGCAGCAGTTGCATTTTCGGCAGCAGCAAAGTCAATTCAACCCGCTTCGTTTGCCGCTGCCACTGCCGCAGCGGCCATCCCAGTTATCATCGCCCCTGCAGCAGCAACACCGTCACCACCAGCAGCAACACCACCACCAGCAGCACCAACCTCCGGCCTCGCTAGCCGGAACAACCTCAGTCGGAGTCCGGAGCGGCGGCGATGGAAGCAAGAACCGAGGGGCTGATGCGATTGACCTGACGGCGGAGGACGACGACGAGGAGGGTTCGGAGCCCCATGGTGCTGGAGCCCCGGGACGTGTTGGGGCCGGTGTAGGGCCCAAGAGGAGGCTGGCGTCCTCGCTTCCACCAGGTGAGATAGGGAGGAGGAGAAAAGGGGATATGTGGGGCAGAGTCTCTGGCAAGCCTTTGATCCACCCTAGAAGCATTCCAAAGAGCAGCGGTATCGGTAGTAAGGGCGGTGCGGTGCGGCGCGAAGGAAGTACGATACGAAGCAAAGCAAGCATGTCCCCATTGCTCGCTGCTCTTCTTGCACCTAACCCCTCCTCCTCCCATCGCCCGACTCCCGCCCCTCAGACTCCCCCGCAGCCAAACGCCTCGCTACGGCGGCTGGATCCCCAGCCCAGCAGCGGCACCAGGACCCAACACAGCAGCCCCCACAGCAACACAGCCAACAACAGCAACCATACCAACCACAACCGCAGCAGCAGCAGCACCCACAACAGGCCCAGCCCCCACAGCAGCCCCAGGCCCCACCGCTGCAGCAGTCGGCTCCAGGTCCGCTGGAGCTGCTGATGCGGGAGCGGCTGGCGCTCATCCGCAGCCGACTGTTGGAGGGAACCCTGCCCTTGGTAGCGATGATGATGAACAACAATCCTGCAGTGAACAACACAGATGCTAATGGCAACAGCAGCAGCAGCAGGGGCGGCGTTGCTGACATACATGGCAACGGCAGCCGCAGTGCCCATGAGCCAATGAGGACTAAGGGTGAAGCAGCAGGAGTCGCCGATAACAACGGCACTCATGGCAGCATTAACAATTTTGGCGGTAGCACTATTAGCCGTGCGGCATCACTGTCAGCAGCAGCAGCAGCAGCAGCAGCAGCAGGCGGCGGGCCGCAGGCGGCTGCATTACGGCCCATGAACGCGGAGGAGAGGGCGCAGCTTGAACGGCTTGCAGCAAAGCTGGAACGCCAGCTAAAGGCGTTGGAAGACCAACGAATTGAGCAGCAACAGCAAGAACAGCAACAACTTCTGTCGATCCGTCATCAACGGCAACAGCAGCAACAAGGAGAGCTACAGGCGATGGGCCGCCTTACTGTGCCTTCATTTTCGTTGTTGCCGCAAGGGCACCAGCGCCCAATGAATCATAACCACTGTCATCAGACGTTGCAGACGCTGCAATCACGTACAAGTACGGAGGCAGCCATGGGGCCATCCCTGACGCACGCCGGTCCTGCCCCAGCTCCCGCTGCTGCTGCTGCTGCTGCTGCTGCTCCCGCTGCTGCTGCTGCTGTTGCTGCCCCCGCTGCTCCTGCTGCCGCGGTTGTGACTGGCAGCAGCGGCGCGGTGATGAGCAATGGCGGCGGCGGGGGAAGCGGCAGCGGCAGCGGCCCGGGGAGGAGCGTGGTGACGGGCTTTCGGCTGGTACGTGTATGGGTACATGCCGCATCACACGTTGCATTTAACAAAGGCACCTATGAACATGAGCAGTATCATGCACAAGTCATTCGACCCCACTTATCGTATTGAATGGTAAGCAAAACGCCTTGCTCCTTTCCTAGTTGCTGTCCGTCCGTTCAATACAGCATACCTGCATCCCTCTCCAGTCACCCCGTTTGCTGGGCCCCCCTACGCCCCTTCCGCAGGGCTCCCTCAGCCGCAACGACACGGCAGCTGTATGCCGCTCCGGCTCCTCCACACGACCGGCACACACCAGCTCTGCTGCTAAGGGCTCTGCTTCCAAGAGCAGCAGCAGCGGCCTCAGCAGACAAGCTAGCATGCAGCAGCTGCCGCCGCCGATAACGACGGGTCCTACTGCTGCTGGCGCCGCTGCCGCCGGCACGAACACCACGGGTACGGGGCTCAAGGGGCCGCCCGGTGGTTCGTTGGGAGCAGGACTCAGCGGATTGACGGGGGGAGCGGCGACGGTTGGTGGCGGCGGCGGGAGGGATGGCGGCCCCGCGCGAGGTAGGGTGGGAGGCAGTTGGGAGGCGGTTTGCCTGTCGGGAGATGGCTGGTGTTTAGTTACTCATACCGAGCCTTACGCCCAACGTCGAGCAAGTCAAAGCGCTCATACCGGTACGTCGAAGCCCCATCTTAACATTCGCCTCTTGCCTCCCGCTCCCCGTTTCCCGCCGGGACCGTCCCATGGGTCGTTCTGCACCAGTCACTGAGCACCAGCAGGCGCTGAAGGCGGTGATGGAGAGCCTGCAGGTCAGCGGAGACGAGGAGCTGGAGCCGCCGCCGGTGAGCAAGGGGAGCAGGGCAGGGTGCACGGGAACAAGGCACGGTGCACGGGAGGAAGAAATGCATGGGCGCATGGGGGCCGTGCCCAGGGAAGGAAACCTCAGCTCTTGGGACGCTATAGGGCGCTAGGGTGCAGAGCCGCTTTGGGCGATGACCCACGGGTCGTATTAGGTGTGCTGTTTTAGCGCACTAGCCTTCTTTATACACGCGCGTGCCTGGTTCCCCGCACCTTCTGAGGCTACCTTATCTCCAACTGTGTGTGTTTCATCTCCACTGCCTCTGTCGCGTCCCCCGTCGCCCCCGCCGCTGCCGCCACAGCGAACGCTGCAAGTGTCGGTGCTACGACACCAGCGAATGGCGCTGGCGTGGATGTTGCGCCGAGAGACCCGTGGGTCACAGCCCCGCGGCGGCATCCTGGCGGACGATCAGGGCCTGGGCAAGACGGTGACCACCATCTCCCTCATCGTCACGCACACAAACCTCCAAGCGGAGGAGGAAGCGGCGGAGGGAGAGCAACAGGGAGGAGGTAGGCGTCAGCAGCAACAGCAGCAGCGAAGGCTTCAGGAAATACAGAAGCTGAAGGCGCTGGCAGACCACCTGGGGCAGCAACAGCAACAACAGCAGCAGCAGGTGCAGCAGCAGCAGCAAGGGGAGGGGAAAGGGGATGCCGGGGGCGTCATGGCGGGCGAGGGCGAGGAGCAGGAGGAGGAGGAGGGCGAGGAGGATGTGGACGAGGCAGGGGTGCGGCTGGGCGCACTTCGGGCGGAACGAGCGGCGGCGGCGGCAGAGGCGGCGGTGGCGGCGGCGGGCGCTGCTGTCGACATGACAGCAGCGGAGGCTGGCGGCGGTGGCGGCGGAGGCAGCAATCCGGTCGTGGTCACGGAGGAAGGGAAGGATGCCGTACGAGCGTCTGCTGCCGCCGCCGCCACCGCCGCCGCCGCTGCCGTACGGCAACCGCCGATGTACATCGACCTTCTAGACGATGACAGCGAGCAACAACCCACGGCGGCGACGCTGCTACCGTTGTCGTCAGGGTTGCTTCCGACCGGGTCTGTCGTCGTTAAGGCCGCCGCCACTGCCGCCAACGCCGCCTCCTTGCCCGCTACGGCCGCCGGCAGTCTACGTCGGCTAGCCTCCGCCAACCTCGCCGCCTCCGCCGCCGCCGCCGCCGCTGCTGCTGCTGCCGCTACTATCTCGACACCTTCACCCACTCCTGCACTCCTTCCGCACCCCGCGACTAACAGTAACCGACTCATAACGACCACGGCTTCTCCCGCCAACGGCCTAACGTCACCATCACCGTCGTCGCCGCCTTCCGCAGCTGCGGTTGCAGCAGCGGCGCAACCGAAGCCAAAGCCCTCTCCATCCTCATCCTCGTACGGGCTAGATCCAGATCCTCCCAACCTCCTCCCGGGCGGAACCCTAGTCGTCTGTCCAACTTCCGTACTGCACCAATGGGCCCGTGAAATCCGTGACAAGGTCTCCCCTGCCGTAGGACTTGTCGTACATGTATACCACGGCAAAGATCGCGTCAGTACGGCACGACAGTTGGCGGAGATGGGTGTCGTACTCACAACGTACGGCACCCTGGCTCAGGAGGCTCCCAGCGCGGAGAAACAGGCGGTGCGTTTGTCGCGGCAGGGCACCAGCAACGCGCCCATAAACCTTGCGGCGGACGATGACAGCGGCGGAGAGGAGGGGCAGGTGCCGTACGGCGGCGGGAAGGAGAAGGGCGGGGCTGGTGGTAAGGCCGTGGCGGCGGGGTTGGCGGGGTCTGCACTTGCCTTCCCGCGAGGTGGTGGTGGAGGAGGAGGCAAGGGCGGCTCAGCCGCAGCCGGGGCAGCTGGGGGCGGTCCGCTGTACCAGATCAAGTGGAAGCGGTGGGTGCGGGGAGTTGGGTGGGTGGAGGCGGTGGGTGGAGGCGGTGGGTCGGGTGTGAGCTGAGGCTGAGGCGAGGGGAGGCATGAGAGGGAGGGGAAGGGAAGGAGGCGGGACGAGGCCCCTGCCCGCTGGTTTTTCCTCTCTCTCTCTCCCCCTTTGTCTTGTCATCCTTGTTACGGTACCGGTTCTTTCCTCTTTACCCCCTCCCCTTTTACCTCCCACCACACCCTCCCCCCCTTCAACAGTGTGGTCCTGGACGAGGCCCAGTCCATTAAGAACCCGCGCACCCTGGCTGCGCGGGCCGCCTGGCGCCTGGCCGCACACTGCCGCTGGTGCCTCAGCGGCACACCCATTCAGAACTCCGTGGATGACCTGTACTCCTACTTCAGGTGGGCTGGCGGGGGGGGGGGGGGCGGGGGGCGGGGGGCCGGGGGGGGCATGACGTATTAGGGGTTAAAAGTAAGGAAACGGACGAGCTGTATGACGACGATCGTGCATGGGGGTGAATTGGGTGTGATTTTATACATGTGGCTGTAGCCGGGGTTGGGCGACTTATTGTGCTTCCAATTGGGGTATTTCCAGGAGGGGGCTTGCTTGGGCTGGAGTAGGCGGGAAAGTAGGGATAAGCCTAGGGCCCTAGGGACTGTTACCGGTGGGTTTGAGGCGTCACACGCAGCCCCGCTGCCGCTACCCTCCATTCCAAGGTTTCCAAGATTTCCAACACCCTTCCCCCCCGCCGGTATGGTCTTTGACCCCCCCGCCCCAGGTTCCTGCGCTACACGCCCTACTGTGAGGCGCGCTCTTTCAAGCAGCTTATCAAGGGCAAGATTGCGGAGCGACCCGAGATTGGATTCAAATTCCTGCAGGCCGTACTGCAGGTGGGTAGGGGGGGCGGAGGATGAGGGGGGCGCATTGGGGTTGGCGCGGACGGCACGGATTGACGGCACGCTGACTCCCTGCTCACTGACCCATGGGTCGCACAGGGAATGCTGCAGCTAGGTGGGGCGGGGACATGGGAAAGCCTGAAGGCGGTTGAAGGTGGTCGAACACCCTCTGCTGTCGCACGGACTGACTGACCCGTGGGTCACCCCTCCCCTCCCCATCCCGCCCACCTTCCCCCAGGCCGTGCTGCTGCGTCGCACCAAGCAGACCACCCTGCAGGGCGAGCCCATCATCCGCCTGCCGCCCCGCCAGCAGCAGTTGCTGAGGGAGCAGTTCTCCGCCGGGGAGGCGGCAGTGTATAATCAGGTTGGGGCGGGGAGGGGCAGAGGGCTGCGTGTGTGTTTGTGTGTTTTATGTGTACGGCAATGCATTGTCGGTAAACGTGTGCGGCTGCGTGTGCGTCTATCCTGCCGGTAGTCATATGCTTATCGAAGTATAAACTGTCTAAGCATAAGTAGTCACATATGCATGTCTAACAAGTATAAACGGCTTATACTATGAAACTGCGAATGGCTCATTAAATCAGTTATAGTATATGCCTAATGTTACCTACTTCTTCCATACCCGAACTCTAGAGCTAGTAACGTACATGCCCACAACCCGACGTTTGGAAGGGTGTCTCCTTCCTCCCACTTATCTCCCTTTCTCCCACTTATCTCCCTTCCTCCCCTCTTCTCACCCTCCCTTCCTCCCCTCACCCTCCCTTCCTCCTCCTCACCCCTCCCGCCGCAGGTCCAGTCCGACTCGCTTCGCTCCCTGGCTGCCGTACGCGAGGGTGGCGGCAGCTCCGGCCGCCAATTCGTCAACATGCTCCACTCGCTGCTGCGGCTGCGGCAGGCGTGCAACCACCCTTGGCTGCTGCGGGGCGGCAGGAGCGTGTGGTTCCGGAGCGGTGAGGGGGGGGATTCTGGAGCGGTGAGGCAAGAAAGGAAAAGACACGAAACAAAAAGACCATGTTTGTAGCGGGCGAGGCAGCGGGGCTGATGGGGATCCGCAACCATGTCAATGCCCCCGCCAAAAACAACACCTCTGTGCACGCAGGTACCGCCAGTGCTGCTGAGGTGGAGGCAGCCCGGCGCCTGAGTCCTGAGACCCGTGCCGCCCTGCTGGCGTCCCTGGTGACCCGTGGGTCACCTGGTGGCGGCGCAGTGGGCCCTGCTGCTCCCCCTGCTGCTGCTGCTGCTGCTGCTGCTGCTGGCACCGGCGCCGGCATCAACCCCAGCTTGGGAACACCGCTGGGGCAGCTGCCCCACGAGCAACACGAAGGACAACAACAACAGCTAGGTTCGCAACCCCAGCAACAACCCCAGCAGCAGCAGCAGCCGTTGCTGCTGCCCAGCCCCTGCCCCTGCTGTGGCGACATAGCCGAGGACCCCGTCGCCTCCACCTGCGGCCACGTCTTCTGCGCGCAATGTCTTGCAGCGCAGCGGGAGGGAACCGCAGTAGAGGGGGAGCTGCTGTGTCCCGCATGCAGCCGACTGCTGAGGCCCGGGGACCTACATAGCGCGGCGGCGCTAGCAGCAGCGGACCCCGCCGCGGCGGCAGCCGCGGGGATCGGCGGCGGCGGCGGGGGCAGCGGCGGCGGTAAAGGCGGCGGTAACAGCGCGAGTGATGAACCATGGGTCAGTAGCGCCAAAGTGGACCGGCTCATGGCGCTACTAGAGGGCATACGCGCGAAGAATGCGGCGGCGGCGAAGGCGGCGGCGGCTGGCGCCGCCGCCGCCGCTGCCGCCGCAAACCCCCTCGCCGTCAAGTCCAAGTCTGACAAACGCATGGCTGGAGCGCTGAGAAAGCTGCCGCCTCTGACGTCAGCACCGGCGGCGGCTGCCGGCGGCGGCGGCGGTGGCTCCGCTGCCGTACACCAACCGCCGCCTGACAAAGTGATTGTGTTCAGTCAGTGGACGGGTATGTTGGATTTGTTGGAGATACCGCTCAAGCGGGCCAAGCTGGCTTTCCGCAGGCTGGACGGCACAATGAGTGTGGCTCACAGGGAGCGGGCGATTTCGGACTTCGAGCGGCGGCCGGATGTGTTGGTGCTTCTGGTGAGGCGGGGTGAAGGGGCTGAAGGGGGGCGAAGCGGGGACCTTTCGGGGGGCATGCTTTCCTGTTCACCCAACCACCGGCCCCCTCACCGTCACCATTACCGCCACCAACACCACTGTACATACTGCGTTGGCGCCGCAGCCATAGGCGTACCGTTATCTCTGGACTTCGGTGGGTACCGTACCTCCCACGCCGCCTCATCCTCCTCCCCATTGTTTTGCCCTAACCTGTGGTTTCCTATGGTTCGGTATGGTCTTTGACCCCCACCCCCCACTCCCCCCCCAGCTCTCCCTCAAGGCCGCCGCCCTGGGAGTCAACCTCACCGCCGCCAACCACGTGGTGCTTCTGGACCTGTGGTGGAACCCCACCACGGAGGAGCAGGCCATCGACCGGGCGCACAGGATAGGTGGGGGGGGATGGTTGAGGAGGTGCATGGGACAAGTGGGGGGACAGCTGCGTTGTAAAGTGTGTGCGGCGAGTGAGGAGTGCTGGGTTGAGAGGAGCTGCCGCTGGGGGCTCCTCCCTCTCCTGCTGTGGCTGGTTTCCATTACACCCTCTCCTGCTGGTTCTGCCGATCTTTCCTCCCTCCCCTCCCCTATCTGTCGTTCCCAGCATCACGGCATCCTTCCTCCTTCTCCCTCCCCCACTCCTTCCCTCCCCCCTTGGGACACCGGTTGCTTCACTTTTCACACATTCTTTTCCTTCCTTCCCCCCCCCCCTCTGCAGGCCAGACCCGGCCCGTTCAGGTCACCCGCATCACCATCTCTGGCAGTGTGGAAGAGCGCATCCTGGCGCTGCAGGCAGCCAAACGGCAGCTGGTGGCGGCGGCGCTGAGCGGGGGCGGGGAGGAGGAGGGCGGGGGCGGTGGGGGGCAGGCGGGGGCCGGGGGGGCGGCGGGGCGGTTGAGCCTGGAGGACCTGAGGTTCCTATTCCAGGGGCTAGCGGGTTAAGAGGCGGGGGCGGGGGCACGGATGGGAAAGAGGGGAGGAGGTAAAAATAAGGAAAACTGACGAACTGGATGACGAGGCTTCTCCATGGGTTGCGAAGGGGGGAGGAGGGGGAGGGAAGAGATGGACGGGAGGGAGAATGGCGGGGGAGAAGGCAATGTGACGGCGGGGCTGTTTGACGGAGGGGTTGGGGCTGCAGCAGGGTAGCCACTTACTCATCTGTGGGTGGGGATTGCCGGATTGGGATTTGGGGATGGTGGTGGTGTGTTAAGATAAGAAAAGTGGCCGCGAAGAGAAACACCGTACTGGGTGTCTGGCGGTGTGTGTATGGCGGTGTGTACGGGGCTAAGAACGGGCCTCCCAACCTGCATGGGACACCGTGCAATGCATTGCTCTTTGCTCACGGTACAGTAGATGCCTTGTGACGGCCTCAGTGCCAACACCACCAGCACCAGCCATCACCAGCTGTGCTCTCCCTGTGGCTGTTTGAGCGCGTACAACACCATACCGGTACAGCTCAGCCTTGCACAGCTCAGCCTTGCATGCAGGAGTGCAGAGATGGGGGCGGAGTCCGTGAGCCGATGTAACCCTCTTTAAGAAACACCAAATCCTCTTTTCTCATTTTGGATCTGGTTGTTAGTCCTACACGTTGCATAGTCCTCCGGTAGACCGAGACAGCAGTCCGGTAGACCGAACAGGAGGGCCATGCAAAGGAAAGAACAGTCGGAGCACAGCCTGGCACACGCTCATGCACACGCTCACACTCACAGCAGCAGTGTCTAGGAGCCTACGATATCTTCTTAAAGATCTACAAAGGGGGCCTTGACACACGTGTGTTGACAGCGCCCCTATCGCCATGCATCGCTGTCGTACTGCTCGCCCGTCGTACTGCTTGTGAGTGATGATGAAGAAGAAGACGAATCGTCGTTTATGATCTTGGGTGGTTCGGGCGGCGGCAGCGACCCGTAATCCACATCTTGCACCCCCTGCGGATCACCGAGACAACATTGCAGCGACGTAAGTCGTCGTGTCCAGCGTCGCAATAGCAATAGCGTTACAAAAGGCGACACAGCGGTCAAGCTGCCGCAACCATACTCTCCCTGCTGTCTCCGCGTACCCTCCCCACCTCCCGCCCCTCACCCCCTCCCCCCTCCCCGCCCACCTTCAACTCCGCTAGGTGTGTGTTTATCTGCCCGGCTAACCAGAGCTGCTCCACCGGCTCCAACCCCTCGCCGAACCGGTGCCTGCCAGCAGCAGCGGCAGCGGAGGGAGGAGAGACAGCGGAGAGGGAGGAGGAAAGATAAATGAGAAATGAAGCAGCGGAGGGAGGAGTGAGCGGAGAGAGGGTAAGAGCGGGTTGGGGAAAGCGGTTGCGCCCGAGGAAATCAGCGGGTGCGGGGAGCTTGGCCTCCACCTGCTGCACAGCCCTGCCTCCCACCAGCGCCCATGCAAACCCAACCTTGTCGAACAGCCCGTCAGCTCCCTCTTTTCCCCCTCCCTCCCCTCCCCTCCCTCCCCCGCCCCCGCACCTGTTGACCCCCTCCACCAGCTCCACTGCCGTCTGCGGCTCGCCATTCACAATCGCCGTCGTCACCACTCTCGCCGCCTCCAGCTCCCCCGTAACCCCCTCCACCACCCTCTCCCCCACTCGCCCTCCCCCTCCTCCTCCTTCCCTCTCCTCCTCCCCCCAATCCGCCCTCCCATCCCCACTCAACAACGCCAGCCGCCGTCCTAACCGCCACTTCCTGCGCCCCACGCCCAGTCTCTCACGCATGAGTGCGCCCCCCAACACCCCCTGTGCGAGTTGCCAGCCGGCTACCCAGAAGGGAGCGGAGAAGGCTGCGAACAGCAGGCCGCCGGACGCGATCGCGCCCACCGTCCAAACGGCCACGAAGGCGTTCCATGCGAGGGCAAAGGTGCCTGTTAGGGCAATGTCGGTGGTTAGGCCCTGCGAGGGGGAGGGAGGGAGTGGGAGAAACGGGATTAAAGGCTGGGAGGAGGGAGGGTAAGGAGGGAAGGGAGGAGAGAGAAGACGGGGAAGGATACGGGGATGGAGGGGGGTGTGAAGGTGCGAGGAAAGCAGGGCGGGGAGGCTGGGAGGAGGAAAGGGTGGGGGCTGCAGGTGGTGACTTGGTAGTATTGGGTATTCTTCGTTTCCCTCCCTCCTACCTTGGGCGGTATGATCACCTCCAGTCGCCCCCCACTGCGCTGCAGCTGCACTCGGGTACCAGCGGGGCGGGCGGGAGGGGCGGGCAGGGGGGCCGGGGCGGTGGACAGGGTGGAGGTAGCGGAGGAGGTGGCGGCTGATTGGAGGTAGGAGGAGGGTGACGTGGCGAGCTCGGTTGCTGCCTGAGGTAGAGGGGCGGTGGAGGAGGAGGAGGGGGAGAGAGGCGAGGCGGGAGGAAGAGAGGGAGAGAGGGAGGGAGCGGAGGGTGGGCGAGCAATGGGAACGGCGGTGATGGTGGTGATAGTGGACGGACACGCCATCCACCTCAGCTGCCCTCCCTTCCCGTCCCTTCTCTTCAACCATCAACCTCCCCCAACGTCCAATGTGCTCACTGCATGAGTCGGGATATGGGATTGGGACTTGTTGTTTCACTTATATAATTTTCCCCCAACGTCCCCAACGTCAGCAGCAGCGCCCCCCCCCCCCCGCCCAAGCACAAGCACCCAAACACCCCCTCCACCCACCCGTCTGCGGTTGAAGCCGCTGCGGGAGGACCTGCTGGTGGGGCCCTGCGGCTCCTCGCCCTGGGGGTAGGAGGAGGGTAGGTAAGGAGGGAGGCAAGGAGGGGGGTGCGGAGGAGGGTTAAGATGGGGGTTAACGTGGGGGGTTAAGGGATTCTTAAGAAGCAGCAGGGGAACAGCCAGCAGAGCCGACGACGGTTGGTGCATGTCTTTACCCACCGGGCCCCCCACCCCCATCCACCCCACCTGCAGCAGCAGTCTCCTCGCCTCCTGCGCCGTCAACCGCTCCTCTGCTAGGGGCTCCAGCAACCCGTCCAGCAGCGCACCCAGACGGGAGGAGGGAGGGGCCAGACGGGAGGCAGCGGACGAGGAGGAGGAGGAGGATGCCGAGGGGTTGAAGGCGGAGCGCCAGGCGATGCGCATGCGCTCTTGGGGGAAGGCGGAGGGCGGTTGACCTGGGAGGAGTGGAGGAGGAACAGGTGGAGGAAACAGAGGGAGGACTGACCCATGGGTCTCTACCTACACAGAGGGAGGACTGACCCATTGGTCTCTACCTACACAGAGGGAGGACTGACCCATGGGTCGCTATATACCTACATACATCCCCACCAAACCCCCCCCCACCTGTCACCAGGTGCAGCAGGGTGGCCCCCAGGCCGTACAGGTCGCTGGCGGGCTCGGCGGCACCCCGGAACTGCTCGGGGGCCTGGGCGTGTGTGTATGGGGGAGAGATGGGGGGGCAGAGGAGGGGGATAGAGGGGGGAAGAGGGGGTTAGTTGTGTATCGGTTTGTGGTTGTGTAGAGGCGGGAGGGGTGGTGTCACCGCTGCTGCTGCCCTAGGCCGGCGGACTGGGGGACAACGAATTCAATGATACCAGTAAGTGCCGTGTATGTGTATGTTCCCCAAGCATGTTCCCCACCCCCCACCATGTATCCGTACGTCCCCACGATGGTGCTGCCCAGACCCGCCAGCTCCCCCGCGGAGGCTGCGGCCTGGGGTGGGGAGGGGTTTGCAGGGGGGGTTTGCAGGGGGGGGAGGGGGGGTTGAAGGGCTGTGGAGGTGGTGGTAGGGTTTGGATGGAGGTGGGGGAGGTAGGGACAGCGGGCCAAGATCGTGATGTAACAAGAAGAGGGTGATGCCAGGAGTGGGGACAGAAGGTGGTGGCTGCCAGAAGGACATGGCTAGGACCCCCTTACCTGCACCCCTCTCCCCTTCCCTTCCCTCCCCCCTCCTCCCTCACCTGCACCCCCCCGAAGTCCACCCCCCTCACCTGCACCCCCCCGAAGTCCACCCCCCCTCACCTGCACCCCCCCGAAGTCCACCCTCCTCACCTGCACCCCCCCAAAGTCCACCAACCTCACCCCGCCGCCCCAGCAGCCGCCCTCCAGGATGATGTTGTCCGGCTTCACATCCTGGGGGGGGGGGGGCAGGGAGAGGTTCAGTGAAGTTGCATGGGGACATGGGTGCGGGGCGAGAGGGAGGAGGGCTTGGCGAAGCGGGTTGCAGGGGCTGTGTGACACAGGGGCTGTGGGTTTTAGGGTATTTTGTTCCCCCCACCCCCCTCACCCGGTGTATGACGGGCGGCCGCAGCCCCCCCAGGTACTCCAACACGTCCAACAGCTCCCCCGCGATACGCAACACCTGGGGGGGGGCGGGGGGAGGAAGGTAGGGAGGGAGTGGCAGAAGAGGGTTGCCGAAAGGTAAAGGAAGCGGCAGGGGTAGACGGGGTGAACAGCAACACAGGGGGTGAACACAGGGGTGGCGGCATGCGGCTGAACCAAAGTGCGGTGGTGGTGGTGCTGCTGCTGCAAGGCTTGGAAAGCCCGGGGAGCAGAGGGGGGCGGGGGAGGGCATGGTAGGCATCCCGGGACCGTGCGGGGGTGCGGGCGGGTGAACGGGACGTTGCATGGCTCGACAGCGAGCAGGCATGTCGGCAGCCTGGCAGCGAGCAGGCGGTTCAACTAACGGTGCCCCCCCGCGGCTCAGCTTACCTAATCCCCCTGCGTGCCCTTCCAACCACCCCACCACCCCACCCTTCCAACCACCCCGCCCCCCACCTCCGCCTCGCTAGCCCGCATGCCCTCCCGCAACATGGCTGCAAGCGACTTGCCCTCCACCACCTCCTGCGGGCGGGGGGGAGGCGGGGGGGGGGGCAGGGGAGGGATGGGGGGCAGTGAGGGGAGACATGCAGAAGAGGCAGATGGGAGGGGAGCAGTGCCGAGGCAGAGGCGGAGGGGGGTTCCTGGTGGCAGGCAGGCAGGCTGGCAGGCCGCCGGTTTCCGGGGAGGACCTCCTCCCTCCTCCGCCTCACCTGCCGCTGCTTTATTCACCCCTTCTCTCCTCTCCCCCTCCCCTCCTCCCCCCCCTCACCTGCACCAGCACGAACAGCCGGTCCTCGGGCGTGTCCTCCTCCAAGTACCCCAGGCAGCGCGGCACCCCCGGGTGGTTCAGACCCGCCAGCACACCGGCCTCGCGTTGCAGCAGCCCCAGCGCCTTCCACTCGCGCAGGCCGCGCAGGGAGAGACACTTGAGCGCGACGGGGGAGCCGTCGGGGCGCAGGGCCTGCAGAGGGGGGGAGATGCGGGGGAGGGAAGGAGGGAGGGAGGGAGGGAGGGAGGCCCAATGTGTTGGATGAGGATGGTACCGGTAAGCTAGGCGACAAGCTTGAAGGAGGGGAAGGGAAGGAAGGGGGGCAGAGAGGGTTGAGGGGAGGAAAGGTGTGGGTGCGTGCGCCGCTAGAGAGGCATACCGTGGGGAGTATGTGTAGCGTAAGGGGTGGCTGTGACAAGCTGGCGGAGAGGGTTGTGCATTAGGGCTCACACGAGCTGCGCTGCAAGCAGAGCTGGGGCCCCACCCACCCGGTACGCCACTGCGTTGCTACCCGCCCCCAGCACCTCCGCTATGGTGTATTTGCCGCCTGCTAGGACACGACCCGGCTGCAGCGGGGCAGCTGATGGGGGCGGGGAGGTGGCAGGGAGGTGGGAGGGAGGTGGCAGGGGGCCCGAGCGGGTTGGGGGGGTGGGACGGGGTTTGGTTGACATGGCGGGCGGAGCAGCAGCAGCGCCGCAGGAGTGAGTGGGCGTGGATGAGTGCGAACGCGGGCTCACCTACTCCAGGGGGGCCTTGCCAACCCCGGTTGCCATCGTGGTCGCTGTTGCTGTTGCCATAGCTGTTGCTTCTTGAAAAGTCAGCAGTCTGTGTGGCTTGTTGTTGTTGCTGCTGCTGCTGCTGTGGTAGTTGTTGTTGTGGCAGCAAGGCAGGTGCGGGGCTGGGAGCTGGCACATCGGCATCCGCGGTAGCTGCGGTGGCTTCAGCTGCTGCGGTGGCGGCCGCGAGGAGCCCGGGGTCAGCGAACACGGCTTCTCGAGGGGGAGGAGGAGGAGGTGATTGAGGGGAGGGAGCGGGGCCGGGGCTGGGTCTGCTGCCGTGGGCATCGGCGTGCATGGAGACATGGCGAGGATGAGCGACTGCTGGAGGCGGTGAAAGGGAGGGCGTAATGGCTTCACCTCAGCTAACAGCTCTTTATTAAATGGGGAAATTATAATTGTGGGCATTAGGTAGAGGCCTAGTAGACGGCTTAAGTGCAAGCAATGACGCAGCATCTAGGAAGTAATTCCTTCAGCGATTCGCATCAAGCTGTTACATACCTTTCGCCCAGCGCTGAGCCCTGAAGCCTGCTAGCTGCTGAGATCTGGCAGCGCACGGCGCCAGGTGGCATCTGCTAACGCCATTGGAAGCTACGCGCCGACCCAAATGTTGCTTTCGGCCAAGCTGCATAACCGGACAAAGTACTTTGCTGCAGGTAGGGACAAAATAGAAGCGAGTTGCAAGGAATGTTGCGAGGAATCAGTTCGCTGCCAATCTTTTCAACCAGCACCTTTGCGTATAAAAACAACACTTAAAGCTGAGTGCAAAGAAAGTTGGCAAATTGAAATGCGTAAGCTGGCGCTAACTGCTGATGTCAACTTCCGGCCTTGCCGTACAGGGCGGGAAACCAACGGAAAGAGAACCTAGCTCAACAGGGGCGGCTGCGCCCACGTGTTGTGTACATATATTCTGGTTCATCTAAGTTTGAAGGCCGAGTCTACACCGCCTACGCTTCCTAGCTTCCAAGCCCAGAGCCCACAGCGCTCCCACCCGTCGCCCAGCTGCAACCTGGCATGTTACATATAAGCCCCAGCAGGCGCCAGGCCCAAATGTGGGACTACAGCGCTTGGTCAGGTAACACCTAGCCTAGCGTAAACATAACACCATCCGGTCCTTATGTTGATAATCACCACTTTTATTACATTCGCACCGCTCCCTCGCTTCGCTGCCCTTCCCGCCTCACACCCTCTCCTCCACCCCTCTCACTCCCTCTCCTCCTACCTCCCTCCGCCTCACACCCTTTCCTCCTCCCCCTCCAGTAGTCCCCCCGCCAGCTGCCCCCGCCGCGGCAGTCCGCCCCGCGCCCCCAGTGCCGTACACTTGCAGCCCGCCACCACCGCCGCCAGCCGCAGCGCGCCAGGCAGGGGCATGCGGGTGGCGATGCCGTACAACATGGAGCCGATGAAGGAGTCGCCCGCACCCGTGGTATCCACCACCGCAGACTGTAGTGGGGGGGGAGGGGAGAAAAATATAGTGCATTAACGGAGTCCCAATCCCGAATCCCGACTCATGCAGGGGGGGAAATTATAAATAAGTGCAACAACACAATCCCATGCAGGGGGGGGAGGAGGGGAGAGGGGAGGGGAAAATGGAGAGGGGGAAAAGAGGAAGAACCATGCGTTGAGTGGTACTGGCGACATTGGAAGGGGCGTGATGGAAGGAAGGGACGTGACGGGAGGAAGGGGAAGCGGCAGACCACCCCTACCTTGGGCATGCGAGCGATCGACGCCAGCGTCACCCGAGCCACCAACGCCTCCTCCTCCTCCGTATCACCACCAGCAGCACCCGCCATTGAGGGGGCAGCACCCTCCGAGGCTGCTGCCGTTGCGTTTGTGTCGCTGTTACTGCTGCTGCTAGCACTACTGCTGCTGCTGCTGCTGCTAGTGTTTGTGGGCGCTGCTGCTGCTGCTGCTGCAGTCCCCGCCAGGTACCTGGCTGCCCCCGCTGAGTCCGCATTGAGGGCGGCTGCTCGAGCTGCGGCTAGGTGGGCTGCATGGGCGGCTCGGGAGGGGTCCCTGCGAGGAGGAGGGGGGAGGAAATGGTGCCGAGAAGGCAGAGAGTGAGCGGTGGGAGGGAGGGAGGGAGGAAGGGAGTGAAACACGAAGCAGTGAACCGCCTCTTCACCAAACCCTTGGCCCCACCCTGTTCAACCCCCTGGATACTTCCTGTCCTCCACCCCGCTCCACCTTCCCCTCCCGCTGCCCCTCATCCTCCCTTTCCTCCTAGTCCCGCCGCTTCCTCACCTGCTTCCCGCGTACCCCAACCGCACGAAGCCCTCCGTCGTCGCCACCCGACCCGCACCGATTCGCACCCCCGAGCTGCTCACACACACCACCGCCGGCTCCGCTGCTCCTGCTGCTGCTGCTGTTCCTGCTGTTATCTCTCCCTCTCCCCCTCCCTCGCCCACTGTTACCCCCTCTGCTACAGCTTCAGCCTCCACCTGCGCTCGCAACTCCCGCTCTACAAGCTCTTCTAGGGTTACTTCACGCAGAGGCGCATCACCGCCGACCCATGGGTCATCGGCGCCCTCCCCTGCTGCTTGTTGTAGTTCTGGTTCCTGCTGCTGCTGCTGCTGAGATGGTAATGCTGCTGGCCCCTCTGTTCCCGGCCTCCTGCTCCCGTCCCTCCCCCTCCCCCTCCTCCGCTCCAGCATCAGCGCCCCCCTTGAGCCCAGAGTGGTCACCAGCCAGCGCACGTGCGGCAGGCGCTGGAAGGTGGACAGCACCGCATCACAGTGCCAGGACTCGCCTGCAGGGGGAGGGTGGAAACAACTAACGAACCGTGTCATAAGGGTTCATCGTAGGTTGCAACATGTGAGCTAGCCCGAAGGGGGCGGGCGAGTGTTTATCAAGGAGAAACCGCCTTGTACAAGTGCAAGACGCAGGAGGCGCCTGCCGGCCGGTTTAATTTCGCCTCGCCCCCCACCCCCACCCGTCCAGTCCCCCGGGTTTGCCACCACCCTCCCACCTCCTCGCCACCCCCCCACCCGTCCAGTCGCGCGGGAAGTGCTCCGAGGTAACCACCCAGGTGGCCTCCGCCAGCAACGACTCCAGACCGGGACGCAGCCGCTCAGCCTCCACCAGCACCTGGGGGGAGGGGGAGGGGGAGGGGGGCGGGGGGAGGTCATAACCCACCATAAAACACACACACGCATGTACGCATATACGGCAGCCCCCTTCCCTTCTTCCCTACCTCCCCCAGCCCCCCTCACCGGCACTCCCCGCCTGCGCGCCTCCCGCGCCAGCAGCAGTGCAGCCTCCGTGAGCCGTCCGTCAAAGTAGACCAGTACGGCATCCGAAAGTACGGCATCCATCAGGGCGGGGGAGATCTCGGCGGGGGAGAGGGGGGCGCCGGGGGTGTGTATGCACGTGCGCGTGCCGCCTGCGTGTGGGGTTGGAGTGAGGGGGTGAGGGGTGAGGCTGGCTCCATGTGCCCAATGTGCCGGTGGTACGTGCCCCAGTGACCCCTCCCTGTTTCCTTACTCCCTCCCTTTCGCCCAAGAGCCCCTACCAAGAGCTGCCAGCACCCTTCACAGCATATGGTACATTCCTGTTTCGTTCTACTCCTCCCCCCCGATTGATTCCACCAGGGATTGTCAGCAACTTGTATCATTATCACACCACACTTTGGAATTTCTTTTCCCGCCCCCCCCCCGACACCCCTCACCCTGCCTATCCACGATGATGTAGGTGAAGGGCGAGGGGTGCCCCGCGGCGCGCAGCACATGGCTCGTGTCCACCCCGTCCGCTTGCAGCTCACTGGGTGGGGGCAAGTAAGGGGGTTGTGGGAGCCGTGGTATAAGATAAAAAAAGGGAGGAAAGGAGGAGCTGTATGAAAGGCTTCTAGGTGGGCTCGGGGTGGGCCTGGGGGTAATAGCCAGGACCCGCCCGCTACCCCCGCTGCACCGCTGCACCTCCTGCTGCCCCCCTCTCAGCACCGGTGCCCCGGCCCCTCACCAGGGCCCCCAGCGCCCCGTCCCACCGCCCATTCCCCGCCCTGCCGCCCCTCCCCCGCCGTCCCACCGCCCTTTTCCCGCCCTTTTCCCGCCCTGCCGCCCCTGCCCCGCCCCCCACCTCACCTGATGATGGCGTCGCCCAGTCCGTCTCCGCCGATCTGTGCCAATCCCACAGGGGGGCATAAGCAGGGGGGCAATAATTAGTTAAGATCGAACCCACAGGGACACCAGAAGCGACACCGGGGGGACACCCCAGGCCAGCAGGCAATCTGCACAATCCGCACAGCCCACTCAGCGCAATCAGTCAGTCGCTTAGTTCAGGCTCAGGCAGCCATGCATGGGAGGTTGGGAGGGGAGATCACATCGTGTCATGGCTCGTGCCTGCTCGCGTCACCCATGGAGCGCAAGTGTGCCTCAGTGCAGTCCACTAACGGGCTGCTTAGGCTGCAGCCCCGCCATACCTGCACCCTTACTGACAACACCGACCTTAAACCCTGGAAGCTTCCCTGCTCTTCTCCTCATGCGCCCGCCTACCTTTGACACCAGAACGGGCGCCAGGCCCAGTCGGGCCGCAGCGGTGAGGGCGTTGGCGCAGTTGCCCCCGCCCTGGGTCTGTACGGCAGGGGAAGGGGGGGTGACGGTTGGAGGGAGGTGGTAGTTGGGGGGTGGTGGTTAGGGTGTTGGTGAGATGGAGGTGGGCGGGGGTGGCGTCGTCAGGATGGACGCGGGCATGCCGCGCAAGCGACGCTTCAACTTTGCTCCCGAAAGTCGGTCCCATTGGCGTGCCAAGAAAACGTCAAAGGTAGCGTTAGTTATTCACCTCGAGTGTCTCGGTGCGCAGCTTTTCATCCGGCTTCGGATACGCTGCGACCGATGCCAGGTAATCGATTCCGCAGCTGCCCATCCCAACCACCTTTATCCGCCAATCTAGAGGCGTGTCACATCCCTGTGACAAATACGGCAAGCGCTTCATTATTCATGACGGCACTTCGCTAAGAAAGCCAAGCAAGCAAAGCGCGGATGCAGTAAGGTCCTAGGACGAGCGTGCCTGGAAAGAGGGACTGGCGCTAGCTTTAATCGACATGGAGCTTGGATGACATCGCAGACGTCGGGTAGCCTTCGCGGCAGAGTTCGAGGTGCAAGGCTTGGCGACGGTCGGTCGCTTCAACAGCCCCATCGGAGGAAGTTTACGGTCAGCTTACAATTTGATGTAATCCTATGTCAAGCGTGGTATGCGACAGGGGTGTCAGTTAGGCGTTCGGCCCCTTGCGTCGACCTTCTGACGCATCGTGCACGACGCAGGGTGCACAACATTCAAGTGCGCCCTCGCGATGCTTAATTGTTACAACCAACGTCACCCATATACGCCTATTTTCTCAAGTGCTTTGCTTTAATCCCTGACTGCTTACTATCGGGACTCACATCAACCCTTCCTTCCTGTCCAGGGCTTCACTTGTCGTTTTCTATCCGAGTACGTTTTGTAGCAGTTATCCTGTAGTGTGGTAAAGTTCGGGGTTTGTACCATAGACACGCTCTCACGACAGATGGCTTCGTCATTAAGGCCCCGGACCTGTACATTTGTGCGTGAAGGAGGAAGGTCTGTGTTTGGGCCCTCGTTATGCCGGAGGCCTGCCTTGACTGGTCCGTCGAGGCGGCAAGGCGCGGTCTATTGTAATGCAAAGAGCAAAGACGCCCTTCGAAGGAGCTTTGACAGTAAGTAGGGAACGCTCAAGCTGCAAGTTTGGCGCACTGGCTTTAGGCAACGTGCTGTCACGGAGTTGCACGTTTTGCGTCATACATCCCGCTTAATTGCCGCAACCTTGACGAACGTCTTCCGCTAGCGACGTGTCGTGATAACCACCTCGTCTTTCCAGTTCCTTGCCCTCCCACCACCTGATATGTCCCTGTCGCTCCGATCGACCCCAGCCCGCGTTTTCCAATTGCAATTGCTGATTCTCAGACCCAGCCTGCGGCCCTCCGCCCCTTCCACCAATTTCAGGTGAAGACGAGCTAAACAACGAACTAGCGGATGAGCTGCTCGCGGTGGCGGACCCGCAGCGCCTCAAGAAGCTCGCACAGCACTTTGAGCTGGCATGGAAGATTGGCAGGGTAGGGCAGGCAACGCAGCCCCTTAGCAGGAACCTATTAGTCCACAAGTCATCCTTCCTCTAGTACCGTACTTACGCCATCAAACTGTTAATTCTCTTATCTCCTACCTTTCCCATCAAACTGTTAATCCTCTTATCTCCTACCTTTCCCCTCCTGACCGTCTCCCTGACCACCCCCTTGCACCGCCCCTCCTCCTCCCCCCTCCCTTCCCTGCCGTACACAGCCCGGCCGCCCCCGCACGTGTGACTGCTGCCAGGGCCGCAAGGAGGAGGAGTGCCACTGGTGCCATGGAACAGGTGCGGAGGGCGGAGGGCGGGGGGGGGGTGCCTGAGGGTGCGGTGGTGCCGCCTACCCCTCCTGTGAACTCCCTCTTCCCTCCCTCCTTCCTACCTCTCCCCTCCTCTCCCCTCCTCCCCCCTCCCTCCCCCCCCTGCCTGCAGGCTACCTGATGGTGGGCGGCCAGGTGATCCCCTCCACCCCCGCCCGCACCAACCACTGCCCCGTGTGCAAGGGGAAGGCGAGTAGCGGAGGGCAGGGAGGGCAGGGCTGGGAGGGAGGGGAAGGGCGCTAGGGGGAGGATGTGGAGAGAGATGAGGAAGTGGGAGTTCATAGCCCTACGTGGGACACCTCGCGGATGGTTTTTGAAGTTATCCCGTCCCGCCCTGCCCCTCTCTCCGCCCCCCCCTCCGCCCCCCCCCTCTCCGCCCCCCTCTCCGCCCCCCCAGGGTGTCACCCAGTGTGGCAGGTGCCGGGGAACGGGCTTCCGGGCCACTTGGCTGCCAGCTGACTCGGACCTGCTGCCGTGAGGAGGGGAGGGGAGGGAAGGAAACGAGGGGTGTGGAGAGCTCAATGGGAAGGATGGGAAGGTTGGAGGGTGGGAAGGTTGCTACGTGGCCGCAGGAAGGCGTCGCGGAGGTTGATGAGGGGCAGCACTATGAAACCGGATTGGGAATCAGACGCCTAGGGCAAGTAAGAAGAGGGTTAGTGCGCAGGCTTGGAGTGCGCGAAGGGAAATGTGGAATGGGAGGGCCGTTGGGCGTTGGGCGTGTTGGAAGCGGACCCAGGAAGGCGCTGCTGAGAGTGTTGGCGGGTACTCTTAAAGGGGCACGTGTTGTCCCCTTGTGTGCTTTTGGTGCACATGAGGGCGGCTGTGGGGGCTGTGAAGGTCTAGGAGGAGGTTCACGCATGCACGAAGGGGCTTCCCAGGGTCCGCGGGAAGGCAATGGCGAGGGCTCGGGACGAGGACGTTGTACAATACTTTCTTCTGTACCAATACCTTACAAATGCACCGTAGCGAACCCAGCCCAGGGGCTGGTGCTAGTTGTGATGAAGCGGTAAACAGAACAGTGGCGACGTGTTTGGTTTTCTCGCATTTTGCTGACTTGTTTGAAGGCTATGCATGCATGGGTGCTGCATGGCTCGTGTCCTTCAAGGGCGGCGCAAGGCAGTCCCGAAGTCTCTGGAGGACCTCGATTTGAAGAATGATGTATATTGGAAGTGGTGGTGACAGTATGTTTGCGTGTGGCAGTATTGCATGATCGACGTAATGCGTCGGTTCTGGTGTGTGGTCACACTGTGACGGTTATGATAGGTTCTTGTTGTTGTTGTTGTTGGTGGTGGTGGGTGTTTCATGAGTGATAGCGTTTGGATGGATGCGGTAGCACGTGGGGAAGTGCGCTCGCGTGTCATGCATGTGCTTTGCAATAGTTTGGAATTGCGGCGGTTTCGCTGCGCGAAGCATGCAGAGGCGGGGGAGTTAAAACAGCCTTGGGGGCTCGGACTCTCGAGGCTCTCTTCCTATCCACAAAAAACAGTTGTTCGGATCGATAAACAGTGATATGGTATGTTTTGCTGATTAGAACTTACCAAGTGGTGGTGCACTGCACGCCCTTGTCCGGGCTTCCCCCGCTGGGCGCATTGCCTGACGGGCGAAGAAAGGCCTGGCTGACCGTGTGCCGTGTGTCCGTCGCACGTGTGTGCACGTCATTGCTGCTGGTCACTCCTCAATCCTGGTTACCCACCGTTCGTCTGTTTGTTGCTGTTTGTCGGCTAGCGCGCTGGCTGGTATCCTTGTGTGGAACCGGCTCAGCACGTGTGTGGCTGCACCAACATACCGTATGTGGGCGAAGGGGCACGGTGATTGGGCGACAGTGTGTGCCATGATCTGTTGTAGGAACGTGGATGAGGAAGCGTGCGCATGATGACGGCTCACGAAGGCAATTGTGATGTGCTTTGCGAGGCAGCAGGCAACCGGATTCGGTGTGTGTGTGTGTGTGTGTTTTCATCAGCGTGTGTCCCCCCTACCCAGCACGGATTGGTCTTGATGTACACCGCTGTGAAGCACGATGTCTCTGTACACTTCTGCCTGGTTCTGCATCCTGTTTAATAATAATTTTGGCGCGTACCGTACCATATTCTTCCTAAAGCGGGTGTGGAGATCCTGTCGTATCTCGCCGCATGGGTCAGCCCGCACCCCAGTGTCCTTAGATGGCCAAGCCAACGTTGGGGCACGACAGTTTCTCGTCTTGAGCTCCGTTTTAACTTGTTGTATCATGCGCCCGGGGGATATAGATGCATGGGGGCTGGCGGCCGTCTGCTGCCAGCGTGCATGAACCCCTGCCCCTGACTTCGGAGGATCCCGTACGGTACGGTACGGCAAGATCTTTCAAGGCGTTGTAAAAGAGATACCAGATACGGCACATGTGTGTGATGACGCTACTGTGAGCGTCCAATCCCACGAAACTTATTACACGTTCTTTTACTTTCATAACATGTGCACTTGATGGCAACATTCGCCCCATCATATACATCAAGTACATGCGGCTTTCTCGGCGCTTTCCGCATGGTCTGCTTGCAGCGTCTGCAACAGCCCTCCAGAAACACGTGCCGCCCAGGGCCTTGACCCATGGGTCATAGACGAGCTTATTGCACCGGACGGACACCTTATCATCATCATTATTATCATCATCATCTCAATCACCTATCATCCACCCAATCACCTGCGCACCCACCTCGACTGCCACACCCCACATTGCACATCCCCACAGAGACCTGACCAACACGGCCTGCTGAGCTTTTTCCCCAAACCCTCATCACCACGCCCCACCTCCCTCCCTCCTTATTTTCACCCTCACCCCAGCAAGCTACCCGCCCCGGCTCCCAGGGTTCCATTCAGCACCGCCGCCGCCGTCGCATTCCCCAGTAGCCCCCCAATCCCTCCCAGCCCCCCTCCTGCCCCGCCTGCCCCGCCTCCATCCGCCCTCAGCGCCAGCAGCGCGGGCCGTATTCCCACCATGTAATCGTGGTAGTAGAGCAGCACACACACCGGCTGACCCACCACACAGAAGGCGATCCAGAAGATGTAGTTGCCTGGAGCGGGGGGGGGTCAGAGATATGTACCAGAACCACATGTTAGGGCAAAGAGTGAAGCAGTTTGTCAAGGAACAAAACAGGTTAGTTGGCAGCAGGGTGATTGATGTGGTGTATCACTTGTCACGATAAAAGGGCGAGCAGGAGAGAGGAGTGGTGGTGGTAGGCCCCGCGTCCCGCTATCAGCACAGCTCATCAGGTCATATGGCATGCCATGTCTAGATGCCGTGCCGTGCCGTGTGTGTGTATGTATGTATGCCTCCCCACCCCCTCCCACCCCCACCTCCTCCCTCACCTAGCTCATCTCGGTTTAGCCGCTTGCGCAGCTTTTCAGTTGCCATGATGAGAGGTACCTGGGAGAGGGGGGACAGTGGCAAAAAGAGCACAGTAGGAGAGAGGGTGGGGAGCCCCTCAGACGCCCCGGCAGCATGTCGTGCTGCAGCCCTCTACCCCCCCCATCTGCCTCCTAACTGCACCACCCTTCCTAACCCTTAGAGCTCTTCTCAGCTCACGCACGCACCTACAACCTTTCCCAACCCCACCCCACTCCTCCCAAACCCCCAGCGGCTCAGTTTACCTAACCCCCAGCCCCCCAGCCCCCCCCCCCCCCCCCGACCTGGAACATGATGCCCCCGAACGCCCACAGCCGCACCAGGTGCAGCGGCACCCCCAGCACCAGCTCGTGAAACACAGCGGACACGAAGAAGGTGAGCACCACCGACCAGAAGCGCGGCCAGCCGGCTCGGATGGCTGGGAAGTAGACGTGTCGCAGCAGCCAGCGGTGCACAGGCATGTTCCACAGCTTCCAGTACTCGCCCACCGTGGCGGCGTTCCACCAGTCCTGGCGGAGGGGGGAAAGAGAAATCCCGGTGTGTGGTGTGATAGTGGTAAACTAGCTGACAAGCCCTGATGGAAAAACAGTGAGTCCTACGGGGGAGGGGAAGATTAGATGAGAAGTGCAGCAACTGGAGTCCCGATCCCATATCCCGACTCCTGGGGGGGGGGGAAATAAGGAAAGTTGACGAACTGTACGACGAGGCTTCAGCATGGGTCCTCCTGGGGGGGGGCGGGAGGGAAGGACTAGCCGCCCGCCCTTTTCCATGTCCGTCACGTTTTCAGCAGGGTTCCCCCACAACACCCGACTACCACTCCCCAGCCAACTGCCAACCAACCAAAACCATTCCGCAGCCTCACACCACCTCTCCCAACTCCTCGCAACCACTACTACTAACTCGCTCTACTCTCTCCCCTCTCACACCGCGTCAGTTCCCTCTTTTTCACCCCCTCTCCCCTCCCCCTCACTGCATGAGTCGGGATTCGGGATTGGGACTCCGTTGATGCACTTATCATTTCTTTTTCACGCCACCGCACCTTGTAGAACTCCCTGTCCCCGAACCGGGTCAGCTCCGCCAGCACGTTGAGCCACAGATGGAACAGCGCGTAGAACAGCAGCAACCAGGCGTAGGTGGAGGGCAGCGCCAACTTGAGCACGCGCTCGACCACACGGGGCAGGTCCATCTGGTTGGGATGGGAGAGGTGGGGAGGAGGCGGAGTAAGGTAAGGCGCCCCTTAAGCCCTTATCCCGTCCTTACTCGGCTTCTGCTTCCTCCTCTCGCCGCCTTCGCCCCGTTACGTTTTCCTCTTGAAACCCTGCTTAAAGCCAGCTTGAATCCTGCTCTTACCCCCATCATCAAACTACACCACCCCCCACCCCCCACCTGCCGCAGCGGCCCCATCGAGTTGTTTACGGTGGGCTGGATGTACTGCCCGATGATGATGGCGAGGGCGGTGAGGCTGATGGCCAGCTCGAAGCAGCGCCGCAGCAGCCACCGCCCGCGGATAGAGCGGGAGCGGGGGTAGTTGACCTGGGGGGGGATGGGGAGGAGGGGATTAAATGAGTGGAGTGAAGTGCAGCATCTTGGGTGGGGGTGAGGGGTGGTGAGGAGGGAGAAGATAGGAGGGTAAGAGAGGGGGCGAGAGGGAGGAGGGTGACAGCAGCAGTGATAGCAGCGATGGCGTGAAACGTACACAGAGGCGGCGAGGAGGCAGCTCAAAGCGGTATCAAGCGCGCCCTCACCACCACCACAACATCATCCTAATCCGTTGATGTCGTACCTGGTATGTGAGGGTGGGTACGGCAAGGAAGTACAACATGTTGCGTGCCGTCAGATTCTCCGGGTACCTGCACACCAACACACACATGAGCGAATGCAGGAGGACATGCATGCAATCGTAGGCGGGTTAGGGGCTGTTACGCTTCAAAAAGGGCGCGACTGCAGATGTAACTGAGGGTACCGGATCGCGAGTGTAAGGGCTGAAGCAGGCTTTCCACACTGATATTACAACGACAAGCAAGCAGACAGGTAGGTACAACGCTTCCCCCTCCTTCGCCCCTCTCCCTCCCCCCCTTGTGTCAGAGTTTCCGCGGCTCCGTTTGTCTAATCCGCCAACTCACCTCGCCAGTGGCCCCCACTCCGCCCCTCCCGCCGGTGTGTCCGCGCTTCCCCGCTCCCCCGGCCTCAGCTCCCCCGCCCTGCGTGCCTGCCGCAGATCGGCGCAGCAGTGGTGGTAGCTCACCAGCTTCATCCACAACACAACCGCCAACCCGATCAGGATGCCGCCGGAGATGGGCTCGGCCTGCATGGGGGAGGGTAAACATGTTCCGTACATGGCTGGATTACTGGTACAGGATTTTGTCTATAGTCATACACTCGTACTTGCCTCCAGCTCCGCCTCCAGCCCAGCACCCTTTCTCAATTTCCAATTCCTTTTCACCCACCTGCCACCCCACCCACCCGCCTGCCCCCCCACCCACCCGCCTGCCCCCCCACCCACCCGCCTGCCCCCCCACCCACCCGCCTGCCCCCCCACCCACCCGCCTGCCCCCCCACCCACCCGCCTGCGCCCCCACCCACCCGCCTGCGCCCCCACCCACCCGCCTGCGCCCCCACCCACCCGCCTGCGCCCCCACCCACCCGCCTGCGCCCCCACCCACCCGCCTGCCCCCCTCCCCCACCCCGCCTGCCCCCCCACCCACCCGCCTGCCCCCCCACCCACCCGCCTGCCCCCCTCCCCCACCCCGCCTGCCCCCCCACCCACCCGCCTGCCCCCCCACCCACCCGCCTGCCCCCCCACCCACCCGCCTGGCCCCCCACCCACCCGCCTGGCCCCCCACCCACCCGCCTGCCCCCCCACCCACCCGCTTGCCCCCCCACCCACCCGCCTGCCCCCCCACCCACCCGCCTGCCCCCCCACCCACCCGCCTGGCCCCCCACCCACCCGCCTGCCCCCCCACCCACCCGCCTGCCCCCCCACCCACCCGCCTGCCCCCCCACCCACCCGCCTGCCCCCCCACCCACCCGCCTGCCCCCCCACCCACCCGCCTGCCCCCCCACCCACCCGCCTGCCCCCCCACCCACCCGCCTGCCCCCCACCCACCCGCCTGCCCCCCACCCACCCGCCTGCCCCCCCACCCACCCGCCTGCCCCCCCACCCACCCGCCTGCCCCCCCACCCACCCGCCTGCCCCCCCACCCACCCGCCTGCCCCCCCACCCACCCGCCTGCCCCCCCACCCACCCGCCTGCCCCCCCACCCACCCGCCTGCCCCCCCACCCACCCGCCTGCCCCCCCACCCACCCGCCTGCCCCCCCACCCACCCGCCTGCCCCCCCACCCACCCGCCTGCCCCCCCACCCACCCGCCTGCCCCCCCACCCACCCGCCTGCCCCCCCACCCACCCGCCTGCCCCCCCACCCACCCGCCTGCCCCCCCACCCACCCGCCTGCCCCCCCACCCACCCGCCTGCCCCCCCACCCACCCGCCTGCCCCCCCACCCACCCGCCTGCCCCCCCACCCACCCGCCTGCCCCCCCACCCACCCGCCTGCCCCCCCACCCACCCGCCTGCCCCCCCACCCACCCGCCTGCCCCCCCACCCACCCGCCTGCCCCCCCACCCACCCGCCTGCCCCCCCACCCACCCGCCTGCCCCCCCACCCACCCGCCTGCCCCCCCACCCACCCGCCTGCCCCCCCACCCACCCGCCTGCCCCCCCACCCACCCGCCTGCCCCCCCACCCACCCGCCTGCCCCCCCACCCACCCGCCTGCCCCCCCACCCACCCGCCTGCCCCCCCACCCACCCGCCTGCCCCCCCACCCACCCGCCTGCCCCCCCACCCACCCGCCTGCCCCCCCACCCACCCGCCTGCCCCCCCACCCACCCGCCTGCGCCCCCACCCACCCGCCTGCCCCCCCACCCACCCGCCTGCCCCCCCACCCACCCGCCTGCCCCCCTCCCCCACCCCACCTTTGTGAGATAGATGACCGCCCAGGGCAGTCCGATTACGCAGCTGGTGGTGGCGGTGTTGAGCAGGAACAACAGCCACTCGTGAGCCCGGGCGCGGGAGGCGAGGGCGGCGGAGAGCGCGGGGGCGGGCAGGTCGGAGCGCTTGGAGAGACGGTCGCGGAGCTGGGGGGGTGAGGGGGTTTGGTGAGGGGGGAGGGGGTTCAGAGTAATACCCAATGTGTCGGGGGGGAAGGACGGAGTGGGTTGGCGGACGAGGGGGCGAGGAAGGGAGTTGTTAGGCTGTGGCGGACTTCCCTGACCCCTCACCCTTCTTACCCTCATCCGAACCCCTTCCCTCACCCCTCTTTCACCCCTAACCCTCCCTCCCTCTCTCCCTCCACCCCCACCTCCCCCATGTTGACGCCTTATCCCTCAGTCAGTTAGTTGTTTCCTCTTTACCCCCACCACACCCACTCTCCCACCTCACCCGCATCTCCCCAGCCAGCAGCGCCCAGCCCGCCACCTCCACCCCCCAGCTCAGCCCCGCTGCTGCCAGCAGACACGGGTAGGTGGCCACCAGCGGCACGTTCACCACCCCGCCCCCCGCCCCCAGGCTGCCCCCCCGCCCAGCCAGCAGGTCGCCCACCACCACCACCGGGTTCAGCCGCCAGCCGTATTTGAGCGCGTTCTCTAGGGCCAACCTGGCACCGGTGTGGGAGGGAGCAGGCAGGAGGAAGGGAGGGAGGGAGGGGAGGGTAAAGATAGACCAAAGCATAGGAAACCACAGTTTAGGGCAAAACAAATAAAGAATGGGAGGATGAGGCGGCAGAGGGGCAGAGGGGGGAGGGAAGAGGAGGAAGGTCCCCTATCTACCTGATGTCCGGATTCGTGGCCTTTCCCGTTCCTACGGTCCACCTTGGCCCCTTTCCCCCCCCCCCACCTGAAGTTTGTGAGCACCAATATGATGAGCGCCAGGTTGTATAGTCCCGTGTGTTTCTCGTGCCACACGCGCTCGCTAGACAGCAGGCTGAAGCGGCCGGCGGTGTGGACGGGGGTGGAGCCAAGCAGCGGGCCGCGGGAGGGGCGGGCGGGGGGCTGCTGCCCTTGCTGCTGTTGCTGGGGGTCGGGGTCGGGGATAGCGGTATCGGAGGAAGCGGTGGAGGTGGGGGTGGTGGGGGTGGGAGTGGCGGCGTCTGCAGCGCCGTTACATGCCGCCGGGGCTGCGTTGGGAGTTGAGGTTGGCGGGGTCAGGGGGGTGTTGGTGCTGGTGCGGGTGCTGGCCGGTTGCTGCTGTGATGTCTGTACTGGGGCCAGTGCAGCTGCAGCCGAGGGCGCAGCGGGGCCTCCGTGGGAGGAGCTGGCAGCCCGTCTCTGCAGAAACAGGAGCAGCGTAGGTGGTTGGGGGGGTGGTAGCGGGGCCAGGTAAAAATTCTGCAGTGCGCCGTACAACAGACACCACCTCAAACCGCATGCAGTGACTTGCCTTCTTAGACTGCGGCTGCTGAAGCTGCTGTTGTTGTTGCTGCGGTGCCTGCAGCTGCTGCATCAGTCCCCCCGCGGGCAGGGGTGCGGAGTTGCTGCGCTCCAACCCCCCTCCTCCTCCCTGCAGCCCCCCCCCGCCCCCCGAGGGGACCTCCACGGGGTGCTCGTGGCTGTGACGGCGGCTCAGCGCGGCGTCGTGGGAGCTCTGGGGGGGACGGGGTTGGGGGGCAGAGGTGAGGTGGTCGGGCAGGTGGGGAGGTAGGGACGTGGGGAGCGGGTGGGGACAGGAAGAAGGCAGGCAGGCAGCGATGGGGCAGTGCTAGGTGTTGCGGTGCACCGGCGTTCGCAGCACACGGCAAACAGGTCAGGACGTGTACCCCACCGCGCTTCCCCACCGGACCTCCGCCACCCCTCAACCGCCTGCTACCCCCAAGTATCCCCGCACCTTTTCCCCTCTTTACACATCGGGAAACCTTCCTTTCCCCCTTCCCCCTCCCCCTTCACCCCTCCCCTCACCCACCTTTGGTCCCCCCGGCGGCACCCGCCCGTCATCCCGCTCCGCCCCCGCCTGCTGCAGTGCGCCCAGCCACCGCTCGCCCGCCTCCCTGCTGGGGGCCGCCAGCCGCACCAGCAGACTGCCGCCTCGGTCCAACAGCGAGAGCGCCCAGTAGCGGCCGGTGCCGCCACGTTGGCCCTCCCAGGCTACGTAGCAGCCCTGCGTTGGGGGGGTTGGAGGAATGGGGGGGAGAGGGAGAAGGGAGAAGGGAGAAGAGGTGGATCGGGATAGGGTTAAGAACAACTCATCGCACCCCTGTTACTTAGGAAAGGGGATACCGGTAAACACAGTTAATAAGGTACGTCACACCTCCTCACCCGTGCCACTGCCTGCCTACCCTACCACAAGCCGCCTCCCTCCCTCCCCACCCCCGCCCCCCCCCCCCACCAGCACGCTGAACTCCTCCCGCGGTGAGAACCCCGTGTCCCGCGCGCTCCGGAAGTACGACAGGCTGCTGCCCCGAAGCACCCAGTAGCGCAGCTCCCACTCCGAGCCCAGCAGCGGCAGCGCCACCGCCCGCCATTTGAAGAGGTATTCGCCCAGGTGGACGGCGCGGGCGGCGAGCTGGGGGAGAGAGGAGGAGGAGAAGGCCAGGAGGAGGAGGAGGGGAGGAGGGTGTGATGGTGAGAGAAGGATAATGGCGAAAGGAGGATTTAGGAAAGGAAGGCCAGGCGGAAGGTGGAGGCTGTTGCATAGGACCGAGAGCTTGGTGGGAAGCCGTGTGGCCTTACAACGGCCTGGGAGCAAAGCGTGTTATGAGAAGTAAGAATCGTGTTTAGGTTGGAATAGGTTAAGAGTGCAAGCGCCATGCTTGAGCGTTACGGATTGCTCCCATCGACCAGGGCTTTGCCTTGTGAACTCGCCAGTTTGTAGAACGGTTAGTGCTTAGGTACAAAGGCACAGAAAGTGCATTGACGCTGATCGCCCTGACGATAGCGCTTTTCGGATGCAGCAGCATCCATCGGCAAGCCCAGTCCCGTAAACCTCTTGACAGCGCCCCAGCATTAACTTACCTGTTCTTTAAGCTGCTCATTTGCCGCGCGAAGCTGCTCGACCTCCTTCTGCAACTTGTCTAGCTCTTTGGCATGGCTGTCTTGGGCTTGGCCTTCCCGGCCTCGTCGCCGCCCAAGGAACGGAATGCCCACCATACAAACTTTCGTTAATCACTACTGCCTTCGCTAGAATCGTCTAGGTTTCACGCATATGCGCAAGTCTTAACTTAAGCAAACATACCGAGAAGACAATGAAGGGCTATAGGTGCATGTACAAGTCGCGTTAAGATAGCAATTCGCTTCTTTGCGTTATTAAAGCTCTCCTTTGCAGCAACCGTCGAAGTAAGTCACCAACCGCTGTCAGCCCCCATCACGTCCGGTACTGGGTGTACCCGCAAATGCACGCGACGATACCGCAGAACGCGATGTTTAAACAATCACCTCTACCAGGCAAGTGCGTGCTCGATTGTCACAAGAAATGCCGAGTCGTCGTGAATACCGCGAGCGTCGCGAACCATGGGGCACGTAAGGACGCTTCGAGATGATCCTTTGCAGCTTTGACACAGCATTCGAGAATACTAGGTCACACCTCTACATGCGAGCGTGTCAGCTTGAAGCTTGCCGAAATAAGCATCGTTCATTTATACGGCGATTCAGGTGCTCCCCACGGATAGAGGCCCCCGGCTAGCTACCCTTTCCCTTACCCCAAACCCCATCTCCCAGGTTCTCTTACCGTACCCCCATCTGTCTAGATAGATCGCATCTCATTGTTTACTCAGCTGTCCTCGATTATGACATCGCATCCTTAAGGTGTGGCTGGGTGCGTGGGACACGACATGTTGCAGCTGACGAATTATCCCCTGGCTCCTGAGTGTGATGTGCGCTTGTTCCCTGCCCTTACTACGAGCAGTTCCCTTTGGAATTTCTTTTTTGCCCTTACTACGAACAGCTGATTGACCCCACATCCGCTGTGCATCTCCAGGATTGACGACTAGTATCAGTAGTCCATTGCAAACTTTAAAGTGTGCCATGTCCGTTACAGTAGGTGTAGCGTGTCGTACATCCGCAACGTCCACAACCACGGCAGCTCGTGAGTCGTGACCACCTTCACTGCCAGGAGAATGCGACCGTTGATCAGTCAACGGCGCCTGTACTACTATACTCGCCTGTACAACTACAACTGGCTTTATTACCTCGTCTAGCAGCACCAATCCACAACCATCAGGATAGACGTGCACCGTACGTTCGTAACGCCGCCCCCAAAACGGCATTTACCCTTGCGTCCATCATCCTCCCCAGATACCATACGCTCCACTTACCCCCGTTAGCCATCACTATACCGGTTTAACCCTCAGAAAGAGTAAGGTGAACTAACAGCAGTGCACATGTACGAACATGAACTGTGTCGTACACATGCGTCGTATCCAAACAGGGCGAAAGCAATGCAGGGTTTGTGGCAATCAAGGTACACAAGACTTCCAGCTTCTCTTTATACCAAACAAACGCATATAACCAACACGTTTCACTCCCACATTGGCTGACCCCACAAAACACACTCTGCAGCGCTCATCAGTCCATATTACCCTCCTCCTTAAAACGCACCTCTCTCCTATCATAACGAACAAGCACGCAGCTGGAAACCGAACGTGGAAGTCAACACCCAAAATAAACCCGCCGTAACTTAAATCCACACGACCACCACGCATGTCACCTTTCTTAGAGGCGCACGTACGTTCGCTCAACCACGGAGAGACCAAGAGGACACTCATCGTGAATAACCAGCTAGCTATCAGAAGGGGAACGCAAATCCACAACTCAGTACCGCAACCGTCCTGCTGCGGGGTCAAGGGAGATCCACTGCGGGAAACCCCGCCTGACACCCACACCTCCCAACAGGACGGATGCCTTCCCAACACGTACGAGGCAAAACCGGGTTGTCATCGGACGGCCGCAAAAGGCCCTCTTCTTCTTTCCTCCTCTTCTTCCAACCTCCTCTTCACCTTATCGCCGACACGTCACACACCATTACATCACAAGCGCCGTACGAATTTAACTGCAGCAGCGGCTTCGGAACCCAGTACATTAAGATAATGCAAGATCGCCATTGTTGATGATAGGAAAGAAGCTCCAATGCAGAGTAGTAAAGGGAAAATAATCGGGTGGAAGCAAGAATGGAAAGGCTCAGCTCGATTAATCCAGAGCCAGGCATCCTCGCAGCTGCTGCAACCTCTCATGACCATCATAAACGTCAAAACGTACGGCGCTCTCTTCATCAGCTGTCTTTTTGCCTCATAGTGTTCTTTCGTTCGTTGGTTTGTTGCCCCTTCATCATCCCCTCGATGACTCCTCCCACTCGTCCGCGAGCCAAGGTGACATACCCAACAGCACTCCCGACGACAACCACCCTCACGACACATCACATGCCACAAACCCGTATCTCTTTCACATAAAGGTCGTCCACACCCAAAGATCTCGGAGCGTATCATTGTACGGCAAGGGCACGACAGATCGAGTACGGCATATCGCGTACGACACAAAAGCTGCTAGATAACGCCGATAAACCCCCAACTTTGGAACTCTACACAACCGGCCAACCGAGTCCGGTCCAACCGAGGTACGTTCCGTTCCGTAACCCATGCCCCAACCATGCCGACATAGTCTTGCACAAAAAATGCAGGAGCGAAGAACATCCCACGGTTACTGCGAGCTAGGGCCTAGAGTGCACCACATGCCCGGAAACGGATTAACGCCAGATCGACAATGCGTTTGAAGATAATATGCTTGAAAACCGGTGCAGGAATTCAATAACCTGCACTACACTAGCAGGAAAAGCAGTCATGACTAAACTCGAATGAGCACACTCTAGGGCGCAAACAACACTCATGCAGACAAACGCTCCTGCAAAACAAATGACCACCAGTTTGCAGTGCATGCAAGTATCAAAGTAAGGCTCGAGCAATGCGCGCGATCCGCAGCGACCCATGGGTCCGTGTGACAATTGGGTAAGGTCCACAAATGCGAACGTTGAATGGTGCGGACAACACACGTGCTCGTGCCAAATGCCAGGCGCATTAGCAAGCCCCCTTGGATCACCAAAAAAACAACTACTCCGCTGCCAAGCGGGACTTGCCTACGCACCTTCACACCCCAAACATAACCCGTCCCAACCTCGTCCTTTCAACCCGTCCAAACTCCTCCGTATAAAATGCAAGCCATCCTCCTCAAATCCGAGTTCGTCCGAGTCACGTGGCCCCGTGTGCAATCACACCGACGGGCGACAGAGGCACGGTGCGGAACAGCGAGGCAAGCAGAGAGCAAGTCCTTCTCCGACAAACAATCTCCACTTCAGGACCGCTCTCGCAGCAACCACCTCGCAAAACGCCCCGTCCGTACCTCAGCACGCATCGCATGAGGGGGTGAACCAGCCCATGCTGCTAAACAGGCTCGGCACGCTGCTCACCCGCTCGGCAGCAGCGGAAGCCGCCGCGCCCGTGTGCGCCTGGATGAAGGCAGGCGGCAGGGGCGGGCCCTGGGGATGACCTACAGCGCCGGAAGAGGCGACCACAGCAACCGCGGTAAGCGCCGCGGTCAGCCAATGTCCATTGCCGGTCAAACCGAGGGCAGCGGGTTGAGCAGAAGAGGAAGCGTTGGAGGTCTTGAGAAGACCATCTGATGTTTGTAGAGAAGAGAAGAAGGAAAGCGGGCGCAGGAAAGAAGTCGCGAAGTCCATGGAGGACGATGAAGTCAAAAGGCTGCAGTTGCTGGTGAAAGGCAACAGGGATGGGAAAGCAGTAAGATCAAACTTGATGTGCTGCTATAAGTATATATGAGGTGTGGTTGAAGAGCTGGCCCAGAGTCCTACCAGTTGCGCGGGTCCTTGGCCTGAGCGAGAACCTCCGAGGAATGAACGGCCGCGGTCTTTAAGAAGCTTGAATGGCCACTGCAGCGAAATAAGTTTTGACAAGGTTCAGAAGAGTGCATATTGGGCAAGTTAAGAGCGTTGCGTGATGGCGGCTCACGTGTGACAGGTAATGACGGTCGTATGTGCAACAGGCGAAAATAGCTTGTTACTTTCTATCGTCGATGTAAGCCTTTTTGGAATGTACTGTGTGTTATGTATTCAGGGATGATGCGGTGTAAGCCTACTATCTCAAACTTCAGGGAGCTCCTGTCAACCGTCGATCTAGCTCCGAGACCGCGAGTCTTCACCTTCGCACCTCGATCTGCCCAAGGATCCCGCCGCGGCAATACCGCAAGCAATCTTTGCGGTCACCAAGGATCTTTTGCGCCCTTTACGTCGACTAGCAGTTTGCAAGTCTTCGCCTGTTGCTTGCGCTCTTCTATACCCGTTTTTTCGGAGGCTTCTGGGCCGTAAGATTTAGTTGTTTACTCCCACATAATTCGTTACAAGTACTCGACAAGATGAGTGATGCAACAGCCAAAGTTGCAATCACCGTAACCCAGCCGTTCACTATCCACCCATCGGTGAGACACGACGGGTAGCATGCCCAACAGCTTTACAAACCTAAACGACCCACGCGACAAGAGCCCCGCAAGAAGCTCCCAACAACGGCCGAACATGTCTGGTTAAACTGGGTCAACTAAATCAAGACACAATGGAAACTGCGTGCCACACCATACCGTATGCCGCACGGAGCACTTTGCGAGCTAGCACAAGTTCACACCCCGTCAGCCCGTCTCACCCGCCGCCGCCGCAAATGTACGAACAAGCTCGCCCAACCGTCACACAAACAGTGCACACTACAATGCACAAAACCGCTTATGGCCCATGTCTGCACGTGCTGTTTCCCCTTATTCACATGTACGCCACCTCGCCCGTCCTTATGGCACCTATACCCAACCAGCAGTACCGGTACCACCGGCGGTCCTAGGATATCCCTCCGATGCTGACGTCGCCTCGACAGCAGTGCCAAGGCCCCAGACGCCGGCAGCAATCAAACGTAACTAATCCAACCCGAGGGCCGGCATACACACCACCACTCCTCCATGTAACTCATCATTGCTTGCAGCTCAACCCGTTGCCTGGGAGATGGCTGAACAGCCATCGGCGAGATAATACCGCTCATCTGGACAACGCCGTCCAGAACACTGCTGCCAAGTTTGTCACAAGAAACCCTGCTACTAACCAAAGTAGACACATCACTCACCCTAACGAAATGTGCAGCTAAATGCGCTCCATGACAGTCCTTTCCGGCCACTCCAGCATCCGCACGAGGAATGCTGTCAGCCGAAGAAAGTCCCGTCAGCATCACCCACACGCAAAGGCCCATGTAACCGTGCAAAGGCCAGCCCCTAGGCGCTCGAACGT